GGACTGGAGAGGACAGAAATGAGGCGGGGTCCAAGGGGGCTCTCCAAAAGCAAGAAAGGACGTCCTCTTGACCTCTATACAAATTCCAAGCAGCACATAAAACGGTGAAGAGCATCACATTGCCGACAGCTGTGCTAATCACCGTGGACAATCGCTCTTTGGTCCGGAAGATCTGGAAGTATGAGTTGAGCAGCCCGCCGAAGCTCATGATGGCATACCTGAGGTCAGTACCCTGCAAGGGAAAGATATTGCCACGAGTATCTCGATCTTGGAACCCTTCTGCAATTCTAGCCCGAAGCTGCTCCGAACCACTTTTTCTGTGGAACCGCCAAAACTCTGCGAGCCTCCAGCCCGGAATCGAATCCTGTGGGAACCTCCGGAACCCTTTCCAACAGGCTCAACATTGCTTCTCCGTGTCTTTTACACTGGTTAGCATTCAGCATTCTGAAGCACCCACTTTGTTCACGCCAAACACAGTCTTTGTCATTTGTGATCCAGGATCCACGGAGAAGCAGTCGTTTTCATGGAAGACGCCTGTGCTAGCTTGTGCAAGGCTTGGGCCGCTTCAGAGGCCCCTGAAACGAAAACACCTTCCCGATATCTGGCGTGCAACACTCAATCTCCATGCGATGCTCAAACAAACATCTGTGCCATTCGGTTCGCCCTTCCCCTGGCACTCCGCCACCCCCTCCCCGAGTCTCCAAAATTAGTCGCGACCGTGAGGCATGGGATAGCTCAGGCCCCCTGAAGCGCGGAAACGCAGGGAGGTTTGGATCTGTGGCACCACCTGCGCGGAAACACGGCCGCGTAAGCGGCCGAGTGGCCGGTTGTCTGGAAACGGAACACCCAGCAGCCAAGCCGCCGAGCAGGTCTGGTCGGAAAGCTAACAAAAACGTTTGAAGTCTGACTTGCATGACAGTGGATCGAACTCTCAGCCATCATGGGAGGAACTTGCCCAACTTCCCGCTGCACGAAGAGTTGCATGAACACCTCTGAGGATTTTAGGATTCATATTTCAGCACTTATTCAGCCGCTTGTACCCCTCCAAAAGGACGGACGCTGTCTTGGCTCCATGCCAATCAGTGCTCGCTCGCCCCCAGACAAATTCGTGTCCCGTTGGTCAGAGTCAGAATTCCACGGGGTCCAACAAAAACTATGTACGTGAAGAAGCAAAAGGTCGGCTTTCTGCATCTACTTATGCCTGAGCCTTCACATACCCAGATTTTCCCTTGCTGCGCAAATGGCTCTTGCGCGCCTTGATGACAGTCAGCAAGGACCCAGCATAGCCCAAGGAGCAGGCTGTGAAACGCAACGCCCAGGGGCAGGGCTGCAGCCTTGCTTCGAAGTATGTAGAATGAGCCGGAGAAAGAGGAGGATTTTCATTTTTCATGGGAAGCTTCCCGCGTGCCCCTTCAACCTCTCTGCTGCTCTCATTGCTCTAGGGACTCTGAGCTGAATATTATCCTCAACAAGGAGGGCCATGCTAGAAGGATCAACGTGAGAAATAAAACAGGGATGTTGCTGGTCGCATTGAGGTGTCAAAAGAAGGTGATACCGCACAGGCATAGTATTGGAGGATATTGGGGGGTATTGATCAGAATGATTGGGGGGACTGTTGAATGAATTGAAGCCCGCACTGCAAGGCCTCTACAACTGCCCAACCAGGCAAGCACTCCCTCTTTGTTGACTTGCACATTGTCTCACTGAATGTTGAAGCTTGGGTGGTCATTGCTAATCAAGGTTATCCAATTACAAAGACGCTGTGTGGCCGTAGCTGGTTTTCGTTGGTGAATTCGTGTGGCTCCCAGCTACCCTTTGCAGCCAAAGCATGCATGCCGAAGATAAAGCCTGCAATGCCTGCAAACCGTCTGAGCCAACAAGCATAAAACAACTTCAGGCAAAACTTGCGAACACCCGGCGACTGAGAGTGCAAAGCTACAACCCTCTCGCGTATTTACGATTTGGACCGTTGCAAATTGGCAGACCTTGTGAGTTAACTGGCCCAAAAACGGCCGCCAGGTCAGGCGCCTTCCACACAGCCATTCACATCGAAACGATGCTTGAAGAGAATAGTGTGTCGTTCCAAAGCGAAAATCCAAGTATACCTTGTGATGCAACCATTGGAGCACCGTCAAATTTCACCATTGGAGCACCGTTGCATTCTTGTAACGATTGTAGCACCCCCCCCCCTTCGAACATCTGAGTGGCGACGACCATGCCAGGAGCAGCACCGAGCCGAGCACGATAAGCGCCAGCTGCCCCCGCCAAGCACGCAGCAGCTGCGAATTGTCTGGGGTGAAGCGGGCGCAAAGGTAGTAGAGAGGCACCTCTCAGCTTCACTCTTTGCTGGGATCCTGGTGTGTGTGTGTGTGTCTTTGTCGGGGCTATATGGTTTTCGTGGGATCAGGGAAGGGGAGTATACTAGCGAATACGGTATTCGCTTGTCCCGCGCCATGTTCATATCACATGCCCAGCTGGACTGAAACTAAGTTGCTTTCTGCGCACCTGATGCTGTTTGAGTATTCCTTCACTCCGTGTTCCCTTTCTGCTTTGTTTCTTGCTCTTATAACTTCGTCTTCTTGTCTCTTGCTCTCTCTCGGCCAGATGTCCTCATCAGCATCTATGAACCACATGGATCAATGCATGCAAGATAAACATGTGCAACACTGACCGGTTCGGTGCAAAGTGCCTCTTTTCGCCCACCGGCAGGCCTGAAAGAGCCACTGAACTGATAGCTGGTACAGGTCCAGGAGGTTGCACTGACACAGCCGCCAGTCCTTGCCAAAAAGCACAAGGCATACCATCCAATTGCCCTCAGAGTTCGCCCACAAATTCGAGAGGCAGAGACAGCCCCAACAATGCAGTCCCAAACGCTGAGCTACACTTCTGAAGCTGCGGGAACTTGAGCACCAGCATGTTCCAGGCCAAACAGGTCCTTGGTTCAAGCTTTGGTTCGCGTTTCAGGCGCCTCTCCTGAGCTTTCACCACACGGCATCGCCTACGATTTTAGTATGCCTGAAAGCTTGCTCAAAGTGAATGTCTTCGCAGCAGTGAACGTATTTAATGGCACGTGCGATGCAGCTCGAAACTTAGGCCTCCGACAGGCTTTGCCGATGCCAGGAAGTCTGGGCAAAAGGCTAAACATTCAACATCCAGCTGCCACCACACCACTGTTCTAAGGCGACCCATGGCAATGGCATCAACGTTAGTGAATCACTTGTCACTTGCATGTACTACTTGCTGTAAAGGGTTGGCTATGCTCACCCACTGCCTCTCCATTCAATTTCACCCCATACGCCAGCTTAGCCCGAAGCTCTGCTGCAAATTGGTCAACAGCAACGTCTGCATGGAGACCCCCGCGCTGCTGCGCAACTTCAAGATCTTGGCGTGCGCCGGTACAATGGCCCCAGCCGTGCCTGCCATTTGTGCTTGAGCTGGGCCACTAGGCTCTCTTCGCTCCGCTCTTGTCTCTGCTCTTCTCCCCACTAGTGGCTCCGCTCCCTCCGCTCTTCTGCTCAGTCTTCGCTCCAATTCCTTCCCTGACCTTGCCTCCGCTCCTTGTGAACTCTTTGTAGCGCGCGTCTTTTTGCTGTCTTTGCTCCGCTCTTCTCCCCGTCTCTTCACTGCGTTTTGCATTCTTCTGCTCACTCCTATTTCTCCGCCCTTCGCTCCGCTCTTTCCTCCGTTCTGTCCCCGCGCCGTGTTTTGCGCATTGTGCTCTGTCATCGCTTTGCGTGCAGAGCATGCAGGGCTTGACCCCTGTCAACCCCTCAAAGTGAGCTGGAGTCGCCCTTACGCAAACGCCTCCACTGGCTACACCACTGGCCTCAAGTCTTCGTTTGAGCGCTCATTGTTGCAGGATTGTGACAAGCAGCGCAGCAGCGCTAGGTGAAAACCACCTGCAGTATTTTAACATTGTCTTCTCTTCTACTGGGAGAGTACAGGGCAGGGAGCCAGGAGCCAGGAGCCACCAGCCACCCACCCCACCCACCCACCCGCCCGCCCGCCCGCCCGCCCGCCCGCCCACCCAACAAACCAACAAACCAACAAACCAACCAACAAACCAACAAACCAGCAAGCCAAGAAACCAACAAACCAACAAACCAACAAAGCAAGTAAGCAAGCAAGCAAGCAAGCAAGCAAGCAAGCAAGCACCAACCATCCAGCCAACCAGCCAGCCATCGAGCAACAAAAACAACGAAACAACCACCCACTCACCCAACCAGCCGACCATGAACCAGCCCACCCAACCCAGCCCAATTCAGCACCCACCCAACCAACCGAACAACCAAACCACCCGACCATCCCACCAACCACCCAACCACCCTAGAACTCAACCACCCCACCAGCCACCAGCCCGCATGAAACCAAACGCACTCTTGACCAGGTTTTAGGACGCCTTGGTATGGTTGGTTGTGTCACAGATTTGGCTGCGCATACTTTGGATGTGAAGCTTCTCCTTCAGGGAAAGAACTGCTATCTCAGAAATTCTGAGACTAACCTGGGCCTGGCCAGATTATGCATCGCAGTTCGACATCCCACAAATCGAAGCACGCCTTGCATCACCCGGCCTACAACCAGTCCAACACCGATGGCCACTGAAGTGGCTGCGCAGGCGTCCAAGACATAGCTCTCCTTGCACTGGTCCATGCATGCCGCAAAGGCGCTGCAAAGCCTAGAAACGCCAAAGCTGTCTAAGAGCAAAAGTACATGCCGTATTGAGATAGCCTTCATGACCAACCACTTGCCAAACACAACAGCAAAACTTGCCTAGTTGGGGGTGCGGGGGGTGGGCATTGCGAGGTTGAAATGGTTAGCCGGCTGTCCTACTGTTGCCAGCCAAACAAGCCGGCTCCGAGGCTGATAGCGTTGCCGCTTGTGATAGCACTGGGCAACAGCCTTGACCACGCCATTGAGCCAACATGCCACAGCAAGCTGCAAGGCGGGCGATGCATCCCGCGACATTATAATCCGACCCGGGTCACTCCTGAGCTCCCAGCCAGCTTTGGGCGACATTAAGTCTTGGACCGCGGGTGGGAGCCTTTGCGCGTTGGGCAGGTCAACGCCAAAATCTGACAACGGTGGGGCCAAACACTCGTCAATTCATTCCGTATCCACGGGTGCGCTGCAGCTTGAGCATGTCAAACTCACATCCTCCATACATGCATGCTCAAGGCATACCAATGTCAAAACCAATTTGTCTCCACGATCTGGGTGTCCAATTCATTCTCATCAAATGCCGCCCTGCTGAGCTTGTCTCTTCTGCTTCACCATGTCCAAAGCCTCAGTCGTCCCAAGATGGCTATGATGCTCACAGAAAGGAAACACGGCGAATCCCTTTTGCCGGGTGCAAACACGCTTGCTGATCAAATCAAAGGCATTCTCGTGCAGCCTCATCAATTTATGAAGAACATGGTGCAAAGATCTACACGACGCACAACCACAAATTCTTGGCTCATTGCTCGGGACATGCTGTGTCCCAGCTCTACGCTGCTCAGCGCATGCCGCGTCAACGACAAGCAACAATTAGCCAGACACAAACAATCCTGTCAGGCGAACTGGGGACTTCTTTGATGATTCACCCTTGCCTGTGGCTTTGCATGCAGGCCCAAGCAAGATTGCACTATCACTGAAAAAGCAGAACATGAGGGTGGGGTCCTCAATAATCAAGGGGCCTCACTTCACAGCCATGACTGAAATATAAGCACTGCCCGGCACAACTCAATGAAGCCACGTGCACACAGCAAAAACTTAACTTATATCGCTCCTCGCCGAACAAAAGTTCTGCAGTCGACACCGTTGAGCAACGATTCTCCAATTTGGGTGATCTTGGTTGACGTTGGAAGGGGAGCAAAAAATAAATTTCAGCAGTTAAGTGGGGATTCCCTACTAAACCACAATAAGCAAAAATGTAAAATGTTTCCCAACGACAACCATGTGATCCTGTACTGACACAAGGAGCAAGATGACCCAGATCCAAGGCCAAGTTGCTCTTGTTCTGGAACTCTGTTGCCCGAAGGACCCAGGAATAACAGGTTCCCCCTTTTGGATCGACTAAAAATGGAAACCAAAAGGTCATCTCAGGTGATACTCAGACTCTGGTTCCCCAGGCTCAGACTTTTGGAAACCCTGACTTTCCTCAGACTTTGGGGAACCCCAGGCCCTCCCGGAAAAGGAAAACAAACAAATGATGCCGTCCCAGGCGCCAGCTTCCGGCGATCCTCCAGGCATTCACCTCAAAGCGGATGTAACGGCACGGCCACCAACGGGGCTAGGTCTCCAAGAGCTGCGAGATATATGTGCCCTCCCTACAGGTGCTACGCTTCTCATGCCTTAGATTTCTCCAGGTGCTACTCATACCTTATATAGATATCATAGATGCATTGAGATATCTGGTGTACCAAACAAGCAGTCCACGGAAATCGAGGGCTTGACATCCGAATTGGAGCCTCGAGGTGCACCCCTGAAACTGACTCCTCTCAATCTGAGCTCCCGGGCGCCAAGCGCTCCACGTGATCTGCGAGAAAAAAAAAACCGGCGCGCCGAAACAAAAACGACCCTGACAAATTGCAGGCTTAGCAACTCAGGAGAATATGTCGAAGCCCAGGTGAACACCCCAATCCCCACTAAAATAGACTAAAATGGGTGGCGCACCTACCCCAAAATGGTACCATTGGTTTTGACCCACAGCCATATCAGAACATCGGAAAAAACAAAAAAAACACATCATGGTGGCCATCTCCAGATTTCTCCAGCTTGCTTGAACAAGGGCAATAAGCAGCACGTGCAGCTAGAAAGCCCTGAAGCTGGGTCTTAATGGTCAGAACTCTTTACACGTCTTGAGCATGCAAACAGGTAGGGGTTGCTCCAGAAACCCTGGAAGGCTAGGCGTGTGGCCCCTGGTAAAGCCCTTATGGCTTCAGAGAGGCCTACAATGCAATGGCGCAAGAAATGCTTGCCTGCCAGATTTGTCCACACGTGAGGGTGCGCTCATGCACAAAACAGCGTTCTCCATCATCGGTCGCGCCAAACTTAAAAGTGATGTCTCCGCCTCCCACCTCCTTTTGCTATAGCTCCCGAAGGCTTCAGGCACAAGCAAGGATGTTCACAGATCCTGGTAACTGGACAACAAGAGAAGAACACGTCTCGCTGAACCGCGTTTCAGTTGATGCAGTGCGGATGGGCGCCTGGAGGAGCAAAGCGCGGTCCCTTGTCTCCAGCGACAGAAGGAAAATGGCCTATGCTGCCGATGAGACTTGTCACTGGTCGCTTGCCGGTCGGCCCGGTCGACAAGTTGCAATGGAGAAATCTGTAGACAACTCTCTGGAAACCAACGAAGCCCAAACATGCGAGTCTGACTACTGCATCAACGGCTAGTGAGAAAGCAAAACATTCTCTATCCGCCTCATGTCATCATGGAGTTTATCAACCCCTGCATGTCAGCATGCTCGCCTTTGCCCCACAGTCGTCAAAAGCTCCGAAAAAGAACCTCGCTAGAAGGGCGAGTGTTGAACTTCATTCATCAAATCCAACGCCAACCAAACAAAGCACTGAGATTTCTTGGTATCGGGAAAAAGCTGAACCTCCGCAAACAAAACAAAACACAAGACCCTGCTGTTGAGCTCAACGGCAAGCTAAGCACCCGTCAAATCCAGCTTGATGATCGAGCCAAGTGGCTAGTAATCCCCGGTTTCGCTCGAGGTAACCCTCCTGTACACTGGAGGGAACTGGTCTGCCCAGTTGGTTTCCAACTCCTGCACCATCAAATCCAGATTGCCATCTCCCGCCTGGCGCTTCTGTTGTGCGTGCAAGTGCCGCTCCCGCATCTGAGCCGCCTGGGAATGGGTTAGTGTAGGCCAGCGTAGGATGGCAAAGAAGATCATTCTTTGTTCATTTCTGAGATCAAAACAAAAGAGGCAAGGGGAAACAGCAGGTGCCCAAAGAGACAATTGCAAGCGCGACGGCAGATTCTCAACCAAGGCGAAAATAAGGCCGCTCTCCACACTCGCTAGGCCCAGCTTCAGCCACATGATAGGTCCTGAAGCCGAAGCAGGGACTACAAAGCGGGCTAGCGTGAATCTTCGCAGCAGTTGCTGTGACCACGCTGTTCAAAGGAGGCATAACACAAAACAGTTGTAGCCCGCAGGGCTGTAAGTATGCAAACAGCCCCTTCCCCACCTCAGCGTGCAGCTGACGGGCCTGTCGCAGGCAACACCAGCTTGCTTTTGTTTTGAGGTGGCCGAGTGTCGCTCCCAAAACCCAATGTCATTTTACCTGCAGTGAGCTGCAAGCCAACATTCAAGCAATGGTTGGCATCCCGGACGTCATGCTACGGGTTGGGGGCAGCCAACTGAACCCTGTGCTGGCGCATGCAGTGCTGGCACGTCCTGAAAGCCACCCCCTGCAGAATTCTAATAACTGGCTGCGGCAGCTAGAATAAACTCCAACATGTGGTTCATAAGGTTTGCCCAGTCGCCACTTGAGGAGCCTGTGAACTGAGTGTTTCTGTCGCCAGCGCTTCCTACTTGGAGTCTTGTCCACTTGTGACGCAAAACGCCGGAGGGCCATAGGAAGGCGGGCCAAGAGGAAAAAGACTACAGCACCGTTCCGTGGGCAAGGTGTTCCAAACTAGCGGAAACTCATCCGGTGGGTTGAATTCTTAACTGCCCCTTGGCGCCTCCTGCTGAGCTTTCTTCACTTCCTCCTCCACCAAGCGCCGGGAGAGGTCCAGTTGCTCATCCTGGAAGCACTCAGCCCGTGCTCCCGTTTTTTTCGGCGAATCGGCAGGTCCCAGGGCTAGGGTTTGCCTCTTGCCCTTTTCAGTGGTGTCCTGGGAGGGTTCAAAAAGCATGTTCACACAATGGACATGCATGGACCTGCGGAAGTTAAGGGGTCTTGCTGGCATTTGTGGGAAACTTAATGCCTGTCCCTAATACTGTTTATGCATTCGTCCTTCGCGCTTCTGGACTTTTCCGGAGTTCCGAGTATGTGTCAAACCCATCCCTCAAGCTGAGAAAAACATGGGCCTCTGAGGGTTGCTTTAGTAGGGGCATGTCCCCTGCAGAAAGGGCACGTGAACCCGTCTCAAAATAAGGCCGTTTGGACGGTTTTGATGAAAGGGCACCACCTCCTGGTGCTTCCCTGTCTGAGACACATTTATTCAGTGAGTGCTTACACCACTCACGGGGTTGGGGTTTTGTGTCTAAAGGTGGCTTCGAGAGTAGCCGCAGCCAAGGTGAACCAACACCAGTCAAGTCTGCACAAAGTCTCGCATCCTCGCAGACACGGATCATGCCCCTGTACATTGGAGTAAACAAAGTCTAGGGATGTCTCAACTTCTTCTGAAGAAATCTGTTTAGAATCAAGGCCCGTCGGACCTTTCAGACCCTTCAGACCCAGTCCCGCCGCTTCTCAAGCACCAGGTCCCGCCAGGCGGACCTCAAACGGCATCGTGCTGCAAATTGCAAAAGGATTTCAGGGCTGAAGACAAGCGCTTCTGTCGCTTCTTGAAGCACAGTTCGCTGACTTGAAGCACAATGGCTGTGCTTCCACACATGTGGTTCGTCGCATTGTCTTCAATCAGCATGTTCAGGGTAATTGATGTCAATGATACTGTCTTTGGCAGCGTGCAAATGGTGAGCAGTCCTTTCGGTTCCCAACTCAACTTACCATAGGCAAATGGAGACCAAGCAATCCGAGCACTCAAGCACCTCTGTTTCGCAGTGCCCCTTCAATGCAAACTTCACGTACGTACATGGTGGGCTGCATTTCCTTGCCGACCCCAGCAATACTCGGACGCAGCATGGCTTGGCCAAGTCTAGTCAGTTGATGGCCAAAGCATTTTCAAAAATCCTGCAAAACACAAACTCCTGAGTGTGGTTCTGATGCTGCTTTTGTGGATCCATCCCTGTGAGAAGGGCCAACAAGGAAGGAAACTACATTAAAAGCAGCAAACACTTCCAAACTGTCTTCCCCAAAGCACCATGACAAGTGCCCTTGCCTCATAAATAGGGGATCCTCCGAATGGGTGCACATCCACACCTAGTTGGCTTGCTTTGTTGGCCACCCGCCCACTTTCTGCTTTCCTCTGAGCTCCCTCGCCAAAGAATCGGAAGCAGCACCTCCTGCTGCGCCTGCGAAAGGATGCAGCAACGCGGTCCCTAAATGCAAAAAAATGATGCAGCGGGGCGCCACTGTCTTTTCTGTTGGGAGTGGGGATGCGTGCCACCAAATGCCGGTAGGATGCTTGGTCCACGTGAATGCGCCGGACAATGTGCGGTTGCTGGTTTTTATTTGAGCTAGTTTCCCAAGTCCTGAGCTTCGAGTTGCCCGAGCAGAATGGCCCCGCTGCTGTGCAAAGAGGGCCCCCTTCTTGATCACAGCACGAGGCTATTGATTGTGAGCCACGGGTGGCCCGAAAGCATACTGGAAAGTGACCAAAAACAAGCAAAGCGAGCCAACATGCAGGATGCCAGTGGAGTGGTTGCTCGAGAGTTGCTGTTGCGCGCGTGTGCGTGCGTGTGTGCGCGCGTGCGTGCGTGTGTGCGTGCGTGCGTGCGCACGTGAGTGCGTGAGTGCGTAAGTGCGCGCGCGCGTGTGGGTTTGTGGGTGTGTGCGTGTGCGTGTGTGTGCTGTTTGCATGCAACACTCAGCTGCCGCATGTCTCAACTCTTGCCACAGCAAGTCCAAGCAAATAAAGCCGACACGTGGCTGTGTGTACTTGTGCGCGTGAGAGCGTGTGTGAAAATTTGCTCCTTTTGTGACTGATCAGCTTCGGTGTTGCGAGCTCTGTGCGCTTGCGCGCGTGCGTGCGCGTGCGCTAGCGCGGATATCTGCAAAGTGTGCCCTTCTGTGACTGATAAGCTTCGGTGTTGCGAGCTCTCTGCCAGGGTTGCTCTGCGCAAGTGCTCGGCCCAAGTCTTCCGCGCAACTTGCTCTTCGTGCGCAAGTGCTCTGTGCAAGTCGCGATACGCAAGCGCCATGCACAAGTGTGCCGCGCAAGCCCGGGCCAAGTTACCAGGAGCAAGTTCTCCGAGCAAGTTCTTGAGCCGGAGCTGCCGCGGACCAGGGGGGAACCGAACCCGCGACCGCAGGATTGCGAAAGCAGGCACGCAAACCACGAGACAACTTCCAAAGGCCATTTCATGAGCAAGAAAATCGCACAGCGAGAGCGCTTCGATACGCACGATCTCCGCAGAGGGTTTGCTCAGACTGAGACGAATTCGCGCGGGGCCACAGCGAGAACGGTTTGACACGCACGATCCCCGCAGAGGGCCGCGCGCAAACCAGAAATCGTAAAATGTCCTCAGCTTTTGCACCTCGACCACGCCAATTAATGCAGAGGGTCGCGCGGGAACCGCAGAAATCGTAAAAAGTCCTCAGTTTTGCACCTCAACCACGCCAATTTGTAAAAAGTCGGCAGGTTTTGGACATCGACCACGCTAATCCCCGCAGAGGGTCGCGCGCGAACCGCAGGAATCGTAAACAGTCCTCAGTTTTTGGACATCGACCACGCCAATCCCTGCAGAGGGTGTCATTTTCGCAGGGCGGGTTCGGTCCCACCACGCCGCCTTAAGAGACTAATAACTTTCGTGCCACATGTCATGTGCAAGTTTGGCTGTGTGATATCTCGTGCAAGTTGTTCTCGTGCAAGTTGGCTCGTGTAAGTTAACTCGTCCGTGCAAGTTGGCTCGTGCAAGTTGGCTGTGCAAGTTGGCTCGTGCAAGTTGGCTCGCGTAAGTTGGCTCGTGTAAGTTGGCTGTGCAAGTTTGGCTGTGTGATAAGGCTGGCGATTTTACCGGAAGAACCCTTCGCAATGCTTGCGGGGGGGGGGGAAAGACTGCAAACTTGTGTGTCCTACTTGGAATGCTCCTGCAATGTTTGTTTCCCACAGTGCAGGTTTGCCCAGTTGCACGCATCACCGCATTGCCCATGCTACAAGTTGAGGGCGTTATGCAATACATTCAATAGTTGGTCAGGAAACAGCCGAAAGCGCAGCACTTGGTAGACCTTCCCAGCTGCATGCATTATTCAGTTTCGGAAGCTGCAGTCCACCAACGGGCCGACCATCTACAGAAAGAAAGCGCTGCAAACCTTGCAAGGTTAACGATATGGCAAACTCTAAACCGCGAAAGAAATGCCAAACCACCCAGCTCTGGCCTTTACTTGCTGATCCACTGCAGAGAAAGCGATCATGGACTGCCGCATCCTGGCCATCTGCCGGGGGAGTGAACCCTGGCCGTGCAAAGTTGCGAGGTCACTGAAGAACATATTTCAAATGTCACACTTCTGTAGTGAGTATCGCCAAGGTCTCTGACTCTCCCTACATCATTACATCCTGATCATTCATAGGATTTTAACCTCGCCGCCTCCTGCCCATGTTTCCCCGAATTAGGACTTTAGTAGGGCCTTATCTAACGAGGAATGCTGTCCGCTACCTCGACAAAAACTGTTTGCCTGGGGGCCGAACATTCATTAACATCCAAATGGAGTCCGCCCCTTTCCTGGCCCCAAAAATAGTTCGAGATTGCAATTTATAAAAACAAATTAAACCAACAACAATCTAAATCATTCTTTGGTTTTCTGCGGGTTTCGAATTGGTTTCACATTGGCTTAGTATTGGTTCTAAAATGCCAGCAAGACTGGAACTGGGGTCGGCGGGATTTGCTGGATTTGAAGCTGCTTAGTATTGGCTAATTCTAATTTGGTATTGGGAGATGTGGGGTTGGGAAACATACTTTAAATTGTAGGGTGTCTTTAATCATGGGAAGGGATTGTGTGACTCTTGCAATGATTTGTCGCTCACTGCATGGCGCAGCTCGTGCGCTTAAATAATTCTCGCATAGGACTTGAGCGCCTCATTTTAGGCTCGCTCAGTGGCTTGCGGAATACGCTCCCGCTCGCGCCATCATTCCACCTCTGCAATCGTCTCCTCAGCGGTCAGTGTGCTCCAACAAGTCATGGACGAGGTGACTGCAAAGAACACGCGTCCGCCATGAACTCCTCTTCGACCACAGAATTGTTTAAAAATTGACTTGCGTGATTCGAGAAGGTGCAGGCCTACTAGATACAACGGGAACCAAACCTCTCCTGAGCCCAATGCATAACTCAGCAGCAACATTGCATTCGATGAGAGCCACAAACTAGGCAAAGCGGTATCATCTCGCCTTCCCTCTAGCGCGGCACAAGCCTTTGATGTGCTCTGCAGTGGGGTCTCATTGATGAAGCTGAGCCATGGGTGCAGAAGTGTCACTAAGCTGTAAGCCGTAATGGTAATGCAAGGCGGGCTTTCATTTTCTTACGAGAACACACCCGCGCAGCTGGGGTAAAGCGCGGGGGTAAACTTTCTTCATGCGGCCTGGCCCAAGTCTTCCACCGCCGGCTTGTCGCACGAATCTGCTTCTCAGTTGCCCAACAAACGGCTGGCTGGTCAGGAAAGGGGGAACCAACTGGAACACCAGTTGGTCCAAAGAAATGTTTTCTTCTTCAAAATAGACCGAAGCTGTACATTCACCAATCAGAACCATGAGTTGAGTGCTGCCCTCTTTCCAACAAACATGGCAGCAAATGCCCCTTGCCAAAGGCTGGCAGTCTTCCAAAGCCCTCCTCTCCACATCTGTTGTTGGATCAAGCACGTCGAAACGGAGAATCAAAGGAAACTTAACTTACAGAAGCCCAAAAGTTGATGCTTGAGACCAACGAAAAGGGAACATAGAAACCCCAGTGCGAACATCCAAGAAAATGAGTGCGCCAACTCCCAAGCCCTGTCCGGGGCAAGGCGCTCTCAGCGCCTCCACTTTGCGAGGCAAGGCCGTCCAGAACTCCGGGGTCATCTTCCTGTGAGAGGAGCTGCGAGCGACCATGGGAGCCCAAAGGACCTGATCCTGTGCCAGTTTCCAAATTCCACCAACATAAAGGTGGCACCCTCCGAAATCGGGAAAACCCAAAATTGGGCCCCACAAGAAGGTGATTCCTCAGAATGTGCGGTATTTCACATGGCTTTCTCTGCAAGACCGACTTTCTCCGGAATATCCTTTGACCGCGGCGAGGGCGAAAGAGCAAGTCTATGTTTTCGCAGAAGGACTTAGTCTGTTGTCCATCAACCAACAGGTCAAAAAACCAAGTTATGACTGGGAAAGCATGCTTTGCTCTCATGTATTTGCCTGCCATCACCATCTACACGGCCTCAGGCTGTCCGAGGTGCTGATAGTTGAAGTACTCCCAGGCAATCTCCGGAAAGCGGTGCTTATTCTCTTGTGTCCAGAAGTGATGCCACAGCCTAGGGTCAACATTGTTCAGCAATCTGAACTGCAGCAACAATAATGCGCCGTACCCACTAAGCCAGCGTGACCCTTCAATCCAATGTGCTGGTCCCTCCATTTAGTGTAAACCTGAACTTGAGCAAGTTGGGAATTTCCTCACGAATGCGTTACATACATGGTGGGGAACCAAATGCACCTCCCAAGTACGGAGGCCAGGGCCCGCCAAATTGCGGCCTTGCACATGCATGATGGACGGATGTGGATGTACATCCGTCAAATCCATAAGGTGACTTGACAAAAGGGGCGTTAGCTGTAGCCCTTCAGCGGCACTCGGTGACTCGGTGCCCGCGCGTCACTGAGGGGTCCAGCGACACGGAGTACCACCACCAGCCGGCCGGAATCACCTCAAGCGTGCAGTCTGCAGGCGCTTTGCTGGGTGACTGCGAGACTGGAGGTTGCTGTTTCTGACAGTCAGTTTTTTTTCTTTTTTTTTTTCCTCCGAGATGCTGAACAGTACTGCCAATTCGGAAAGCCGTGTACCTGTCAAGTGTTCACAGCAACCTCCGACGTACATGGCAGACTGCACAAGGGATTTATACCAGGGCCCCCTCAGCTAGTTCACTCAATTCGACGCAGTTCAACGGCAATGACTAAAAGCAGGTGCAATACGGAACATAAGCTCAGAATTCCCCACACTGCGGCCCCAGAAGTTCACATTCGTGAAGGCCTTTCCTCCTTTACCCATGTCCATCCAACAAATGATCCACTTGCCACGTATTGGTGTTCTGGGGTTGCTTGTCCATTGGGCTTCGGTTATATTCTGAACTGTCTCATGACCACGCAATTTCGAAAACTCGCATGCCACAAACTTGACGAGCGGCCCAAAAGATCCCAAAAAGTGCCCCACCATGCTTCCCCCTTTGCTGACCTACGTACAATAAGATCGACGTTCGTGTGGTATACATGGCGATAGGGAAATACAGCTTGTGCATCCGCCTTGGGAAAACGATTCAAAGAACCACGTTCCATTTGTGGTGTGACCTCCTGAGTATTGAGAAGGGACATGCATCCTGGACGGGCGTGTCGGGTGGGGAACCTCTTTGATCTCTTTGGATTGTTGCGGCAGAACGGCAAGACACGTGTCAGCTCGACCTCCCCCAACAAACACTGGGTTGTTCAAAGTGGGGGGGCAACTAGAACAAAAGAAACCACCACCATCTGGCATAAGGGCGAATTAATGATTCACTTTGAAGCAACCGTGGCAGGTTCAAAGTGAAGCAACCGTTCAAAACAGGCAGGTTGCTGACATGGCAAAGCCTCCCCTCCCCTCCCAACCCGCTCGTCCCGGCTCGGACCAAGGCGCCAAGGTCTGGCCCAGGTACAGCACCGCCACCCGGCAGGAGGCCTCTGCGAAGAGCGGGTGCCGCTTGGCGCTCGCCAAAATGTCGACCTCGGAGCGCGCGATTGATGGATCCCGCGAAGCGACCAACCGACAAACGCAATGGGACGCTGTAACTTGATGTTGCTGGTCAGCAGGGAATGAGGGAATGACCCCTAAAAACCATTATGGTTTCCGGTCCATTTCCAAAACCCTGGGTTATTCCCTACCGAGCAAGTAAAATTGTGGAGCTGCTAAAGGCACTTGGAACTCAAACAGCACATATGCACATAAACGCTGTGTGACAGGGTTCTGTACATCTTTCCGGCTCAACAAAGATTGGCCCACAAGGAGGTTGGTTAAAGCGAGGGGAAACCACCCTTTCTGGGGAACCCTGTCCTCCGATTTGGAGACACACGCATGCCGGTACCGTGTTCTTAGTCGCTGGCGCCACTGACGCTCGTCGCAAAGCCACTTGTCTCCTCAAACCGCATGAAACACTTGCTTGCGACTATTGTATATGTTGTTTGACATCGAACTATATTTGAATGAAGTCTTTTGTGCAAGCGTTGCATTGTTGACCCCTGCTGCCTCAAATGACGGCTTGCTTTAAAAATACATGGGTGGATCGGTGGATGCCCCTCAAAGTGGGAGCGAGGGAGTGGCTTCTGGCTTTGGCCCGAAAGGTGGCCACGCTTGGCTGTCCTGCATGGGTCCGCCAGTCTCTTCGTAGAGCTTCCGGGACTCTGAGGGTGGGAAGAGGAAGAACCTCAGCTGAAAGTGCTGTCTGAAAGGCCTCCACAAATTCAAACATTTGGACGAGGCCCTGGTTCATCCGACGTGCGGCCGTCTTTGGGGTGTTTTGACGAGATGCAGTCAGCAGGAACTTGTATCAGCAACACTTGCATGCTTCACAGCGGGGAAGTCACTCCTGGACCTTTCAGAAATGTATCCAAAATGGTCCTGCAGGTGTCCGTCCATCATCTGCTGTTTCCACAATACTTTCCCTGCAAAAGACGTGACACTTTCAATTGCCACCCGTGAAATTGCTCCCCGCTGCCAGCTCCTCTGGTCTAACACATGGCCGTTTCCAAACTGTTCCCTCATAATCTGATATCCGACGTTCCAGCGCTCACATGCGAGCTGCATTGGATGCCATGAGCTTCAAGTAGCCAGGCATGCCACTGGCTCGCGTGCATTGGGCGTGCCATTGTGCGTCTCCAAAAGGGGAACGGTTTCCATTCAAACCATCCAAGAACGGCGCCCTGAACAATTAACACCCATGCAACCTTGAAACACGAGCAAGCAAAGTGTCGCCCTGCTGATGAAGACCCGCCTGTGAAGAGTTGAACATGACAAAGGCAAACCTTGCACGCCTGCCAACGGCAGAACGACCACCCACCAGTCTTCTGAAGCGAGGGCGGATCTTGACTTGATCCCAGTTGTTTGCTGAATGGCTGGACGGACCGGGCTGGGCCAGCGCAAGTGGATGCTGAGAACACATGCCCTACAAACAATCAGGCCAACACGATCGGACTTGCCCCAAGTCCTGGCCATCATTTTAGTTCAACTGACCATGCCATCCCATGCCCAGCCCTTTGCTCAAACAAGGGGCACTCTTCGTCCCTCAACCTGATTCAACCAAATATGGGCTCCGGCAACCTCCACCTCAGTTGACACACCCCGTGCTGGACATGCAGGGATGCGAGAGGTTCCAGGCTTGCCGGCACGCATGCAAGCTCCATAGGCATTCCGAACAAGCACTTGCAGAAATCTCTGCCTATTCATGATTCATGCTGGTCGCGGAGGTGCCGGCAGCCTTCAAGTTATGTAAATGAGTGTGTGATGTGTAAGGCAAGTTGCATGGAGTCTTGTTATAGAGCCGGTAGCCGCCAAGGTGACCTGCAAATGAAATGCATTTTGCACATCGCATCATATGACTCTGACATGGTGCCTTTGCCAAGCGTCAAGCTCCGGAGATTTCATTCAATCATGGACGTGTCCATGGCCAAAACATGCTAAAACATGATTTCTCAAACCCGGCGTTGAGTTCGAGCCAACCGAATGGACCAATGAGCCCAACTTCAGGGCCAGATAGTTGGGGGTGCGCGCGCTCGGCCTTGTAGAAGCGAGACAGCGTCTCCATGGGGTCTGGCAAAGAGAAGTGGTGCGCAAAGACCTGCGCGAGCCTGGCGCCAGCGCGAGACAATGTCAACCACTTATGAGGCATCTCCTACGCTGTCGTGGCACGACTGGATCAGCGTTCTCCACATGACAACCCAAACATCTACAGCTCCTTGTTGCTTCCCTGGGTGAAATGAAAACGCCAACACACAAAACCTGCTGTAGACCAGCGATCAGCACATGATGGGCTGGTGCACATAACAAGCTCTTTCAGGCCAAGCGTGCAGCCGGCGGCTGCTTCCGCTCCAGGTGAGCAAATGACAATTCCAAATACAACAACAAGCAGCACCTGAGAAACACTTCACCAAGACAACTCTTCATTCAGAAAGTCTGCACGCAGTGTTTACCAACCCCAATGCAATGCATTCTGTTGTGATCCAACATGAGCTCTTTCAACGGCCTTCCTAATTTCTTGTCAGGGGCCACCGTGGAGGGGGTCCCAAGAGCTTTATGTTGTGCAGCACGTGGTGCCACAGCAAGCTCTCGGGTGGACAGCCATTGTCTGAAAAGGGCGGCCATTCGCTTCTCATCGTGTAATCAAGGACACGGCTCATCAAGAGCTTGTGCTCGCCTTCCTGCCATTATTGCGTTGTTGATTGGCTGATGGCCCGCAAAAAATGAACTCCTAGCAATCAATGCTTCCCGACACAGGAGCTAAGGCAAGCAGCCCTCAAGCAGCTGCTTGGTGTGGGAAACTGCCAATTCAAATGCCATGAGCAGTGTACTTTCCGCATGGGCCATGTAGTCAAATCATACCACGAGCAGTGTGCTCTCCGCATGCGGTACAAGTCATAGTGACACACCATGGGGCTGTCGGCGATGGCCTTTTTCGGTCAGAGCCAAATCAAACCAAACTGCCGCAATGTGACAAAGGCCTCCTCGCATCTAGGTTGAAAACGGAAGTGTCGAATGCCCGGGATGGGACCTGAGTTGCAACGCGCCTGGGGCTCAAGTCCGGCAAGCCCTCTGGGCCAAGCTTGCTCCAGCACTCGTCAAAGAACTTCCTCAGAAGGCCCCCGAGCCGGGGTTGCTTTCATGCAAGTGCCATCGCTGTTACACATGGTGCAAAACGTCAAAAATGTTCCAGACTGTGGAACCAAAGAAGTTGCGGAAGTTGTGCAAGCCACAAGCGCTGCAGGAATATGGAAGTTACGGGAGCTATCATGAAACAAATGAGTCAGGGATGCAGGGATTGAAGAACAGCTCACCGGGCATCAAGTCCGCTGATTTTGGGCGTGCCTGCCTCCTTCAGCTGGTGATGCAACCAACATACGCACACCCTGCAAACACGAACGCATACATGTGCGTATATATATATATATAAGCAAGTGTATCCACTCTGCTTTTTCGGCCTATATTGTGCATGCAACAACACACACACACACACACCTTTTTCTGTGCCGCCTGTTTGATCAGTTTGATCGATGTCACAAATCCTTGAGCCGTCAGGAGGCCGCATGACCCCGAAGAAGGGGGCATAGCCATCCAGCGTGAGCCGGGGAAAGGCGAGGCTCTTCTCCTGGGGAAAGGCGAGCCCTCAAAACGGGTGGTGTCCCTTTGATTTCGCGTCGCCCAAAAGTTGCGCTTTCTCAAACAGCCAAACCAAAGATATCGCATTGGACTGCGTGCCGGGCACTGGTGTTAGCCCTTTCCGTGCTTACCCTGGCAGCCGCAGATGGCCAAATTTCAAAAGAAGCGCCTTCGGAACCTAGGCATTCCCTTCACGACAATCTCAGCTGCCATTGTATCAAATTATGCGATATGGCCATCAACAATCCCAACCTTCAAACCCTGTGAGTCCAAACAGTGATTGCCCAAAGACATGGCACACTTTTCACAAGTATCCGTCTGGGTTATCAGCGCGCAAACGGCTACACGACATGCAAACGATCAAACAGGAACGAACATTTTGCATTGATAAGGTAGGAAATTGCCAGGTCGGCCGTCTTCTGTCACAAAGGCGCGTTCACTCTGAACCTCTGGTATGATGTCTGCAACATGTACCAACTCCAGAAATAGTTAAACTATATAATTAAAAACCGCCACTCATGATGATCATCTGCAAGCGTTCGCAGCGCCCAGTCCTGATCGCATTTCCGATCCATGCGCTGCAATGTGCGGGCATATTCAACCTGCATTGCGCAGCCAAGAACGAGCAACAACACATATATCGTCGTGTCCCATGCTGTGGCCATTCAGGGGAGATAGTTATTGGCAGCGCACACGTGCGTCCTAATAAATCTGAAGCATCTGAAGCGTGCAGCAAACCTTGCTGCTGCGCTACACAAACTTTGCTCCATCTCAACAACATGGAGGCTCATAGATCCCCATCAGCTTCTCCTTGCAAGAACCCCTCTATGATGTGAGAAACTCTGCTCCTGAACTATGAGCGAACATCGCCAAGCACAAAGAAATCTGAAGGCTTCTTTTTTGCAAAACCTGCCTGTAGATCTTAGTGCTGTGACAAATTCAAATGCTGCATCTAAGTCTATGCCAAGGGGCAAATTCTGCAATGCTGGCATGGAGTGCGAGCTTATCAATGGCCTCATTCGAGCTGCTTACAAATGGCTGCGGAATACGAGAATGTCTGGCTAGCAGCAACTGCAGCAACACGTTGGCAGCAATGGCGCTATTGCGCACGCACACACACACACACAAGCACTCATGTACGGACGCAGTGACCTGCAATTGATGCAAACCTCTCCTTTGCACTTCGGCACTTAGCAAACTGACACGGCTTGCTGCTGTATGCACTAAATGCATCTGGTCGCTGCTTCATCGCCATCCTCAACTTGTGACTGTTCTCGTGTTGCTTCCGTCCATGACAGCGTTCCCGCAGCAACTTACTGTAATGGGAACTTACTGTTGGCGGGTGTCCCATTTGAGAAGGACACATTCACTTGTTGGAGGACCCCCTATTGATCTGCAAGCCATTTTGTCCAAGGTCAATACGCCCGCTGCCATGTCGGCCATATGCACTAGGTGCGTCTCCAAGTCTGGAAGACCAGAAAACCTCACTGAACCACCCGAAAAGTTTCTGCCGTCGTTGTGCGTTGGCGTAGGGCGTAGCCATTGTTCTGTCTGCCCAGGCGCGAAAGCTGGAAACTGAGGGCGGCAAAACCTGAGCGAGCCAGCGCAGGTGGTGGGACAAAGGATCTTCTGGAGCCTCCTAGCTGCCTTAAAGGTGGGGATGGGGTGCAGCCTCGAATCATAACGGCAGAGACAGATCAAATCGACAAACAAAATCGCTTGTAACCAACTTGAAAGCACAAGATTCCCAACTGTCCCAATAGGGGTTCCACATTCAGGCGCTTGGAGGAGGCCCACATGCACAAACATGATTTGATTCCGATATATTCCGCGGCAACAACAGTCAACCCATACATTCTGCACTTGTCACGGGACATGCTGGCACAAAACATTATAAGGAAACGGGCTGCGCGTTCAAGTGAGCCTCTCGTGCGCATGTCAGCCTCATTGCCGCACTGGGAACCAGTAGTCATGCCCGCAGTCCCGCTTGAAGAATTCCAGGTTCCAGAATCTCGCGTACCAGTCACCTCAAATGGCTTCCATGTCGCATCAGGATCAAACCTGATGAAATGATGGCCCCTTCACCTGCAACATGTGTGAACTGCACATCCGCTGACTGACTGCTCAACTTGCCTTCCTGCACAACTGTGGCGTGCAATTGCGAGAGCCAGTCCTTGGCTTCACGTGACGAATCAGCCCAAGCTGCGTGGCTTCTCCAGGAGCGTGGGCTGCTGCACCATTGCGCGCTCCAAGCTCCGGAGCCGCGGCACCTCTCGACCTCGCTGCATTCCCCAGCCGCTCGTCTCTAAACGACTGGGCCTGTGCGCCACCTTGACAGGCAGCTTACCCTCTGAAGTGTCCAGCTGTTAACAAGCACAACACCAACACAAGCACACACACACACACACCTTAAAAAAAAACATACGTACACACGTACACCAAAAAAAACAAAAACAAACAAGCAAGCAAGCAAACAAAACAAGCAACCCAAAGCACAAACACACACAGGACAACACACACACACACACACGTGTATATATATATATACACGACAAAGAGCGGAAACACAAGCACACAAACAACCAAACAACTAATCGAACAAAGAAACAAGCGAAACAAACAGAACACACATCCACAGAAAAAAAGACTAACATACAAACACACAAAACCAACACGCAAAAGACACACACACACAAACACACCAAACCGAACGAACAAACAATAATAATAATAAAAAACACACAAACACACCCACAGAAACAAGCATCAAACAACAGAACAAAACAAAACAATCAAAACAACACACAAAACAAACAACCACACAAACAACCCATCAAGCAAGCAATACAAAACAATAAAGCAAGGCACAACAAAGCAATGCAAACAAGCAACCAAGCAAACAACCTACAAAACAAAACACAACAAAACAAAACACCACAAACACACAATGCACAAACACGAAATCGCCAAAAAAGAAAACACGAACACCCGCACAAGCACCAAAACACACACACACACAACCCGTTCCTCCCAACCACTCGGACATTTCTTGCAAACCTTGTCCTACGGCAGTGCACACGCAAAGGAATTAGTGATCTCAGAAACTACGGCCTCTGAACAAGTTTTCTGGTATGACCTCAGAACAAGTTGTCTGGTATGACCTCAGAAAAAACGACCTCTGCAACAACATGCCACCCAAACAAACTGCGTTGCCCCAATAGGACTGCACTACATTGCATGTCAATGATCCTCCCAGGAAAGCCTGCCCACACCCCGCCCAACTGAATCTAAGCTGCATTCCGCAACACTCGTCAGGTGAGGATTCCTCACTCGTCGCACTTGCTATTCCCTCCCCCCCGTACAATGGAACGTGCCACGGCCAAATGATTCCGCGAAAGGCACTAGGTCAACTGCTCGTTCATCACCTCCCCGGTCAGTTCTCTTGTAACCATGATTGTTTAAACAGTTGGCCAACTTGCAAAGTTCTTTGAGAAAACGTGCCCACGTCCCATTCCCCTTGCTCGGCCCTCCGTTCAAGGAAGAGCAAATCTTCGTTGTGTGGTGTACATGTCGATGCTAGGCAAGTGACTACCTGATTACCTCCAATGGCACAATCTAGGCAATTTACAATAAATCTTACCTCGTCACCTCGTTGTTAAATAAGGTTTTGGAGCGTGCGCCTCGCCTCGTTAAATCCGTGGTCACCTCGTCACCTGGTCACCGCGTTAAATCCCTCGTCACATCGTAACTTTGTAGTACAAGTCTAGCACGCGGATAGTTGCCTAAAGTGCTGAAAAACTTCTCAGGCTCCGAAAAGTTTATTTTGCGCTTTGGCAGCCCCGAGCCTTCCAACACCAATGCCACGTTCCAGTACACTTCCACAGCTCCAGCTCGAAAAACTCAATTTTGTAGCACAAACCTAGTGCAAGAAGCGCGCTTCCACGACTCGTAGTACAAGCCAAGTACAAAAAGTACGCTTCCGCAGCTCCAGCGCGAAAATCACAATTTTGTAGCACAAGCCTAGTGCAAGACTCGTTTACAAGCCAAGTACAAAAAAGTACGCTTCCGCAGCTCCAGCGCGAAAATCACAATTTTGTAGTACGAGTCCAGAACGCGGATAGCCGTTGGAGGCGCTGAAAAACTTTTCAAGCTCCGAAAAAATTAGTTTGCACTTTTGCGGCCGCTAGCTGCCTGCAGGGTCGCTTATTTCCATTCTGAGGGCTGGCAGCCCCGGATAGCTGCCTGGAGTGCTGAAAAACAACTTTACAAGCCCTGAAAAGTTTATTTTGCGCTTTGGCAGCCCCAAGCTTGCCAATCACAACGCCGCGTCCCAGTACTAGTGCGCTACAGGAAACCTTGGCAGCTCGCAAACACCAATACAATGTCCTAGTACAAGTCTGCTATATACATGGAATACAATATGCAATACAGTATGGTTTATTAAATTGAGCTCTCAAAACTATTCATTTTTCCGCCGCTATGCCGTTTCCAGAAAATTCGTTCCGTTTGTTCCCCACTCCAAACACACCTTGGAAAGGATCCTTTGCATTTCCGGTTGCCGCTGGATCCCAAATGACAGCAATGTCAGAATATCTTTCCATGTGACCCTGGCCAAAGGCAAGTGGCTGGCCTTTGTTGTGTCAAAGGCTTTGCTGAGGGGTTGCCGGAAACAATGAGACTAGGGGTGCTCTGGGAAGGCTACGGGAAGGCTACGGGAAGGCTACGGGAAGGCTACGGGAAGACTATGAGAAAAAACTTTGCAGGGCCCAAAAAGTTATTTTCCCCAACAATCACCTCTGACAGTATAAAATAACTTTTTAGCCCCTGAGAAGTTTTTTTCCTGCTGTGGGACCCTCTCCTGCTGCATCTACGTGTGCACCTCGTTGTTCTGAATTTAGTTAAATCACCTCGCTTAAAATATTTGCTCCACCTCGCACCTCGGCTGACCTCGCTCCAAATTGCCTAGCACAATGGCACCCCTGTGGAGCCAAAAGCACCGGTGCCTGGCTGCGCACCTGTAAACACGTGGCGTGTGGACGTTTTGCCTCCCATGTGACGTGACCTTCCCAACATTTGAAACAGGAGGGCCCCAGAATTAGTGGTTGGCTTTTCTGCCTCTCGAACACCATAGGCATGCCCCATCCGACACACACACACACAGACGCCGGATGTCCTATACCAGTCCTCGCGCACTCCTTGCAGGTATCGGCTGAAGGCAGCCTTGGCAAGGGACCCTCACGCTCCTCTTTGTGCGAAAGAGTTGAGGACCCACTTGTGGAGTTGACATGCGACGCCGTAGAAGCCTCGCGCGTCTCACGAGGAATCGTTGGCCGGAAAACCCATCAGTTTGTCAAAAGGTCTAAGGAACCGACCAAGAAAGGCACACGACTTGCTCCAAACACACGCCAGGCTGCGTACTCGATGGTTGGCTCATCAATCTTCTGCTTGGCCAACTCTAGCCTCCGACCCGGCAACAGCCTCCCCCCCCCGGAGCGCCGAGCTTGTAGAAAGTCGGAATGTTGTGGGCTCGGCGGCCCAGCTCTTCGGTAGAAAGGCGCCCTCTGGAACAAAACAAGAAAGCTCATCGAGCCAGGTGACCCTCGAACCAAGCCTTTTCTTTTGCGCCTCCTCCAAACAAGAGTCCTTCTCTCTACCGATGCATCCAGTCATGGTCCAGCAGCGCCAGGCAACGAAACAAAGCAGCCAAAGGCCCGACCTCAAACTGAAACACGAGCCTGAGTCCAAACAAGAGTGCCTATCCGCATTAAATTGCTGGATCAGGTGTGACAGCCAAGCGTGCAAGCGCCAGCTTACACATCCATGCTCAAGCTGCGCTTTCAAAAAGCAACCTGAAATGCTCGCAGTCAACATTTGCCACCTAGGGAAACGCGGCCCTGCCACATACGTCAAGATCCAGTTGTTTCCGTGAGTGGAGCCTAAAAGAGATCAGAAAAGGCATCTCTCAACCACAGCCAGCTCAAGATCAAAAAAAGGGCTGGATGTCTATGAGTTGTTGCAGCACGAAGAACTGCATACGAGTACCATAAGAAACGCCCAAAACGGTCGACGCTTGGTGGCAAAAGCCCCACAGCCCCATCCAGTCGTTGGCACTCCCTCCTCTTGTTTGTCTTGGATGTTCTTCGTATGGAATATGAGCATGACCCGCTTCCAAAGGTAATGCCGCAACACATCTTTGTCACACATGGTGGGCGTGTTGGTTCTCATGTTCCCCCAAAACAAGCACCGCATCCCCCACCCCTCACCCCCCAACCCACAAAGCAACTCCCTCCAAAACCCCCCCCCCACCCCAACGAATGCCCAACGACCGAGCCGACAACCCAAAAACCCAACCGATTCGCGCCTCAGCTTGGAGAGCAAGGGGCACGTCTCCACGCCCGGACGGGCGCTCTCGCGCCTTTGAGCCACATGTTCCGGCAGCAACTGGGTGTCCCACTTCGGGCCCGGGCTCGAGCGAGGTGTCCCCAAAAACACGTTTGGGACGTTGAGCAAAAAACTGTTGCTATGACCAAGTGATGCTGTAACCCCTCAGTCTTCTTTCATCAGGCAACCTCAACGTCCCGCATGGTAGTGTAAGTTGGCGACCTGCCTCGCCACCGCAAACGACTGCGGCCCCGTTCCAACAACAAGAATAGCAACTCAATGCTGAAGGTAGGCACAATATGCCCTTGCCGCACTGGGCACGGAAGTTTTAGCGATAGTGTAGCTCACGCCTCAGAAACTCTTCTTGCAGCTATGGGGCGGCTTTGACTGGCCTTGGCCAGCATTCGGGGGGGAAAAACAACAAAACATGCACAAACAGCGTGTCCAGCCTCCAGTCAGCAACAATGGCAGCCTGTGACCTTCTCATGTCCGTCTTACCTACCAGAGTTGCACCTCCAGCAGCTAACAGCCATGTCCCAGAATCATCGAGGTGGAATTGCCCATGGCGAAATCAACTAACTAGAATTACCATAAGCCAGGTGGCCATTGCTCCGGAAGAAGGCTTCAAGGTCCTCCTCCGACCAAAAGCGCGCCTCATCTGGCACCTGCGCTCGAGTTGGCTCCCTGTCCCCTACCACTGCTGACCACCATGACCCTTTGGCGCCAGAAACGAGTCAACAAAATGCCTTGACACTCCGAGTGACCATGAGTTGAATGCCTGCACCATTGGCCTATGTCCTTCCGGCTGCTCGCCTCCCAGTTTCCAGCCTACCCCCTTCAGCCCCTAAACCCCGCCTTCCCGCTGAAGCTGGGGAACCTCCGCTTGATGGAGTAGATCTGGTCTCGCTCCAGCGGCACGGCCAACAGGTTCATGGCTCATGACCTTGGGATTTCTCGTTGCAACCGGTGGCCGTTCCAAAAAAGCTGCTGATCGTAGCGCCGACTTCTTGGGACATGAAATCAAACCCCTTTGGGTCGCCCAACTCGCTGGAAGCGGCTTGCAACGAAAAGGAGGGCATGGGTGCAGCCAAGGCACGGCCAGGCGCCTCTCATACAAGCTACCATTACGTGATCAATGTGTAAGAGCATACCCTCCAAGGAGCTTGAACAACAAAGTGCTAGTATCACGCTCCGAGCCCCTAAACAAGTGGCGGAGGCCCGGCCATACTGCATGGTGTATTGATCATGGTAGCTGCTGTTTGGAAGGTAGCATGTGCTTGCTGCCAACGCTTGGCTGATAGCATGTTGATACAATCTCAAAAGAAACATGTGGACCCCTTCAGGCCTAACATCCATTGCAGCCGAGCTTCGCCAGGCGGCGCTGGAACCGGGATGGCAATCTCGGGCCCAAAACTACTGCATGTGAAAAGTCATGGGTGGCCCAAGTAAAAGCTTTGCAGAAATGAGTCACGCCTGGAGCAAGGGAAGTGGAAGGATATCCAACACTTACAATGTTACTATACAGTTACAAAGTGCACATAAGGATGCTAACGTGCTTGCAGGTGATGCCGGCAGGCCTTTGGGCTACCAAGTTGTTGAGGCGAACGTGCATGCCGCGTGTCGCTCTCATCAAGCAAATGACATGAGCTGGTTTTTGGGTCCCTTTCAAAAGTCTCAAGCTCGGTGACCCATTTTAAGACAGACCCATCTGTTGGTTCACGATGCGAAGCCTGCGGCTTGCCTGAGACTCTGCCGTTGCTCGTCTTGATGCTCCTCTGACAGCTGAACTGCCTGGAATCTGCAAGCGACCCTTGTGAAATATGCTCAAGGCTACTAGCAAGTTGTACTGCTGGCTTTGTACCACAAGCACGTACATCGCCGCTCACTGACCAATCATGCACTCTTGTTGGAAACCAATGCTAGACAGGTACGTCTGGAGACACCAACATGGTGGGCCTCCTTCTTATTTCCCTTTTACCCTCCCACCAATTAACATGAAACCTGACAGGGACCCGGTCCTCCAGAAGGAAAATGGTCCAAGCCAGGACCCCCCCGCCCTTTTACATCACTTTCCATGTTCATTCGGAGCGTAAACCAAGCTGGAAAGTGGTTGCCCTCAAAAGACGCATGCCTCAGCTTTGAGGCGTCCTGGAACTCCTTGGCCCACTTCTGCCGCTCTGCTTCGCCTCAGCTTGCCGGGGTGCGAAGCCAAGCCCGTGGAAAAAAACGGACTTGGTCAACGTTTGACCCTACGCCCCGGATCTATACCTTTTCTAGTGTGGATTCACGGACTGCGTGTGGTTTTCTATACATGTGCTTACTAATTGTTTAAAGAAGATGGCTCAGGGCAAACATCATCTCAGGGCTGATGCTCAGCCGGCTGAAACAATGCGAGGGCAAGCTAGCTGGAGATATCTAACATCGCCGCGTGGGATGTTCGTGGCCGGCACAAATGCCCTGGACGTTCAACGGCTTTCAGGAGATGAAACACATACCACGAACAAACAAGGCAAACAACAACCATGGAGAGGGGTTGTGGGTTGCTTCTGAGTCTTGCTCCCAACAAGCACGGTGCAAATGGCGGGGGATGCCTCTGACCAGTTCTAGCGCACTACCGATGCGAGTTCTCAGTGGAACCTCCCGCTTGCACAGCTTCTAGGTTCGGCACGTTCTTGCATTATCCTGGCAACGCGAGGTCCGGAGTGAGTTAACAACACGTAGATGCATGTGCATGCACATGCCCCACATCACATGCGGTGATACACATACAGTAAAGGTCCTCAGATACGAAGCAGCAATCTGGGCTCCACATACAGCGGAGGACTGTGAATAAAATGCTGTTGCCCCGTCCAATCATGATAATTTAGGCGGTTTTGCCTCAGAACTGCAAAATGGGTGGTTCCAATGGAACTTCTGTGTTTACTTCGCCAAAGAGGGGGCCCTCAAAAAAAAAACGCTCCCAAGAGTTCTGGTGTCATTGCCTGAGCTTTAGGCCAGTCATAGTTCCTCTCGATAGTTCCCCCGATTCCCGATCCCGCAATTTATGCGATGTCCCACCTCTTCTCCACCAGCAACTCCTTCCAGGAGTTCCACACTGAGCCTCAAAGTGCCACCCTCTCGGCGCGCCCTCATGCACATGAAGCGGTTGGCAGACTCTGTGAGGTCGTGACCAGAAGCGCCTCCTCTGGCTTTGGAAGCCGAGCAGTTGGCTGATAAATGGTGAGCGATGGCCCCTTCATGAAAAAACGATTGGGTTGCAAGGTCGCATGCCCCCAAACGCATCGGTCTGGAAGCCGGAAAAAGGACAGCGATGTCTCCCAGGTGGCAACTCAAATTGATCCAGGGCCCTGACCCAGCAAAAGAAGAAGGTTGGGCTCGTCCTGCAATGAAACAAACGCCATGGAGTGACTCGTGCACCTACGCCCGCTGACCTGCAATGCGAAGCCTGGCTTTGTTTCTGGTGACAATGCTTGCAATTGGGAAATGACGGCCAGCGACGAATCAAAGGGTATAAAGTACAAAGCCATCGTTACGATATCTACTTTCTCTCCACAAACCAATGATATTGCTTGGCTTGCCCCCGGGCCGCCAGCATTGGACGATGGGCCAACGCACAACCAAAAAAGATCATCTGCCACGAACGGGCCGTGGGCCAGCACCGCAAATCAGTGCTGATCCCTATGCAAGGCCAATAGCTGAGATTCAGTGACAAACAAACTCACCTTTCGAATTACTCTTTGGAGCCAGTGGGGGAGAGTGTGCCAATCACTACTGACATAAAGTAAACAAGCCGTATCAAGGGAATTCCTTCAACACCCGCAAAAGGGTCTGCCAGTCTCACGCTTCCTTCGAAATGCAAAGTTGCCAGAATCATCATGACGCCCACGATTTCTCACAAAAGAAGACCCCTTCCGATGTCTCTGTACGTTTTGCATCCGAAGCCTTCGGCCGAACTCCGAACAGCGTCAAGCGTCCCAGGCGCGCCGTCATGGCCAGGAGGGAGCCTCGCATCTGAGAGTTCCGAAGGCGCTGCTCCTCAAGACAAACGGAACTTCGAAACGAGAAAACCCTACGCCAATAGCTTCCTCTTGCTGCAATCGCTGCTGCAGGAGAGATTTGCTGGTTCTCCCATTGCTAGCACCCCATGCTAGCGGACAAAGCTAGGTGTTGCTATCACTAGAGTTGAGAGGTAGAGGGGGGCCTTGGTGCAGCAAATGTCCGGCAGCGTGGCAACTCTAGTTGGCCTTCCTTGCTCAGTTGACTGCATATGAACGGGGCGGAATTGATGTATATACCATGCGAGCGTTACAATCTAATTCATTGGACAATTGACACGTTAGCTTCTCTTTGCAGGCAAGCAAGGCTGTCCGAGTGAATACCTTTGATCGCTCCCGTGGATCTACTCATTTGATGAAGTTCGTGCCGGGAAACAATTATCCAACATTATCCGCTGACAAATGCAAGGATCTCACTTCCCTGGTGTTCCAGCATGCTGTTCAAAGTGGGACCCAGTCAGAACAAGCCAAAGCAACCAGGAACGCACCGCGCAGCAAAAGGCTGCGCGACATTCTCCTCCACCTCCTTGCGGAGATCTTCCTGGCACGTTGAAGCCGCCTCCCGCCCGATTTGACGCACACAAACGCACAAACACGCAAAAAACCAAGATCAACTGAAGTCACTGCGCTGCCATCCTTGAGTCTCTTTGCTGGACTGCAGCTGGACATCCACACTTTTGCCCAGCATCCCAAAAAATGATGAAGCCGAGCAGCTAACCTGCATCGAGCGCGTACTGCGCTAACGGCAGTCTTCTGAAGCATGGGTCATAAGCTCTCGCATGAGCGGCCAAGCTTGGGTTCGAGCTGCCCCCGAGCTTAAACACTTCAAAAAAGGATAGGTCCTTGCACGCTGATGCGAAACCAAGTTGTCAACTTATCATCCTGTGATTCCCTGCCTGGCCTGTTCTTTATGAAGACGTTCCTGCCGTGTGCAATGACTGACAGTCATCTCTTGCATACCAATCTCCCCAAGAGACGCACCCTAAGTGTTCCAGCCACCATTGACCACCCAAAGTGGCAAACAAAACCAAGGCCCCAGAGTACCTGTCTGCCGCTTTGGAAAGTCGGCCACTCACAAACCAGCCAGCCATAAAAGCATCTTGTAAGTGGCACATATCTCTCACGTGGCCTACAACTCTGCGGCCATGCAAAGCACACTCGGTCAAAATTTGCGTATCTGCCTACAACAGGTGTCCTTTTCCGAAGGTCCGCTTTTTTGGGTGCTTCAGAGGGAACCAAAGGGACCACAACTAATTAGATTGTTGGCCCTGATTTTGAGATATATGTAATTACCCAGTCTGGAAACCGCCGGCTGGTCGTTTGTTTTTGCCTGGGCACGGCCAATTTGGGCCAAGTTGTTCCCTGGCTCTGCATGCTTTCTGAACGGAAAAACCACCCATGACTTTGCCTCCCTCTAAGCCAGCCAAGCCGGATCAACAAAACACAGTCATAGCCCCGACCAGCCAGCGGCAAAATCCATTAGAGAAGAATCATGTGTGCTTTCTGTCACCCACGCCAGCCGCCAGATCAATTTTGGTCCCCATCAGCAAAATAGCATAGATGGCACTGGGCCTCAAGGTTGCTCTTTTTCAAATAAGGTGTCCGAAAGTCTCGGCGCCGGCATTTGCTTGGGGTATCTCCTTAAAGCCAATAAGCGAGGTACAAGCTTGTGCCGGAAAGCCGTCTCTTGCGCGGATCGGCTTGCTGTTGACGCGCAAACACAGGTTGGCTCATCGCGGCCGGCCAAAGGGTAAGTGAAGCAAACACCATGGGCACTTCTGGCTCAAATGTTACATCATGTGCTGCTGCCTGACTATCGTCGCCTGCCAGGCTGTCAGAAACTGTATGTTGACCGCAATTCTACCGTCATGACACATCCATGATCTGCTTGCACATGTTGTGAATGCCAACTTGTTACATTCCGGCCCTGATGCATTCTACTGTTTTTTGCGGTCCCATGGCCGGAGCCATCCAAATGCCTTCTCCTGCTCCAACTCTTTCTCGCGTTTTGCAGCCTTCAGCTGAGCTTCGTTGCTTTGTCGCAGCTCGTGACAAGCAAGCTATCTACAGTAGGAGGAGGTATTGACAAGTTGAGGGACAACACACGTCAGCCAAACTCGCCACTTGCACATTGTTCTTGTGAGGAAGAGCAACTTTCACACAAACATAAACTGATTCTATACTGAGGAAACTGTCCGCTGCTTTGCTGCCCCAATGTGAAAAGCCGATGCGATTCTCCTCATCAAAGCGACCAGGGGCCACATGGCTGGCACATGCGTTGAATTGGCAAAATGTTACAACATGTTCCAACCTTTTGTTTGCGATGTCAATGCTTGATTTTGAACTCTGTAAAACACATCGATCGCATCATTCTTCCGGGGCACTCCATTTTGCGTATGTGGGTAAAATGGAGCAACAAAAGGCAACTAAGAGTATGCTCTTGTTTGAGTGGGTTCTCCATGTTTACTGTGCATTCAACTGGGCTCCGAGCGCAGGCAAGGGTGGACCACGCTCGGTAGATCCCCTGGAGGTAGTTCAGCCTCTGCTCCACCTGGGAATCCAAAGCCGAATGCCAACTGGATTGCAACTCAAAGGGGAAGTGTGGCAAAGCACAAGGCACTTGCAGTCTACATGCCAAACTCTGTGGCCTCCACAGTTCCATGCAAAAATGCAACAGCATAGACCCCGAATAGCGTACATAGGTGTTTACAGCAGTACCCTGACCAGCGCCCTGACTGCATCACCAAACACGCACCAGCAACCACCAGCTTCGTACCAACACCCTGACCAGCTGACACCTGCAGCAGCAACCCAGTTGAGCACCAGCAACAGCACCCTGACTGATTCGCTAAACAAGCACCGCCAGCAACTGCCACCGCACTTGGAGCCACCAAACAGCACCCTGAGAAGCACCCACAACAGCATCAAGACCAGCACCCACAACAGCCTCAAGACCAGCACCCACAACAGCAACTGGCTGCAGCGCCGAACAAGCAGGGCCAGAAACTGGCACCACGCCTTGAGCACACCAAGCAGCACCCAAACCAGCGCGCCAATTCAGCGCCCCGAAAACCAATCCTGACCAACAAAACAGGAATTGCCAGCAACCACCACAGCATCTTGAGCGCACCCCTAACAGCGCCCTGACCAGAACCTGCAGCATCAACCTGGCCCGAACTTGCAAAGCAGCCTGACCCTCTTTCGAAGCAAGAACCGCTTGTAGCTTTCAACTACCTGGGGAACAACAGGAATAACATGCGACGCGGATGGGGGGATAAAGGACGAGTTGAGTTCAGCCTTGCAATTATGCAAGTGGCCTACTCAAAAGAATCAAGTTTGGCTGGACATATTTTCGTTTCACTTCGCCTCCCTCCTCTTGAGCTCCTCCTTCTTGGACTGAACCTGGCTGAAAGGCGGGCCGCACCTCCCGAAAAGCTCAAGGGCTAAGCAACTTGCCACAAACTAAGGGACATCAAAAAACACACTTGCAATGCGGAGCCGTTCACTAAGAGTGGCAAAGGCACAAGTAGATCGAGCAGTTCTGGAGACTTGGTTCCTCAACGTTGCGCAACTTCTGTGGCGAGGAATTCCTCTTGCGCAACGGGCTTCTGGGCCCCCGAAAAAAAAAAAAAAAAAAAAAAAAAAAAAACGCTTCCTTCATAGCGCGAAGGCTGGTATAAACAAACGCACATGCGCAAACTGCACCGGTATGATGCGTCAATCATAAGCACGTATCTTGTAGGAAGCCCTCGTGCAACAGAATGCCAAGATGGCGCTGGTCCGCAAGCCCGCTGCCGCCTTGGCCTTCCACGCGTGGAAGCTGCCGTTGCGCATCGGAAGGCTGCCCTGGCGCAGCGGTAAAGCCAACTCCAAGGCCCCAAATCAGAGCTTCAAATCCCCCACCCGGGCTGCCAACAGCCCGTGGCCGGTAGAACTGCGTGCAGTTTTTTTGAGGCACTCTAGAACAGAAAGCTTGATGTAAATCTTAAATCTACCATTGAACATGGCGGGGCAGTGCTGCTGGGTTTCCCGCTTGGTGACACCTTGCTTCGGGAATCGGAACCCAACACTGACACCTCTGACATTCTCTGACCCAGCTAGAACAACATAAAACAAGGCCTCCTGCAAAATCTCACGTGGGCGCAATCAGCTGAGAGCTCGAACTCTCAGTCTCATTATTACCTAAGCAAAACATCCGGGTTTGCTTGGCCAGCACGCGCTCCTGGGAGCAGCCACTGATTTTAAGCACTTCTGGCGATCGTCTCGTTTGAGTTGGTCTAATCTGCCTTGCATTCCAACAGCCTCACGACCACCCTGTGCCAAGCACACAGTGCGGTCTGAAATTGGAGGCTTGTAATCTAGGCTTGGGCACCACTGCCTGATTGCTTGCCACCCCGGCAGCAAAGAGCATTGCTGTGGCGCAACTGCCAGAAGCTCAGATGACCATAGCCAGCTTCTCCTGCAGTCGGCATTGCGAGTTTATCAGCAAACAAAGGCCAAACAAAGGCAGCTGTGCAGCTCCAACTGCAAAAGCCGAGCATCCGAACCATTCTGAACTCCGCAGGGCCACTCTCATCGACAGCAATGCACCATTCCCGAGTTTTGCCATGCCTGGAAATAAGAAACGCAAGCCTTGAGATCAAAGTCCCAGTCCTTCGAGTCCTTAAGGGTGAAGTTGCCCGCGATCTTGCCGAACACCTGCAAGGTGCAGAAACCAAGCATCAGCATCCAAGCTGTGAAGCGCTTTGGAAAACCTTGACCTATGGCATGAGCCATAGGTTCAGCCCTTTGAAGGGAGAACAACTCACAGACCAATTTGGCTGTCCTATTCAACCGCTGCCCAGCCTTTGAATGCGGATGCTTGGAACCTCAGGAGCTGGCAAAGCAAACCTCCCAAATGAATGTACATGTGTACCAACGTATATACTGTAACCAATCAAAAGGAAGCGCTCAAGCGAGTCAGCCCTTTGCATCATTTTCTCGCGGATCCTAATGATCAAACCGCCTCCTTGCACATCGAATAAGATGATGACTATCATTATTGCTTTGACTAGTACTAGAATTATTATTATGATTAATTAAATTAGTTATTCTTCTTTCACTCTGACGCTTTTCCGCAAAGTGTGCGCGAGGGCACCGTCCCTTTTGGAGTTGCCGATGCGTTTGCTGAGGCAACGCAATGCGCCACCAATGCAAGCAACAGTGCTCAGAAAGGAACATCACCAGGCAACGCCGCTACCATCCGCGCAGTTCGTCATGCTTGCATTTGCGTCACCCGTTTTCCTGGTGCCCTCAGGCAATTGAAGACCATCTCTGCAAACAAATCCAACTCCCATGCTATGACTTCGGCAAACGCTAAGCTCCGGCTCACATCCCCGGCGGCGTTGGCATCGCCGCCTCAGCCGGCGCCGCAGGCCCCGCAGGCGCCGCAGGCCGCGGACCCTGGCGGAGAACTGGCGGCAGGCCCCAGCCCGCTGCCAGCCAGGCCTCCTGATGGTCCGAAACCAGAACTGAAGGTTTCAGGGGTGTGGAATCAACTCTTGAACACATCACTTGAATGTGGCAAAAAAAACCGGCCTTCTTCCCAATCAAAATTATGTCCAGCATAAAACGCACTCAGCCCAGAGTGGATCCCCTATGAGACGCAGCCTTCATTCCTCCCGCTTTTGGAGCTGTCGTTTGCAGCGAACTCGCCAGCCGGGCCTCCGTCCAGGCCCTGCTGTTTCGATTGAATCCCCGTCCTGTGGCAGGTCACCGGTACGATACCGTGGCCCGGGTGGCGGAGGTGGCTGCTCCGCCACTTTTAGGTACCTAGAGGTTTTCAGGAGCAAGCGAAACACTACAGCACCCAAAGCATGGGCTGAGATCCAGGGAGGCCCCTCGTGCCTCTCTCTTGGCTGACAAACAAACACATCAAAGACCTTGCTTTTGACTACTCCGCGTTTTGCAAGCCAGCTGTATCGTATCAGCAAAGCAAGCTCCACTCTGAACGGCTGTACCTGAATTGCTTGCTCGCCAAGGATACCTTAATACTTCAATGAGCTAGAAAGCAAGTGACTGGAAACTGGGCAAAGTCCCCTCCACAATGGCACAAAGGCTGAGCTTCGATCCCAACGCTTCGGGGTGCGTGGACACACCAAGGATTCGGATCAAAAGGCAAGCGCAGGCAAAGCGCAAGAGAGTGGTGACGACGAAGCCCAGTACTGTGACGACGATGGCCGCCAAAGCGATCTGCAAACTTCGCCGCCGCTGGCGGATGCAACGGCCTAACTGCCGGCGGCTGCAGAGGCTTCGGGCAATCAGCGGGGGATGGCGCTCCTTGCTCTCCGACTCTGCGGAATCTGCCGAACCGTCGGAGATGGCATCATCTGCATAGCCCTTACCTCAGAGACCCCTCAAAATCTCATGAAAGCAGGGCTGAACAAAAGGAACGCAAAGGCAGGCCGTTCGGGATGGTCCCAGAGCTGCTCTAGACATGCAGTAAACACTGCCAGATGTCGATTGTCAGCGGCTGACACGTACTGCGCTGTTCAGCGCAAATGCCACCAGCTTCACTTTATTTGGACTGCCGCAGAATTCGGAACCCATCCAGAGAATAATAAGGGAAAACATGTCAAAAAGTACCCGTCGCCTCTAAACAACATCAACAAACTACTTCAATGGGCTACTTTACGTAAAACACATGCTTGCGGCCAGGCTACGCGCACGTGCAGCAGGCGCAACCTCAATGCGCCAGTCTTCCGAGCTGCTGCTGGAGGCAGAGCCATCATCGGATCCCGAGTCTGGAAGGGGCTGCGGAGCCCTGGGTGCAGCAGTCTGAAAAGAACATACCTAACATACCGCTCCCCCTTTTGGCTTAGTGGACAACAGGTAAATTGAGCCGCATGCTGTATGCTATGCGCCCAGTTGCGGAGCCGGAGCCTTGGCCTTCGGAGCCCTTGAAGGCGGCACCTCTTTGCCGAGCTTGGCCAGCACTCTGGCCTGCAGCGCAGCCTTGTCCATCGGAAGCGAGTCAACTCAAGTCGATGAAGAACTCACTTCATGCGCTTTCCATCCATTGCTCTCCGGTGGCTTCTACCCCAACCCACCGCGTGTTCGCAGAGTCACTAATTACAACATGTTATGCAACCGTACCATGTTAAGCAGTGCCACTAGTAGATTGGTGGATTGAAGCCAAAGCTAAGAGAGCTTGCGCCCCTCCGAGGTACATTGAAGCCCCCTGCTGAGGGGGATCCTTCCATTCGCCTTGTCTGTTTGAATTCACCTTTTAGGCCAGTGTCAAAGGAGCTTCCCTTGAGTGGGGTGATGGTGAATGAAAAGGCTTTTGTGACTCAAGTTTAGACTTGCACCCTTTAGCTCTTGGCTCGGCTGTGCCACCATATGCGGGATCTCTGCAGTTGTCGTGTGATGTCTCGACTGCAGCCTTTTCAGGTGCTTCGATTGAGTTGCCATTCGCCCGAATTGAGTCACTCTTCAGCGGGCATCGTGATATGGCTAGGCCTGGAAAATGTATTTGCCCTTCAAATCCCTTGAGCATTTCTCAGTCCTTCTGTCTACTGCGAGCCTAACGCATCCGAGAGCAGAATGCAGAATGCCTGGGCCCAATGACGAATCCTCTTTGCAGCTTGCACACCACCCCCAACTGACGTGTCTAGCCCAGCTCAGGTGTCCCGGCCGCATTCACCCTGGCAAACCTCGAACTCGAAGGTATAAAGGCCTCAGACAAGGCACTCCAAGTCAAGAGCAGCGGCTGCGGTTGCAGAAACGGCCCCGGCAGCTAGCAAATAGCAGCCGCAACAGCAGAAGCAGTCGATTGCTTCGACTGCGGCATGACTGTTACGGCGGCAAAAGCGCTCGAAGGCATTTTCAAAACTTCTCTTTGCAAAAAATCGACAGCCAAGGAGCTGAAGCTACAGTTCGTGGCATCTCGGGAAGCTCTTCGGCTTGTCATCCAAATCAAAATGGAATTCTGAACGGGAGGCCAAAAGGATATTCCGTACAAATCATGGCGTCTTGGGTTCCAGGTTAATCTGTAGGTGTAAAAAAATACAATGGTACCTTGTGCACTTTCTGCACCAAGCCGTGGCTCTGCACAATCCCGTTGACAGGGCGCAAAGACATGCCACCAGTGAACCTAGCTGGACCCAACCTGGGTCCAAAGAAACAGGACACCACTGCCCGACATCAGCCGGCGTGCTGCATAAACCGCACAACTTCTGACCATTTTGCAAGTTGCTTGCAAAGCATGCATCGGGAACTTTCACGCATTACTTAATCAATAACCTCAGATCGCGATATTTCGTAGCATTCCTCAGCCAAGATCGTGCTCATTCTTGCTCCGACATGCAAATTGACGGGCTCTTCGAGCACCAGCTGATATCATTTGCCTGTTGCCTTGAGATGCCTTGAAATGCCTTGAGTCTTGATGAACGAACAGTTTTCCTCCCTGGGCGCCTGGCTTGCTAAGAATAGCGCGGGCGACTTCATCCGGGACTTCCAGGCCACCGTCCTCCATGACAATTTCGTCGATCCAGCTTAACTCTGGGCCCTGCCGACATGCTTAAACAAGCTCCAAAGGCCGCATGCCACTCGAGTGCACTGACTTTGGGCGTGCCGGCCTCCGAGTCATCGTGCTGAGTGCCTGGATTTCCGTTGATTCCACTCGAAGTGCATGACACATTCAGCAAGTGCGGCAAGCTCCAAACATCGAACACTCAAGGAGCAGCCACAGCATCCCAGCCTTCCAAGGCACAAGTCCAGCTCGGCAGGGAGCCTCAAACTGTGCTGTATGTATCCATATGTCATATCCCCCCCGTGGTGGACGGGGTTACGAAGCATGAGTAACATACCACTGTGCGTGCCTTCGTCGCAGCCAAAGTCATAGATGCCAGCAGCTGCATCATCCGGCCTCTTCGTCATCATGCTCACAAAGACCGTCTGCGACACTCATCGTTTCCAGCATGTCCCAGCTCCCGGCAAGCTTGAATTCAGCTGCCTGAATTGTCAATAATATGAGGTTCGTACGATGGCGACAGCGCTAGTCTGTCTTATGCAATGTATGATCCAAGTTGCTGGAGCTGTTGAAGCCGCTGATTGATCATCCTAACCAAAAAGATGGCGATATCACGCCAGCAATCAGTATCACTTTTGCTGGCCTGCTGGGTTCTTCCATTTGGCTACCTCCGCCATGCTGCATGGAACTGCACCTCAAGGATCATGAACACATTCTGAGCACGGTACGCCGTATCAGGCTTCAAGTCGCATTTCTGATGCTTGCGTTGAATGAGACAGCGATGCTTCAGGTGATGCGGCATGTCCTGTGCATCTTAGTAGTTTAGTCGGTTTGCTCACCTACGGGAACTTTGATGAATGCGGACTGCTAGATGATTGATGCATGTCAAAACTGTGTGTTGCAAGATGTTGCAAGTGGGGTCGAATGATGCTTGGTGCGGCAAACACGCTGCGTGTCACTACAGCCGAAGAAAGGGGTCTGGATTGACCCGCGGCTCAAGCCTAAAACGAGTACTCTGTTCCGAACGTCTGGAACGAATACTCTTCTTCGGGACATCTAGAAAATTGATGGCGCATTGAGGAAAGGGAAATCGGGTGCGACCGCTCTCTGACACTCCACATTAGGCAAGTGGCTGTTGCTGGGCTGAACCTGCATGAAGCCAGGCCTCCAAAGCTTCAAATTCAGCAAGCTCAAGCACACCCTCACATGCAGCCAGCTGTATGCTGAGAAAAGTTGTCACAAGCTTGCCTGATCGCTGTTGACGCAGGCCGGATCGAAGCTACCTGGGCCTCAATGCGTCGCCCCCATGGTGGGCAACCGTCAAGAACCATTCAACTGCATGTAAAAGCAGCAACAGAAGCAGGAAAGGCGCGCCCCAAGCCCCGCTGCTGCTGCAGCAGTGTCGCAACTAGTGGAACCATCTACTAAACCTGGAGATTCATTCTTCGTCCTTTTCCTAGGCGTTTTGGTTTCCTGGTAGTTTTGAGCGTGTTGGGCGTTCTGAGTGATTGCTAGGAGTTTTGGGCGACCCCGGAACCCAAAAAACGTATTTTTCTGATTTGCGGGCGTTTGCGAGGTTTTGTGGGCGTCTGCAGGTTTTTTTGTGGGCGTTTTGCGGGTTCTCGGGCGGGGGAGGAACATGTAGAAAGGGACCTAATCTGAAATCTCGCGAAACTATATTAAGTTTTGTCTCTGACTCTGACTCTGACTCTGTGTCAGTCTCTGTCTCTGTCTGTGGCTCTTTTTCACTCTCTCTCTCTCTCGTTAGAATACAGCCGTTGTGTACTACAAGTGCAAGTGCTGTTATGTTGTTAACACAAACAGTCAAACCTGTAGTCTGCACAGCTTTCGTTTTGCATATGCTCATGCAGTGGCAAGTTGGAGGCCTGCGGTCATGTGCAAGCTATGCAGTACCACACCACATGTACATTGACACGGACCCACAGTTGCAATGGTCTTGTAGTATCTTACAACGTTAGTAGTGGTGAAAGAGTTGCTGTTCACCAATGCTACTGTAGTATGTACCAGGTCGTTTAACTACTCTTCAGGCTCAGTAGTCGTCTGAGTGGCGAGGTCGGTGTAGATCAAAAAGGCGTAGTGCCAAAAGAACTTCATGCCGAGTGCTCCCGGAAGTAGTTCCTTTGTAGGACCTTCATTCCTCCAACGCTTGGCGTGTAGTTGCGTCGTTGAGTTAGTCGAGCAACTCCTGGCCAGCGCCCCGGGTCCGGTTGTAGTCCTTAGTCCTTCACCGGATTCACTGGCATAGTAGTTGTTGTAAGGTTCGAAGTAGTAGCCGATGAACATCTGAACCATGTGTAGTTGTAAGGAGATAGCGGCCATAATATTCTGTCGAGTAGTTGTTGAGTGTTGATCAGCAAATGGTAGTCCCAACTGTAGCCATTTCACAGCGTGTAGCGCAGGGTGAGCTCGTTTGAAGTTAATTGTAGGAGGTGCGCGCCCTGGTAGTAGTGGAGTCGAAGGTTGTAGTTGCTCATGATGAATGGAGAATGATGGATGTAGTCCCTGATGCAATAATCCAGGAAGTTGTCGCTGAGCAGTGTTAGTGGGTAGTGCTGCTGTGGTGATGAGCACGTAGTCGTTGATGCGGTTCGTAGTTGCATGGCATTCTGAAATATTGAAGCAATGCCAAAGATGTGCGTCTGATGCAGTTTCCATGATTTCAAGTCGGATGTAAGTTGGTTCATATCCTGCCTGGAAGTGAGTGTGATGGAAGAAAGGGTGTAGCTGGCTCTGAGTTGGCAATGGTGTAGAACAAGTTGATGGTAGTAAGTAGCATCATCTCGTCCTATAGTGAGAAAACAATAACCTTCAAATGTCAATGGCATGTAGAACTTGGTGCGCTGAAATGGAGTTAGCGCAAATGGCATTGCTCGTAGTACCGTAGTCCCAGAGATGTGCAAGTTCAAGTCGCCTGAGATATAGATGTCCGGAAGGTTGGAGTTGAGTGGCAGTGGAGTTGCCGCGGTCTGTAGTCGTTGGTCAAAACGAGCCTGTAGTTGGGCAAAGTTGCGCGCCGGTGGTGGAACCATTGTAGTGGCTTCCGGAGAACTCGACATTCCCGCCTCGTCCTCCGGCGTTGTAGTCACAAAGCGGTCCATGGCTGAAGTGACCTAAAAGGAAAGCGCAGTGAGACTGTAGTGCAAATGCAAGTGTGTAGTGGCTTGCAGAAAAGCGGGCAGACATGCAAGCACTCAAATGTAGTATTGACTGTAGCTGCCAACGCACGCCGCCCAACGCGCAAGTGACATTACAAGTAGTTGCTGTTACTTACTTACACATGTTACATGTAGCTAACTGGTCTGGATTTGTTGTCAGTTGTGTGGCGGTCGTTCGTAGTGCTAAGAGCGCATGCCAATGCTCTGGATGAGCCGTTTTCTTTGCTGAGGGGGTGAACAGATCTGCGCTGTTGTGAAGTGTGGAAGCCGTGGTTAAAATGTTTTGCTCGTTTGCTTGCGCCTTGTCGTGTAGCAATCCTTTTGCCTGCCGTGGAGTCTGTGTGAATGCGTAGGCCTGCTGTAAATCTTTGTCTCAAGTAAGAAGTTTCTGAGGTGTGGTCCTTCATTAACTCCTGCAAATTGCGTAGAGCTCAGATTCTGCTGAACTGAGCGCTACTGCAGCCTGTGTCCTGCTGCCAAATGCAACTGTTGTTGCAAGGAAGTGAATGTTGAAAACTGAAGCCGGTTTCCTGGTAGTATGAGCATTTGTGCTTTTAGGGTGAACTTGTAGTGTTTGGCGCCGTGCAGGTAACGTAGTAAGTGTTTGACTCGTTTTCGTGAGTTGTGTAGGTGCCGTGCGGTCTCGTGCTACTTTTTTTTGCGCACGCAATGTCTGGTCTGGTGTACGCTAACCATTGTGGTTACCGGTACCTTTTGTGTTGTTCGTGGAGTAGTGCTTCGTCGTCTTCGAACGTTTTTTTGAGTGTGGTGGGCAATTATTCCTAGAGTTGTCACGGTGTTGCAGTTGGTCATTCCGGTCTGCTCGATCATGCTGTTGGTGTAGGAGTCCTGAAGTCCAATGGTGCAGTAGTTGCCGAAGTGCTTGACAGTAGTACCTGTTTCTGGAGTCTTGTCGCCAAGTACCAGAAGTTCGTCCACGTAGACCATGATCTAGTAGTCACGTTTTGGCGCGCAGTACTTCAGCCAGGTAGTCTTGCCAAGCTTTAGGTGGGCTGCGTAAGTCCACACATGGCTTTAGTCGCCATAGTTTGTTCAGTTGCGGGCAGAGTTCTTTAGGTGGCCAAAAGCAGACGTCGCGTTGTTTGCCGTTGCCTTTTGCGTGTAGAAGCGCTGTAGATCTGTAGTGCGAGGAGTGTCCGTAGTGTTGCGAACATGGGTGTAGAAGCGTAGACGCAGTCTTCGTCCACGATCTTCTCGGTGTAGCCTTTTGCGACCATTCTGCTGCTGCGCTTCTTTCTGTGGACCCACTTTGTGCCTAGTGATGTCGTCAGTGAGTGTGTACGCATCTACCTCGTCGTAGACATCATGTAGTTTCTTTCCTCCCAGTTGTTGCGTTTCGTCATAACCTTCATTGTCGAAGATTATGCGTTGGTCTTCTGAGGCGGCGTCCTTTGTGTAGGAGGTTATTGAAGTTCCGTTGGGTAGTGTCACTGCGTTGGTTCTTTGTCGTAGTGGTTGTGCACATGGTTCTTGGGTCGCTTCTTCCTTTGATCTGATTGTAGTGTCTTTTGAAGTCTTTTGGGCTGTGGTTGGTTGCGTTACGTCTTCCGGAGTCTTCTTGTCGATGTGGTGGCGCTGGTAGTAGTGGATGTCGCCGTCCGGTTGGTGAAGTAGCCATGGGGCTATCTGGTAGCCGTCGTGAAGTTGACGCCGAGGCTGACGGAAGTCTCGGGGGTGACGTAGTGCGTTGTTGCTTCGTTGCGGGTTCCGCGACGATGTCGTCCGTTACATTCGTCTGTTGTCCGGCGTCTTGTGTAGTTTGTCTCGTTTGTTGCGATGATTGAAGTTGCGTGTCCAGGAGTGTCGCAAACGGCGGATTGTAGGTGTTGCCTCGTGGTGCCCAAGGCGTGCCGGAGACCTTGTTTAGTAACGCAAAGTCATGCTTGAAATCTGTTTGTAGTCGTCGTGCTGTTCTTGGTTTTAGCACGCCTTGTCCTGCTGCAACGTAGTTTTCTCCTGGTTTCGGAAACTTTTCCGAGCCATATGCGCTTTTGCATTTCGAGATCGGCTTTCGGAAGTTTCTTGTGTTGTGGCGGAAGGTAAAAAGTCGTGTTTTGCCACATTCGCAATTTGGGGAGCTTGTGTAGCCGTCGGAGTGGATGACGTAGCGACTGACGGTCCGCGCTGCATGTCGTACTATCCAAGGTAGTAGACAGCGCTTTGTGGACATTGTGGCACTGTAGGTGCTTTCAACTTGAAGTGTTCTGTGTAGTCGGTCAACGCTCCCTTGACTGTTGCTGCTGAAGGACGTTGAGTGTCGTACCGTCCTTGAGCCGACTTTGGATGCTGTTTCTTTTAGTAGTGCGTTGAGGGCGTTTGTGTCGTCGCTTTGTAGTATGCCTTGTGTTCTTTCGCACTCAAAAATGAGTGCTTGTAGGTTGTTGGTCATGTAGTCCATCATTGATGTTTGTCCGGAACCGCCAGGCACAGTTTTGTGGTAACATCAACTGCTGTTGGACTGGTACGGTCTTCGGATCCTGCAGTGGTTTGATGTGGGCAAAGCCCACTTGAGTGATGGGTTGTCATGACTGTTGCTTCTTGTAATTAGTTGCCCTTGCGCACAAATTGGACACCAGTTTTTGTGTGGTAGGTGGGTCAGGTTGTGTTCTGCCATTTGTTGTGGAGTTGGTTGTCTTAGGCCTCTTGCTCCGCGCATAGTCCTCTTGGAGGTATTCGTGGTCTTTCTTTATGGTGAACCTTGTTGCGCCCTTCCATTGGAATGGTAGTGCTGCGCTGTCGATGACTGCCCAGTCATGTTTGCGTTGTGAAACTTCGCCGAAGCTATTGTTGGTGATTGTAGTTTTATGAGGCTCGAGTGTGTTGACTGGTGGACCAGGGCATCCTGCCATATCTTTTTTGGAGTTCGTAGTTGTAGCTTTGACTTTGTTTGTGGTGTCTCCATTGTATGTTGTGATTGTGAGCTTTGTCTTGTTGGTGTAGTCTTTGTTGTCACCCGGTGTGTAGGCGTGACTTTTCTTCAGAATCTGGCTTCCCTGGCCCAGTCATCACCTTCAAGTGTTCTTTGTAGTTCTTGTTTGGAAAGAGCGCTGTGCGTGGTCGTTTGTGGCCTTGGATGGCGTAGTGACCATCGAGTTTCCAGTAGTCGGTGTTTCCACCAAGGATTCGCCTTAGTCTTTGGTCTGCGTGTGCGTTAGTCGTGCAATTTGTTCTTGTTGTTGTTGTTGCTGCCTTGTTTTCTCCGTAGGCTGGATAACCTCGTTCTTTTCGGTCAGACAGCAATTGCCAAGATCCATCCTGCCGAGCTTGTCACCCTTGGTCACCGTTTTGTCACCCCTAGCTTTTGGGCTGAAAAAAGGCGCTAAACGGCCAATTTCCCGACTTCCCGAAGACCACAGAATGCGTTTTCCATTGTCTGTAGTCATTGGGTAGATGTCGTGTCCTGCTGTGGGATGTCGATCTTGCTCGCAAGTAGAAAAGTCCTGAGTGTCTGAATAAGCGTGCTTGTTGCTGTCATCGGGTGATGGTGCAGTGTCGAGGGTTGAAGTCAAGTCTATATCCTCTATCAAGAAGTCTTGATGCGCTGAGGATAGGACACTTCGCATCAGAAATGTAGTAGGGTGTCATGATCCCGAAGTTGTCCTGCTTGTAGGGAATATACTCGTACGATAGACAGGGATCTGCTTAATAGTAATGGTGTGGAGTTTTGGGACTGGCCCTCCGCAAGGTCGTAGTGGTACATCCGGCGCACAGTCCTTTGGGCAAACATGTGTAGATGCTCTTGACTCAATCAGCAGACGGTGGTATGACTTGAAGTTGGGGTACATGATGTAGTGAGTGATGTTCTCATCAACTTTCTGTTGTTTCTGCTTTTGTGCTGCTGCTATGTCGAAGCGCAGTTGTGTTGTGTCCTCTTGTGAGTGCAACTGAAATATGTCGCTGCGGTCGTTCCTTGATATCTCCCTTTCCAAGTCGTGCTTGTCTGATGTGTCCAATTGTGAGGTGTGAATCGTTGATGCCTCCAATGTAGTTTCATCTTCAACGCTGTTTTCGTTCCAATCCCAGCTGCTGTCATATTTGTAGTCGTTCCAATTCTCCTCCGTGTAGTTCATGTCCATGTCCTTCTTCTCCTTCGTAGTACCAACGCAGTCCTGTGCCCACAGTGGCCAGGCTTGCCACATCTGTGGCACGCTTTGTAGCCTTTGCTTGATCCCAAGCTTTTGGGTCCTGAGTAGCCTTTTCCTTTGCCTTTGTTGTCCCCTCCTGCCTTTGTCAAGTCCTTTGTAGCAACCTTTGCTCCTGTGTTGCCTTTTCCTTCGCTTTCTTTGTAGTGTCCGAAGCTCTTTTCTTTGCCTTTGTAGTTTCTTCCTTTTCTCCAGATGTTGTCAACGTGCATTGGTGCAGGTCCTCCGTTGTAGTTTGTGCCAACTGCTGAAGTCCGTGAAGTCGATCTTGAGAAAGCGGAAATCGTCCTGTAGTCGTCCAGGATAAGGATGATCGCTCTAATCTCATTGAAGTCGTGATTTGTCCAGCACGTAGTTGGAGATGTTGTTGCAGTGCTCCTTTGGTCTTGTTGAGTGTATGTCGTATTCCAATTGTAGGAATTGTTCTTCGAACTGTGCTTCGTTGAATGTGGGTTCCAGTAGTTTGGTGAGGTAGCCAGCGCTTCGGGTTCCTACTGGTAGGACATCCATTTGCGTTGTGGCGGTTTTGTCGTACTACTCTCCTCCCCCAATTAATGAATGACCCCAATTAATAATAAATGCAAATCCGGGGCCCGGGACCAGATTTCCACTCCACACAATTGATTTTCCATTGCGCCAACACTAAACCAATACTAACGTCTTGGAATCCTTATTAGGGGGCACTTTTGGCAAGCTTCCAGCCTCACTTTTAAACAGGTGGGTTCCTCAATTCCCCAAAAGGTTGCTTTCCCAAAAGCTGGCTTCTCAAAAGGTTGGGTTCTTTTGGTGGGTTCCCAAAAAGGTTGTTCTTGACTCTGTTGTCCCTGGCTGTCCCTGACTCCCTGGCTGGCTGCGTTTGTCACCTGGCTGCGGTCTGTCTGGTCTGGCTGCCTGGGCAGAGCTCTGTCCTGGGTTTGCCCAAACAAACTACGAAACATCCTTTCTGCCTGGCTGCCTTTTTTTTGTAGGGGTTATGGGGACCCAAACCACACTTACTCCGCCCTGGCTGCCTTGCCTGCCTGGCTAGCTAAACAAATAGAATGATACATCAAATTTCCTTATTGAACCGCTTACTCGCGGACCTTACAATTCAATCCATTTCATCCAAATCCTACGTGAACCCTCACATTGTTGGAAAAGCAGCAAAAAAACCAACCCCAAAAACCCCAATTAAAAAAACATATATTTTGGGGGGGATTTATTTATAATAGGGGGGGGGGGGCGTATTTATTAATAGGGGAAGAGATTACTATAGCTGCTGCTCCTTGGCATATTAATATGTTGATGAGGATGTTGTGTAGGTCTTTTGTGAGGTCTGCTGCTTTCGTTGTTTGTGTAGGGTCGCGTATGTGTGCTCTGATGTCTGCATCCTCAATTTGTTGTGTTGCTATTTGTGCCACTTGCAGCACCATGTCGAAGTCTTGGTCGAGGAGTCCGAGATAGGCTTGTAGTTTGAACAGCCATTCTTCGTACCGTGAGTGGTCACCAATGAAGAACGGTGGAACGGTGGTGGCAGTTTGTGTTTGTGTAGTCTTTGGACGTCATTGTCTTGCTCCTGTGTCGCTCCTGTTCCCGTAGCCGTAGCTCCTACTGTCTCTGATGCTGTTGGCCTCTCAGCTCCGATACCACGTTAAAATCAAACGTAGCTACATGCGCAAGTGCTGTTATGTTGTCAACACAAACAGTCAAACCTGTAGTCTGCACAGCTCCTACCTTGCATGGGCTCCTGTAGTGGAAAGCTGAAGGCCTGCGGTCATTGTTATGTCCTTCTCTCCTCCTCTTGCCTGCTCTCTTTCTTTCTCTCTCGCTTGCGCTGTCTCTCTCGCCCTCTCCCTCGGCGAGTGCGTGCTTAGGTGCGCTCGTGCCAGGGCGGGCGGCGTGCGATCGGGCAGGCGGGCGGGCGGGCGGACGCGCAGCTGGGCGGGCGCGGGCTCAGTGTGGTGTTGTGCGGTGTGTGCGAGGGTGTGTGTGTGTGTCTGTCTGTCTGGTCTGTCTCTGTTCGTCTGTCTCCGTCTGTCTATGTGTCTGCGTGTCTGCGTGTCTGTCTGTCTGTCTCGTCTGCCTGCCTGTCTGCCTTCTGTCTGTCTGTCTGTCTGTCTGTCTGTCTGTCTGTCTGTCTGTTTGCCTGCCTGCCTGCCTGGCTATCTGTCTGTCTCTGTCTGTCTGTCTGTCTGTCTGTCTGTCTGCCTGTCTGCCTGTCTGTCTGTCTGTCTGTCTGTCTCTGTCTCTCTCTCTCTCTCTGTCTGTCTGTCTGTCTGTCCGTCTGTCTGTCTGTCTGTGTCTCTGTCTGTCTGTCTCTCTGCCCGTCTGTCCGTCTGTCTCTGTCCGTCTGTCCGTCTGTCCGTCTGTGTGTCTGTGTGTCTGTGTGTCTGTGTGTCTGTGTGTCTGTGTGTCTGTGTGTCTGTGTGTCTGAGCGTCTGCCTGCCTGTCCGTCCGTCGGTCTGTCTGCTTGCCTGCTTGCCTGCCTGGCTTTTTGTCTGCTTGCCTGCTTGCCTGACTGGCTATTTGTCTGTCTTTCTGTCTGTCTGTCTGTCTGTCGGTGTGTGTGTGTGTGTGTGTGTCTCTGTGCGTGTCTGCGTGTGTCTGTGTTTGCGCGCATGTGCATGTGCGTGTGCGTGTGCGTGCGTGCGCGCGCGCGGGTGTGTGTGTGTGTGTGTGTGTGTGTCTGTTTGTGTGTGTCTGTGTGTGTCTGTGTGTGTGTCTGTGTGTCTGTCTGTATGTGTGTGTCTGTGTGTGTGTGTGTGTGTGTGTGTGTGTGTGTGTGTGTGTGTGTGTGTGTGTGTGTGTGTGTCTGTGTGTGTGTCTGTGTGTGTGTCTGTGTGTGTGTGTCTGTGTGTGTGTCTGTGTGTGTCTGTGTGTGTGTCTGGGTCTGTCTCCGCTCGTGTTTGCGTGTGTGCGTGTGTGCGTGTGCGTGTGCGTGTGCGTGTGCGTGTGCGTGTGCGTGTGCGTGTGGGTGTGGGTGTGGGTGTGGGTGGGTGTGTGTGTGCTGTGTGTGTGCATGTTGGGCTAAACGTTCTGCAGCGGCTTTTCTAAGGAAAACAAACTCCTCACAGAAGCCGATGCAACACTTTTGTCCAACGTGTTCGATCATGTTGAAGCCTCCAATGTATCCAATGTAGAGCCATGGGAATGTCCAGGACCAATTGACATCCACCCACTTCCATGCACCCAACCCTCACATACAGAGCGCAAGGCTGGAGAGCTCGCCAGTCATCCTTCCAAGACCGGCAAATGCTTGCGGAGAGGATGGCATCCTCAGTTTATATGAACGAGTCTCGAAAAAGAACCTGCGTGAGATCAGGAAGCGCCAACGAATTGCTCACTTAAGTTCAAACACACGAAGCCAAGTGCTCCGATTGGCTTCACACCGTGTCTCGACTGCATGATAGCAAAGTCACAGCCAAGCGGACGTCTGTGGCAGCCGCAAGCCAACGCCATACTTCCAACGCAACGCCTTGCAACCAAAACCGTGTGTCAAATGGCAAATTCCCAGCAACACAAAATAGCCTCGTCCAGCTCGGCTTCACGCCCTCCATATACCTGCTGTGTGGCACCATCTACAGGCAAAGCTAAAGGGATGATACCAAGGACGGCACGCTGCAAATGAAATCAATGAAGTCGTCCTCTGTCAGCTTTTCAGGACTGTGCTTCTCGTAGAACCTGGCCGGTAGTCCGGACATTATCCAGCTTGAATGCCTGACTGGCAAGAGCTACTGCATGATGGCAATCCGCAGCCGCATGTGGCGGTCGTCTCTATTCGCAGGGTGCATCCTTGCCAGGCGTGAGGCAGGATGATCTAGCCGCAGAACTGAATACCAAGTGCCAAACTGCAAACCCTGAGCACGGCCAAGACTCCGCGGCACTGACCAGGGGGGTGTAACCTACTCGGAAACTGAGTGCATCCACATGGCTTCAATCCATGGTCAGTTTCATGGCAGGGCCTGTGGATGCACAGGATAGTTGCCCATCAGGGAGAGCTGCCTGCCAAACGACACAGCCCTAGAAAGTTGACAGCCCGCCTGCGCGCACCTGAGAACTTCAGTCTGAACTTCTGTCTGAGGATGGAAAGCCCACTCAACCTGCGCTCCCGTTTGCCATCACCTAATCTGCAAAACCAGCCACGCCTGGGAGCTGTTCAGGGGCCGTGACGGCCTTCCAACATGAAGTAGGACATGTGTGGCTTGCAGAGATGACAGGCATCTGAGAGTGGCGACCCGGTCATTTGCGGCGGAGGCGGCTGAGTACTTGACCCGCTGGCCTGATGAAACAGACAGATCTCAGGCAGAAGGAAAAGTGAATCGCTAATGGCAACAGATCAACACATTAGCTTGAAGCTACTACGTCAAGCGAAACAAGTCATGCCAAGGACTGCGCAGAAGATTCTGCCACAAATGAAGCTGCCTTGCGTGTATGGCCACAGCAATCAACACTCAAAATGTTTGGAAGCTGCAACCGCCTGTGGCGAACTCATTTTGTTTCTGCTCGGTGCTCCACTCACCTGCACATGCCGCTCACACATAGCACATGAGCTGGTACCATACCATGATGCAACTCGGATCAGTCGGGAAACTTCGAGCCTCTGAACATTCATGGGAAGCATGTGTCACACGGGCCTTGCGGTCCGAATCCACGGGCATGGGAGACGGGAGAACATAGGGAAGCGTGAGCCCGAACACTTGAGCCACAGAATGGCTGCACCCAATGCTTCCCCAAAACGATTCATCGGCACTTCATCGGCATCATCAAGCAAAAGTCATCTATTCTCATCAGGACCTTGGCCGAAAGCAAACATAGCCACCCTCTATATGCATAATGATCTGTCTGCTGGAGGTTGTCTCTTGTGGTGCCTGTTTTGTAAAAGGCATGCGTTTGGCCAAGTGGTGGGAGGTTGCAGGTTGCTTGGCAATTCTTGAGATGTCTGCTGAGACTCAACATCAACGTCCACGTTAGTTCAGTTCCAAACGGATTGTCCCAGTGCGAGCAAGGGCCTGCATCTGGGCTGGTGCTAAGGATGTTGCCAGGCGACCAAACAACCGGCTCATCCCCGCTGGTGTCGTCCTTGACCTGGCCAGGCTGAAAGGAGCACCCATCCAAACCGTCGTGCCGAATCCCAACACCAGGGTCCCTGAGTGAACCAGTGACAGTGGGGCAACATGAAGTTGTTATGGGCATTGTCAAGAAAAGTGCTTACCTGCCCAACGCGGTGCGGCGCAGCTTCAAGGTTGGTCACAAAATCGCTGCCTCAATCAGGATTGCGTCTCCGAAGTATCGCAGACGAGTGCCCAAGATTGACCAAGACACAAGACGTGTCTCACTGTCCCAGGGATGTTCCTGCTCCCCATTTTGAGACACCCACTGGCGGATCTAGCTCTTGTCAGCCGGGCTAGGATGCATCCCACCTCCAGCTGGACAGCGAGCTGCTCAGTGCCTTCCTTCAGGCCCTGACCGGACTGGCCCAATGGATTACTTCCCCCCCTTGAGAGCCCTGAGGCCCTACTAAGGCCTTACGAAGGCCTTACGAAGGCCTTACTAGCTGATCAGTGCTCACTTAGCACTTGGTAGCACCTTGAGACCAATTTTTGCCTTGCCTCCGGGAAATTGGTACAATAGGAACTGAACGTCAAATTTCGCAGCTGGCCTCGTTCCAGCAATTTTGAGGCACCACTGAGTCCTGACTGAGGCCTTATTGAGTTTAAGGCGTTACTCAGGCCTTAGCAAGGTCTCGAACTGGCAACTTGAGATGTGCGACATTGGTGACTCACCTCCTCATGGCTAAGATTTGTGCATTCCTAATTTCCTTGGGTGGACGCCCAAAAGTTCCAAAGGCAGCGGGGCTGCTCCTGGATTGCCTCTTTGCAACGATTGCTGGAGGACTCCATGTGAGGCACATGTGAGCCTCAGCATCTTGTGCTCTGCCAAGGTACTCGGCCCAACTTAAGTTTGGGAAAAATTGGGTGCTTGTTCTGTCCGCTTTTGCTTCATCCTTGCACGGTCAAATCGACCTTTCCCTCACTTTCACAGTGCACCTGGCAGTTGAACATGTCATCTGCCTGCTTGGATGAGTAATGCTTGTACGTTAGTCGCGCACATGTGTGCGCATGTCTGTCTAGAAGCGGACAGAAGCGTCGCTGAAGGTCGCAAACATGTGCAAACCATATCCGCAGCTGACCCTTGCTTCTCCTGCTCTTGCTGCTAATTCCCTCTGACAAGCCCGGGCTCATTGGCTTGACAAAGTCACCTTTTGCTAATTTTCAGGCGCAACCGCCATATACCAAAATGCGACACAACACATGTCTCGCAAAACAACAAAAACACACACAAAAAACAGGTGATTGACTGTTGACGAGCAAGACCGCAAAAACAAATCAGGTTGCAGCCTCCTCCCTGTTTCCATTTGAGTTCCATTTCAATCATTCCCACAAAAGGAACTTAGATGCTCAGTGGCCATGCGAAAAAAGAAAGAAAGAGGGCATCCTTGTCTGGTTGGTTGACTCTAAAGGGACACCCTTCCCAAAAAAGAAGGAAAAAAGGGCACCACTGGGCAACTGGGGGAATGAACCTGACAACGCAACACGCCACCTCGCCTTGGGCAGCAGGAAGCTCTGGCCCACGTCTGCGGTCACTGGGCCCTTCACTGCCAAGCGGAACTCCCCCACGCCCGAGGCCTTTGCGACCTGGTGCCGGAGCTTGGTTTGTCTTCGAAGCCTTCTGTCTGCCTTTGTCGTCTTTTGTCGTATTTGTGTCTTCCTTTGTCCTACAAATACCAACCATACCGGTTATTAAGTGGGCTTGGATGTTCATGGCACATCCTGGATATATAATCGGTTGATTAAATGAACTCCTTGGGGATGGGTGGGGGCGTTTGGCACAAGACACACATCAAGTTCACACCTTTCACCAGCCTGAAGCCAAGGGTGGGGCCATGCTGAGCAGTTTTGTCTCATGACGCCTGAGAACTTCAGAATCAACTGCATGTCCGTCCCTCATCAAACAATGGCAACCTCCCTCAACCTAGTCCCGTAGGTCAAGCCTAGTTACGAAAGCTTGCAAGGAACCCCAGCTCAAAGCTCTGCCTGCACCACGCCAAACCCCCCTCACCCCCCCCGCCCTCATTCAGCCAAAACTAGTGGAGTGTTTCATAGCTTTCCTCTTCTATTCGTGAACGTTCAAAAAATTCCATGGGCCCGGCCCGCCTATCTGGATTCATACAGGCCAAGCCAACAACCAGCATATCTGAACATGTCGGAAGATTGGGTCGAAGACTAGGGCACAAGTCCCAAAAGAACGCCGAAAAGCAGCCACGGGCTGTCTTCAAATGTATTAAAATGTCCACTTTGTCCTAGGAACGCCTGGGTGACACAACTCTCTGATGTCAACCGGCACCCGTGCAATGCAACCCATGGCATTTGACAGCATTGCGTGGATTGATCAGTCAAATGAAAGCAACAAATGCCAGCAGAAACAAGCCCAACCGTCGCGTTTTGAATGGCGGGGCGCAGCGTCAAAAGAGTCAACAATGCAAAATGTTGGCATGCATTTGGTGGATTCCCCTTTTTGGCTTGGCCTGGAAGCCGAAGCATTTAGGGCTTCCGTCATGAGAGAACCCAATGGCTGATCTCTCGGCCTTCACGTCGCACATCATCTGCACAGTGTCGCCCTTGGCCACACTCGTGGGCGTGGCCTGCGCCATGCCCCCCCCCCCCGGCCCCGACTGTTGTTCTTAAAGCAACCGCCGTAGTGTCCCCATTTCAGCCCTGGAGTGGAGCTGGGGTCGCTGAAAAAACGAAAAAACAATCCCTGCCTTGCCTCTTGGCGGCCTTGAAACCAGTTCACCCGGGCGCTGAGAACCATGCAGCAAGCGCAAGAGCGCGCATCTGATTGGTAAGTATAAGGGCACCGGCTACAGCTTGACTGGGATACGAATGGCGCAGTCATGCCGAGAGCTCTTTTCCTGATTTTGTCATTTTTCTCAGGTGCTGCCTCCGACGGCCAATCTCAAGCCCCATGAGGCAGCATTATTGCTGCTCCCTAAAAGCTCCCACCTCTTTGCACCGAATCTACTGTAATGCACTTCCAATCTTTTGTGTGCAAGGAACTGAAGTGTGTCAATCCATGGCTGCACGGTTGGAATTCCTTAGTGAGTTACAGCCTCCTTTTGGTTCCACTGTAAAAGGGGGGGTGGTTCTGGTGGTTTAAGAAATGCCCAACCCCATGGCGAAACCCACCTTCACGTCCAGGATGCTCGCGTCCGCATCGTCCGGGCCAGCCGGGCAAGCTTTGATGATCTGCGCAAAGGCTTCCGCCAGGGAACGAAAAGGATGCCTGGAGGAAAAAAGGAGACAAACCAATGGATTCTGTGTTTGGATCATCTTCGAGAGGCTCGGAGCGATCCTGAATAATACCCCCCCCCCCACGTCTGATCCCATTGTAGAGGCAGCTGCTTCCTCCTGGTCTTGATTTCAAGGAGGGTTTTGGACAATACTCAAAAGGCCAAGGACAAAGTATAAGGTCACTACAAGCATTCTTATCGACCCAGATTCTGGCGTGATGCAACGCCTTCTGTAGATCCCGTGCGGATTGTCTGTGCCATGCTGGTCATCAGTGTGCCCCACCCATGGGTTCCAACACGTCGTTCAGGCTATGATGCATGACATATTGAGCTCTGCAAATTGTTCTCGAGTTATCCGAAACGTTGACATGAGTTCATGATGTACACAATTGGGTGAGGCAGAAACAACCTAGTACACATATTTCACCTGCACCAGAAGCCTGCCCTGGTGCAGTGACACAAAGCCTGCAGAAAGAGCCAAGCCATCAAGACTTCCAGCTTGCGGTTGCAAGGCGACAGAATCTGGCAATGAGCTTGTAAGCTGGCTGGAGGTATCAGCTAGTACGCATCTTTGACCGTTGTTTGCTTGCTTGGTCAGTAAGGCCAAGATGGCCAAGGTTGCAAGCGGCAGCCAAAGCGGCCTCGCAAAGGTAAATGGGATCCAGGTCCGTGTGGTTCAAGGCTTTCACGAACTCCTGCGTGGCTTCAAGGCTTTGGCAAGGAGAATGGAGCCGAGTCTTTCCAAACAAACGCGGCGGACTGGCAAGCTACCGACAAAGCAAAACACTTTGCTGCCTGCAAGCCCGGAAGATCCTGCACGTCGACATGGGGCTCTTTCACATCCGCCTTAGGGCCTTTCAACCCGATTCCCCGATTCCCCTTAGGCTCGCTCGCGTCCTTGATGCCGACCAGATCGCATGCAAGGTTACAGGCCTCGGTTTCAGGCAGCTGCCACTTGCCAGCCCCGGAATCGCAATCGCCTCCTAAGCCTAATGAGCGGTGATCAAAATCAATGGGCCAAATTGCGATGATATCATTTGGCGCTTCCGCGTGCTTCCACGCGCTTCCGCGCTGCGGGCGTTTGCTTCCGCACTCTCATTTCCCTTCCGCGCCTTCCGCGGCTTGCGTCTCTTTCTTGCCAAGCCAACACAACTAGATCCACGGAAGATGAGGCCAGATCGGCCCATGGCTTTGGATTTGGCGGCTTGGACGCTAGAAGCAGGTAAGTGAAACAGCCATGCTGGGGAAGCCCTGAAGAGATTGCGAGCCTGTGCTTGAGGCATCCAGTTTCTGTTACGAGCAGTAGACGGCTGTGGCAAATGGTTTATGGGTCACGACGAGCCCTGAAACGCGAATCCCAATAGATTTGCAACGCATACGTGAAGACTCACGACACACCGCGGCTAATTACGATTCCTGCACAGGGCCAACGAGAACAACACATCGCACACAAGTCATCCAAATCACGGAACCCTTCCGCGGTCCTTCCGCGACCTTCATCCAGTGTTCCGCGAGTTCAGCCCAACATCAATCTCCACGCATGTAAGGCCCGGGGTTCAAAAAAGATTTGTTTAGCCCGAACAAATCGTTTTTAAGCCCCGGGACCGGCCCCGAGCAAGAACAACTTGTTGGGCCCGAACAAATCGTTTTTCAGTTCTGGGAGCAAAACCCAAAACGATTTGTTGAGCCCGAACAAATCCCCAGCCCCGGATTTCTTGGGCCCGAACAAATCGATTTTTCAGCCCGAAAGCAAAACCAATTGTTGGGCCCGAACAAATCTTTTTCAGCCCCGGGAGCACAAACGATTTGTTGGGCCCGAACAAATCGTTTTTCAGCCCCGGGAGCAAAAACGATTTGGGCCCGAACAAATCGTTTTTCAGTTCTGGGAGCAAAAACGATTTGTTGGGCCCGAACAAATCGTTTTTCAGCCCCGGGAGCAAAAGCGATTTGTTGGGCCCGAACAAATCGTTTTTCAGCCCCGGGAGCAAAAACGATTTGTTGGGCCCGAACAAATCGTTTTTCAGCCCCGGGAGCAAAAACGATTTGTTGGGCCCGAACAAATCGTTTTTTGGCCCTGGCTGCTTCGCCTCGATTCAAAAGTAAATGTCGGCCAGCCAGCCCTTTCCACGAGGCCTGTGTGGTTACTCGGGAAAGTATACGGAGCCATCCCACAAAGCGCAAAGTCTTGAGGCTCAAGTCCTTCCGGGCTCTGCTGGCAGAGTTGTGCCTCTTGCGGGCTTGCAAGCCCGGGGCGCGGAAACGATGCCCGAACATTTTTTTTGCGAAAACCACTGTTGGGCCCAAATCGCTTGAGAGCAAAATATTTCTACACGCTTTTGACGCTCCAAAAATGTTACCCTTCCGCGCCCTTCCGCGGCGCAAATCTCTTAGTCAAGTCCGCCGGCCCTTCACCAAGCTTCCGCGGCCTGCAGAAAACCTTCCGCGCGGATTGATTTCAGCGCTCCCTTGCTTAAATTGCTTTGAGCTTTTTTGATCGCTGCTCTATTGGAAGACTGCAACAAAATACGGTCTAACGAAAGGGCCCCTTCGAACATATACCCTTCCTGCAGCGTCAAGCGGTCACTTATTTTGGTTCATTTGGGACATTGACTACTTTTCTGGAAGCGGCCTTCAAAACTGGTCGTTGTCAGAATCGAGCAGTTTTCCGAGAAACGAACACAATTAAAAAAACTGTGTGTTTCTTGCCTGTGAAGCATTTTCGGGGCAGCTGAGCCTGCAAGTCTAGGCACCACCTAGCTTTCAAATCCTGAATTTCGTGCCTTTAAGAAGTGGAGCCAGCACAGGGACAGGAATTGGAAGCAAGAATTGACCTTTGGTCTGACCATTTGTCGTTTTTGCGCAAATCTGTGACCCACAAATGCCGCAAATCGGGCGCAAAAACCCGCAAAACGGACGACAAACCCGCAAGCGGAGCAAATCCAAAAAAGTGGTCAAATCTAGAATTGCAGGATCAAATAGAACGAGCTCCATTGCCTCATCAGCTGGCGAACCCCAGGGTTCGATCCAAAAGTGTTGTCCAAATAGGGCAAACAGCATCATCACCCGCATGGCAAGCCAGTTTCGGGCCGTCCATAATTACAAAACAACAGCCTGCAAGGATAGTCACGACCCTTTTCCGTAGAATCGGGCAATTTCTTTCCAACTCAGCCCAAACGACCCATTTGTTCATGCGGCCAGAAACAGTGCGACAAACCAGATCGAGCAAAAACAAGTGTTCGAATGAAGGTGCAGGTTTCGTTGCTGTTACCACTTCTGTCTTGCGATCGTTGGCTTCTCCCTCTGTTTTCGGTGGTCGAAGAGCTGGAACTTCTAGGCATTGCTCGAACCCACACAAGAAGGCACGCCGTACCAAGCAAAAACCGACTTTTGGGCCTGCCATGACGTCCACTTGGGCTGAATTGGTGCAATGGGATATCATGTTGGCAGTACGCACATTTACACGCCTTTCGATATGTGGAGTCTTAAGACATTCGAAACCAAACGGAATTCTGCAGCTGACTGTCTGCGAAAGCGAGTCGGGCGTTGTTTAGCAGATTTCTTTCGCGTAAAAGGCCAACCTTGCCGAACAACTCGCGGTTCATTGGCTTGCGCGTGCTCCTGAACACAGGCTTCCATTGGGAGCACGATGGCTTGTTTCAACACAAGTATCTAAGCATCTACCGGCGCCAAGGGAAGCGCCCAAGGATTCAAAATATCTGAGCAGCTTAGCGGCTCAAGGGGCCAATTATGGAAGCTTCGTGGCATTTGTCGAACTTCAAACCCCCCATTTATAGACTGCCAGTTGAGCGGTGTAGTTGAGCGATGTTGAGAGGTGTTCTAGTTTACCGCTGTTTTCTGTTGACATCATTCCATGCTCCGCGAAGCCTTCCGCTCACCCAAGGGTACGTTTCGCGGACCTCTTCTGCTTCAAAACACTTCCGCGGGTTTCCACACGTGCGCGTTTCCGAGACAGGTCTACGTGTGTGCTTCGTGTGTGCATGTGGTAGCAAGGCAAGAGTAGCCCTTCCGCGGGAAAACTGCTTGAAACCCTTCTGAGAGCTTCCACGCGTGGGCTCTCAGTCAGCTCTTGTTGAATAATGTCGGCTCGTAGACTTAACATTGCCACGGCAAATGAGAACGCTGCTCAAGCGAACTCCATACCCGAATGACTGGACAGAGTCAAGGTTCACTGAAGAATTCCTGACTCTGAACTCTAGTGAGTTAAGCCTGCAGCCAACTGCTCCGGCTTGCTCTTCAGATGCTCACAGAGCTTGGAGCAACTCTCCACCACACCCGCATTCCTCGGAGATTGCCACATGGAACCTGCAGCACGCCTTCCGAGCCCTCCCGGCCACAGACCAAATTTGAACCCACGGGCTGACAAAGTCGTGGGCGCAAAACAAGGTGCAGCTGAAGCGCAAGAGGTAGTTCAGCAGCCTGGTGGGAGGAAAGCACCCACGCCCTTGGGTAGGACCGTCCTTTCCGGGCTGGCTCCCAGTTGTGGTCATTGGAAGGTTGCCCCAATAAAGTGAGAGAGGGTTCCAAAGGACGGGCTGTAGATGCTTGCTCTGTGCCAGTAGCCAATGGCTTGTATGTCACTCATGGCCCCAACACCATGATGGAATCTCATCCCCCTCTCAAGATTGCATATTTTGCAGTGTTCACCTTGCCACGTGTCGACACACACACACACACACACTCTCACACGGAGAAAAACTCCAAAGGGGGCAAGCATCTGCGATTGTCAGACCTCTTCACCGTGATAGGGCCTTGCGAGTCCATCAGCAGCCCGCACGAAATGTCACCCACTGACGGGCCAAAACACGCCCAGTTGATGCACTCTGGAGGTGGAAATCTGCTCATCTGCACCACCCCACGACCAAATCACTACCCTCACATGCACGGGCACTGCCGAACTTATTGGCAAAATAAATTCTACCTGGTCATGACCTCCTGCATGATCGGGGAATGCCTGGTGAGGGACAAAGCTCTGCAGAGAGCATTCTACCAAGAAAAGCTACCTGCTACTTCCTGATTGAGCAATCCTGCTCACAATTTCACAAAGTAAGCTTCTTCTTCCATACGCCTCCGCCAATGCTACCCTCGAGCCAAGAGGCAGGTTGATGCCCTGCGATCCTAGCCTGGGTGAGGCTGGGGGTCAATGCACGCCCCGAACTACGCAACAGAGACATACTGAGATCCACCAGCGACTTTCAGCATCTGCTTCAGAAATTTATTTTCAACGTTTGTAACCTAAGTCCATAGGGCTGCAACCTCAAACACCTCGTGGAATTGCTGCGAGCAAATGTTGCCTTCCGTATGGTTTGTTCAGTTGGCCTGGAGTAACATGTCAAACACACCTCCTGCCACTTGGCAATGAAAGCCCAGCCAACCAGCCCAAATGAATGCCACATGCTCTACTCTTGCATTTTGCCTCCTACCGATCAACATGACGTACAGTATTGAATAGAATCCATGGCTTCCAGCTTTTGTGATGCTCGGACAATGGTCAGATCATCCTCCTTGAGGGGGCTTCTTTCTTTGGAATAGCCACGGGTGGTCGATGCCTGCCGAGTTGCTGCACGCAAGGCGAGCAGAATGCGTTGGGCAGCTCGGTCTTCGATGGAACCAGGCCTCAGCAACGGTTGAGCCAGCCTTTCTCCCATGGATATGTTGTGGTAACATCGTAGAACAGCCTGCCAGCTTGCACATCTCACAGTCCAACTAAAACACAAACACGAGTACACCTTGGACAAACATAACACAATACACACAACATTGCACACAACACTACATACCACGGATCAACGTCACACCCCACAAGAAACACAGAACATCATTCAAAGAACGGCTTGCCTCTTAGAGCAGCAAGATATGCGCAAAGTAACACTGTAAATCACATACACAGCGCAAATGTTGAGATGCCTGTCCACGCTTTTGCTTTCCAGTGCTGGCGCACAATCTTCCACCCACCCACCCACCCACCCACCCACCCACCCACCCACCCACCCACCCACCCACCCACCCACCCACCCACCCACCCACCCACCCACCCACCCACCCACCCACCCACCCACCCAGCCACTCGCCCGCACGCCCACACGCACACACACCTTGATTCTGCACGGCTTCTCGGAAAAGTTCTTGGTATCCGAGCTCAGCTGCGCCTGAGCTGCCACAACTACCAGGAAAGCCGCTGCCGCACGCATAGCGCTGAGGTGCTGAGGGAGATGCTTACCGCCAGCGAGCTGTCAAATGGCTGCAGAACGTGACAAGAACAACTAGGGCATCCTCATTTGCCAAATGACCCGCATAAAATAGTTCACATGTTTGGAGTCTCGACAAATTACATGGGCAAATGAACAGCATGTCAAGCAGACATGGGCCTCAGTGGACTTTTCTTGAATTCAAGGGGGCCCTTTGCCTTTACACTCAAAGGTCCTGACGTACTTCCTAGGTACTACTTTACGAAGCCGGCCTGGAGGCAAGACCAAGCACGGACTGGAACCTGGCTAGATGATGGCACCATGGAAAACTAGTTGTTGTCTCAGCCTGAGCTTAGCATGCCTTACCTGGGTGCTGAGTATCCTGTGAACGTCCGGAGTCGGGTTGCCTTGCATTTGACATTGATAGAGACCTAGCTTGAGAATCAAGTATACAGGCTTGAGCCGACTTGCGGCATCAGCTTGTTCAAACAGCTAGGGCAGTTTTAGCGAAAAGCAGTCAAATCTGAATGAGTCCACCGCACTAATGCACGCTTCAGCCAGACATGCCTAAGCGCAAGGGCCCGTGGAAAGCCTGTGTCAAGTTGGGACTTTGGAAGCCCCGGCCATAAAGAATCAAGGATCGCTTCTGATCGTGGAAAGCGGTCCTTGGGACGAGGGAGTGCCTTCTGAGTAGTTGGGTTCCAAAAAACAACTGGTCCCATTTCAAGGGCTCCAACAGGGGGTCGTGTGCTCTGACCACTTTTGGGACGCCTTCAATGGGATCCAAAACAGAACCCCAACCACGGGGGAGGGGGTTCCTCTGGAAAAAGCAGCTCGCCTTCCCATCCCAAGCGCCTCAGTGATGAGCATGGCGAATCGCCGTTGGGCCTGACTCTTCCGCTCCTTTTCGCCTCAGAGAAGGTAAGTGGTGAGACTCCCCGGCCAACGGAAGGGGTCACAACACGTCCCCTGCGGATGGACGAAATCCATTTCGCACCACCTGAGAAACCCTGGCAGGAGGAGTCCCCTGTAAATACCAACAAACAATGGTTTCCCGGATCCCAAGTGGTGCAGGATTCTGTCCATCTACAGGTTTTATCCATCCTTCCATTGTTCCCATGTTGGGTACATATTGTTGACCCACTGCCAAGTCCTAGTAGTTGTGCTCAATGACACAAAGCCAAGCTGTGACGGCTGCCTGCGGACCTGGCTTTTGACCTTTCTGCGTTGCTTTGCATGAAGCGAGGCAAACAGCGAGATGGATGACCAAGCGTTCAAGCACCAGTTTCAATGCAACATGTCAGAGTGAGCTTCCTTTTGGTGGGTGAGGTTTCATACTGTGGAAGGATTGGCGCCAGCCAAGGAAGCTGCGCCCGTTGCGCGTGGATGCCACGGCATGTCCTTTCTTGGGGCCAGGCGTTCCTCTCCACGCTGGCGCTCCACCTTGATGGCCTGCAGTGCGGCACTCCATCTGCTTGGAGGTTGCCATGAATCCGCCCCACCTTAAGCGGGGGGGGGGGGTTCCCAATTCCATGTATTTTGTCTTCCCAACAAAGGGGAACATGGAGGCAAATATCGAATTTCAGGTTCCCCCCTCCGCAAATTCCATTTATACGGGGGGTGGGGATCATGCTGATTTTTGAGCACCTTCAGTCTTATGTTTCACCCAACCCGAGCCAAGCCCATTCGATTCTAGCAACACCTGTATCGGCCACTCACTTTGTCCAATAATTCTTGTTTCCTATCCCTGCTGTAGTCAACAAGTACTTGAAAAGGGATCCAGCTCACTGAACAGTTGAAATTCTTACCCCCTCCTTTGGAGGAAAGCAATAGCCCGAGATCAACCTTTTTCAGCATCCCTTCCTGCCATGATCTGGGTGTCAGGCAGGTATACCACTGTATATATATATATATTGCCAGCCGCTCAGCGGCTACAGCAAGGTGATGAGCCCAGCCCGAGTTGCCCGACGGATTGGGCCCGCGTGTCGATCATCAAGCTTTGCCAGGCGCGCAGTATTACCTGGCACTGAGCGTGTATCTATCTGCGATTGTTACTCTTCCAAAAGCGACATTGAGGGATCCCCAAGTACAGGACCTTTACCATGGTGAGCCGGTTATACTGCCAGGTGAGCTCGCTATAAAATAGACAGATCGATTCAAGACATGTCTGACTTCCTGCCTTCCCGCACAAGGCCTGACGCTAAGTTGTGCTAGTCAGCCAGCTATTGCATATCCGTAGTGCAGATTTTGCGAGCCGGGTGATTCCCAACACATGATTACTTCATACAACACCAAATTGAGCAATGCATGGTGAAGCGCTTTTCCCACTGCCAGGGAACACATCAATGAGATCGTCTAGGCTCGCCAGGCATACGCAAAGGCAATTCCTTGCGGGCTATCACAAGACCGAACAGAAGCAACAAGTTATGGCTCCCAACACAAAACACACAAATGCAGCAACAACCTGAGCCAAAAAACACCGGACCTTGTTTCCTGCCCGTGTAGACATGTGCGTGATATGTTGGAGAGTGTAGATGTATGTAGCGTGCGACGCAGTACACATCTGTTTTTACGGAGGTATGCACCGGGGGTCCTTGTCACGCAGGTGTGCAACAGGTCTCCAAATTCAAAGATGATCCAAATTCGATTCGTTTCGCCGCCTTACCGTGCTCTATACCGTGCTCTCTGTGCGTTGCTCTTTTTTCTAAAATAGGTTTGTTGTTGTTGGCTTTGTTTTTTTGTTTTTGGTGTGTGTGTGTGTGTTGCGCCTTGCTCTTGCAAGAGAAAGATTTCAAACACGGCAACACACAGCCTCTTTTTTCTGTTCTCTTTCCCATTCCCTTGTTTTCTTAAGACTCCCAGGGTGTCAACTATTTGAACCCTGGGAGTGGAATTATGACTCGCCACTCGCCAAATTCTGAGGCTGGACTCCCATTAGCCGCGCTAGCTGTTTTTTCTCCCATTTGCTTGTTGGTGTTGCTGCGGCGCTTGGTGGTAAACAGCGCACTGGAGTCACTAGAGCGTCGGGTGGGCGAGATTGAAAGGTCGAACTTGTTTGAGAAGAAAGCCATCGCCACGCTTGCTGCGCGACACCCTGTCCCGGCGCAATACGAGAAGGACAAGCCAGCTGTTCGGGAGAATGGGCAGTGAGTCAATCGGTGCGAGTGGATAACACGCTGTGGACCAATGGGCGAGCGAGGTGTCCTGCATCTTCTAATCGGAAGCCCCGCGGCGATCACGTTCTCCAGCCAGCGACCTGGAGGAGGGTACTCCGTGATGATGTTGCTGGCTACATTTTGCGTTGCCGATGCTTTACGGCATTGCAGTGCAGCTATTGCCTGCCAGTTCTTAAAACACACATGCCGCTGTTCGTAGCTAGTAGCACGGTAGGCAGTGATCAAGTTGTTGCTCTTTGGTTTGGTTGAATGGTATCGCAGTTGCATGTAACATTTGGCTTGGCTACAAGAATCATGGCTGGGAGGTTTCTTTTTTAGTAGCAGCGTTGTCCCTGCCTTTTGCCAATGCCCAGGACAGAAGACTCCACCCTGAAGTTGTCCGACAACCCATATCCATATCCATACGCAATGGGAAAAAGGTGCTGGAAAAAGTACTGGCAGTACATCGTAGCGCAGAACCGCGAAGCAAAGTGCATCTCCCACGGAGCAGGGGCCGGTGGCCCGGCCTGGCCGTTCCCCGCTACCTGTTCCAACTTTGTCTCTGAATGCAAGTTGACTCTTCACAGTATGCCCAGCAAAACATGCTCTGCAAAAGCCTGCTCTGCAGGCACCCATGTGAAATCACTCAGGAAAGTGTGGGTGTGCATAGTTGTATGCAACGAGGGCATGTGACCAGCTAGGCTGTTTTGTCATGTCAACGTCGTGAGGTATGTAACGAAGATATGTAACGATGTAAGAAGCGGGCAGGCCTTCTTGCATATGGTCTGCAACGGGGTACGCAAGGAATGTTTGCCGCGGATCTGCTACAAACCCCTCAAACAATCTCTGCCTGCGTCCCCACTTGTCACTGAACAGCTCGGCTGTGCCAGCCTTCATGGCGTACGGGTCCATCGTCTTTGGGTCCGCTGTGAGTGCCAAGGTCTGGGCAGCAAAGGTTAGTAACAAAGATGGAATGAGCGGCGGTTGACATGGAGGCAGGAATGTCCCTTGTTTACCTTGTGTTATGGTTACTTTCTTATGGGAGCTCTTCACATGTGTCCGTGCAGCGTGGCAACGAACGGAATCCCGGTCTGAGTTTGTGCCAACACATTTACTAAGTTGCTGCTTACCGGGCCTTGAAGCTTCAAAACAGGGCAACCAACTCCTGCTGCAAATTATGTCATGTGCTAGCCGAAGATGTATGGTAACCATGACAATGAAGTGGAAATCTCGCCTCCAAGAAGCTCGAAGCCCCCAAAACCTTTCTACAATTGGAATCCTAAACAGTGGCCTAGATAACGCTCTCACAAACTCTTTGCTTCAGACCATGCCATAGCCCAAGCATCATAAACGCTGAGAGATGTGCAAGGAAGACTGCTCCTCAACATAGCCCTTGATATTGAGAAAGGCCTCCTAGTAGAAACCCCAAAAGCACCAGCACATTCCCTCGAAGTCTCACAGCCTCTCTGCTCTCCACACCAACGCCACCAGAACACATGCACCCGGCCCGGATACCTCTGGGACACCACCGCCATGACACTGTTGGGACACCACAGGAAAATGGGACACCACAAAACACTATAAACAATACCAGTGGAACACATATACAACTTGTCCAGAACCACCCGGCAAGCAAGCAAGCGAGCAAGCAAGCGAGTGAGCGAGCCAGCGGGCAGGCTCAGGCAGGCAATCACCCAGCGTAAGCCCACCCCAAACCCACCCGTATTTAAACCTACACAAACCAACCCCGAACCTATCCCCACCACGCGCCGCTGCTGCGAGGCGCCGCTTCTGCTCCTCCTGCAAAACAGGCAGTGCCGCCTCTTGGCAGCATAAAGGCGCAAATTCTCGTGGGACAGGCTTTTCATGAGATCTTCGTAGGACCAACTCTGCTGTAGCTTTATGTTGCGTCGCCCGAGTTTACCTTTTGGGCACATGCAATTCAGGCCGGCCGTCTTCACCACACGTGCATTGTTCGACAGGTGGTGGTGTTGGGACGACAATTCGCGTTCCACGCTACTGTCGGTCCTTGGCCACACGGATGTGCTCCCGCCGCATCTCGTCTGCCTTCTTCTCCTCTGATGCAGGGGCTGAACCAGTCAAGCCAAGCCGAAGTAACCGACTTCGAGCTGTGCTTGTACCCATGGGCAATGTTGCCTTCCTCTCACGTAAAACAGCTGGCATTCGCGCACCAGGGCCAAGAAGACATGAAAGTTGTCTTTTTGACGCGGCCTATCTTGCCTGGCCCCTACTCACTACCTTCAAAATCCTAGTAACCTTTCCCTTAACTTCTCAACGGAATAACTCGATGACTTGCCTGAGGAACACTGGCAAGATTGGATTTGTGGAGGCTGCGACTTCTACTGCTCTTCTGGGGAGTGACTCCTCATGCTTCGCGTCGATCAAGCGCCGCCAGCCGAAAAATATCGCCTCAGGTTGAAGCAAAAGCTTGGACACGCGCGGACCACTCGTGCATGTTCATAAGGCTCGATGTGTCATCACTGTGCGTACTCTGTTTGGCAAAGCTGCTTCTCAGACTTCCGAACAACGGAATCTGGAGATGGAATCGGCGGCTGAGCGCCCCGACTGGGAGCGCCGTCTTTGGGAAGTCTCCGGCCCAGTGCATGATGGTCTGCCGCACCTATCGCAATGCTGGGCTAAACAACTATGATGTCCACTTCGCATGAATCCAAAGGACTGTGCTCAAGAATGGTTCGCCAATCAGGGGTGATTTTGCTTTGAATGGGGGATGGATTCACTTTAGGGGAATGCCTCTGATAGTTGGGACTCCGCGTTAAGCCAAACCTTTTATTCCAACAAGAATCCTGCGCAACGGGATGCTCTAAGGACATGCACATCACATGCCAAGCAACACGTTTGAGTCCAGTGGGTGCCTTTGATTTCAACGTGTTGCAATGGACGCGTCAAGGGTGCAAAAGAAAGCTCTGCGTCCCAAATCCTTGGCAACGTTCAGCAGTCGCAAACGGCCTGGTGTTCTTTCATCTTTCTCCTTGGCTTGAGCGCGTCACACAACCCATCTCCATGCATTGGGGGAGCCACACATGAGGTCAGGATATGAGCTTGATCCAACGAAAAAAAAACAACAACCCACACCCGATTCTGCAGTGTTTTGAGCAAATTGAAAGTCACACATCACTGACTTCCCTGCATTGCAAGCCCCGGAAGCCTTTAGCAGTGCCAGGGGTCGTTATGATTCCCTGAGCGGTCAATTCTTTGCCATATGCTTAAGTGCCCAAAGGCAAGCTTGCTGCAAAAATGGGGTCACAGGCCGTCACAACACCACTACCACCCTCACAGCCCTCGCCCAAGCAACACATGCTGCGGACAAAGAAACACAAGGGCTGCCAGGCGTCTTCTCCTTCTGGAAGCGGCCTTCTTTGGCCACCCGCCTCCAACCTTCCAGTGCCTCAAGGTTCCGAACTAGTTGTTCCAGATCCCAATGCGCATTTCTCCGAAACGGATATGGAAGGTTAGCCTTTTGGACTATTTGGACATCCCTCCTAACACGAGACCAAACCTGGAAGAGCCGCCAGTGAAAGACAGAAGGTTGAATTTGGGCAAGTGAGAATGCAAACGGGGGCAGTCGACACATGCACCATTCTGGGTCAAACTGATTATTGAAATCTGAAACACAAGCAAATCAGTATTATACAGGCATTTTTGGTAGGCTGGTCACCCATTCCTCCGATTCTGATCTGAAAGGCATAATTACCCCCCTGTTGACATGCGTACAACAATTGCTTGGCTTTCACTTGCTTCAACTGGCAAGCGTGGGAGTCAATGGCCAACATGTCTGATTTAATAATTTAAGGAAGCCTCACAAAAAGCAATAATGCTATTTCACCGCCCGCAAATGCCGTCGCTGTTATGCAAAGCTGCTGTTAACTCAACACAGCTGAAACTCTCATTCATTGGCCTCTAGAAAACTGAACGCAGGGTGACCCTCGTGGTCCTGCATGTTTCAAAGAACCAACCCACTTGGAGTCGCCGAGGACGTCGCTTGTCTAAGGACAACTGACAAATCCAGCGAGGCAGTTGCGGGATCCCCCAAGCTTGTCTTGCTGGAGCCAGCTGAATGAGTCGAACGCTGGATCGCCCATTTTCAGCTTTTGTCCAGGGTTAGCCATCAGAACGCAAAGCAAATTCATACTCAGATGCTCAGTGGCCATGGGAAAAAAAGGGCATCCTTTTCTGGTTGGTTGGCTTCAAACGGACACCCTTCCCAAAAAAGAAGGAAAAAACGGGCACCCTTGGGCAACTGCGACCATGCAAGCCCCAACAAATCGAGAAACCCTTCCCGGAGAAGGTTGGGAGAACGTCGGGCCCCGGCAGTGCGGCCCTCCTGGGCCAGACTAGCGTGAGCCAGGCCTGCAAAAAGCTGGCAGGTTGACGTCCGTTGCTGAAGACTAACCCGAAAACGAGGGGGGGTGGGGCCTACAACAGAGAACATACGGGTACCCATACCGGGCTGCGGCATTCACTTTCAGTTTTGCACCTTTTTTGACTTCTATGAAGGAATCATTTATAATGATTCGTTTGGAGCACGTGAGCCAGTGAGTCATTGCAAAACGGGCAAAACTTGTTGCGGGGCAACGGCGATTCAGACTGACCGGCGGTGTTTCAAAAACCTTCGAAGACACCCATCTCTGCCCAATCCACCCTCAATGCCGTGACACGTGGTTGTTTCTTCTGAGCTTGCCCTCGCGCAATGGCCTAACCCGGTGATGCCAGCAAGTGCCAGAGCTGAACATTGTTGAGAATGGCCAGGTCATCCTGAACCCCGCCTCCCACGATGACGTTGATTTTCGACCTGGGCAGGGGCTTCAGTACTGCGATCCTGGCCGCGCAATGGCGACATAAAGATGGGCAGGGGAAGGGTCCGTCAGGTGAAGGATCCCGTCAGATCTGAACAAGACAAATACATGCAGAGTGGAAACAAACACGCAAGCACAGAGAGAAAGAGATATGAGATAGCCGACAACCAAAGACTGAAAAGCCACAAACACACACATTGACATAGACAAACACACACACAACAGAAGTCATGCAACCACACACATCACAAACAGAGCCACACCAAGACCCAAAGACACCCTGAGTGATCGAGAGACAGAGAAGGAGAGAGAGAGAGAGAGTGGAAAAGAGAGAGAGAGAGAGAGACAGAGAGGGCGAGAGAGAGAGAGAGACACACCCACACAGGCACAATCATCATTTCATATGCAAACTGAAACGCACACACACGCGAAGACACACACACACACACACCAACAAAAAAAGACGCGCTCGCACACACACACACAGGGACAGAAACACAAACAAACATGAACAAACAGAGACAAACATAAACAAACAGAGACAAACAAACAACAAGAGACAACCAAACAAACCAAAAAACAAACAAACAAACAAACAAACAAACAAACAAACAAACAAACAAACAAACAAACAAACAAACAACACACACAAACACACAAACACACACACACACAAACACACACACACAAACACACACAAACACATACACAAACACACAGAAACACACAGAAACACGCACACACACGCGCGCACAAACACACACACACACACACACACACACACACACACACCCACCCACGCACGCACGCACGCACGCACGCACGCACGCACGCACGCACGCACGCACGCACGCACGCACGCACGCACGCACGCACGCACGCACGCACGCACGCACGCACGCACGCACGCACGCACGCACGCACGCACGCACGCACGCACGCACGCACGCACGCACGCACGCACGCACGCACGCACGCACGCACGCACGCACGCACGCACGCACGCACGCACGCACGCACGCACGCACGCACGCACGCACGCACGCACGCACGCACGCACGCACGCACGCACGCACGCACGCACGCACGCACGCACGCACGCACGCACGCACACGCGCACACACGCGCACACGCACACGCACACGCACACGCACACGCACACGCACACGCACACGCACACGCACACGCACACGCACACGCACACGCACACGCACACGCACACGCACACGCACACGCACACGCACACGCACACGCACACGCACACGCACACGCACACGCACACGCACACGCACACGCACACGCACACGCACACGCACACGCACACGCACACACACACACACACGCGCACACACGCACACACACACACACACACACACGCACACACGCACACACACACACACACGCACACACGCACACACGCCCACACACGCGCCCAGACACGCCCAGACACGCCCACACACGCCCACACGCGCCCAGACGCACACACGCGCCCAGACGCACACACGCGCCCAGACGCACACACGCACACACGCACACACGCGCCCAGATGCACACACGCACACACGCACACACACACACACACACACACACACACACACACACACACACACACGCGCACACACGCACACACGCGCACACACGCACACACACACGCACACACGCACACACGCCCACACACGCGCCCAGACACGCCCAGACACGCCCACACACGCCCACACGCGCCCACACGCGCCCAGACGCGCCCAGACGCACACACGCACACACGCGCCCAGACGCACACACGCACACCCGCACACACGCACACACGCACGCACACACGCACGCACACACGCACACGCGCACGCACACACGCACGCACACACGCACACACGCACGCACGCACGCACGCACGCACGCACGCACCCACACACACACACACACACGCACACACACGCGCACACGCGCACACACCCGCGCACATACGCGCACCCGCGCACCCGCGCACAGCGCAGACGCGCGCAGACGCGCGCACGCGCACACACGCACAGACACAAACACAAACACAAACACACACACACACACACGAAGACACACACACACACACAGCACACAAAAAGCAAAGACGCGCTCGCACACACACACACATACATAGGGACAGAAACACAGACAGACATAAACAAACAGAGACAGACACAAACACACACACACAAACACAAACACACACACACAGACACACACACACAGACACACCGAGACAGGCGCAAACACACGCACACAGAGACACACACACACTCACACACACCGAGACATGCACACACACACACAGACGCACACACAGACACAAAAACACAGAGACTCAGACACACACACACACCCACGCAGTCACACACACACACAAAGGCACACACGCACAAGCTCAAGGCAAACACTACATACACACAAAAAGGACACACAAACATACACACACACACCAAACCACAAACGCGCACATGCCCACAAACACAGAAACGCAAAGACGCACAAAGATATGCACTACACACACTTGCATACTGACACATACACATGAGCAACCATACAATATATTATGCAATGCGGTGATGCATGTTGATGAAAGTATGCTTTGTTGAACCCCTTCCCGGTAGGCTTGCATATCAGCTCTGTGGTGTTGCCAGAAAAGGCTCAACTGAAGGGCTGGAACAGCTGGCCCAGTGCCGGGACAAGCAAGCACGCGGGCCAGCTTGCAAAGCTAGCTAAGCAAGCAAAGCAAGTCAAGCCAAACCAAGCAAAAAGCAAGCAAGCAAGCATACATTATGAGGCAAGTTCACATTTCGCGAAACATCACGACATGGGCCTCCCTGCTGCAGGGCTGCCCTGGACCTGCGGGCAACAGCCAGGCATCACCATGCCAAATGCCCTTCCGTCTCTGATTGCTACACACTTTGTATGTCGTATGCACACAAGTCATGTCATGTTACATATGTACATGTCTCCCTCCCAAAGTGTATTCACATCGACTTGTTGTGACTGTAGCCAGTGAACATTGAAATGCTCCTCCTCAACTCTACCCGGGCATCTGTGCGGAATGGCGATGGCTGGAGTAAACCAAACGGAAAAGGCACTCCACCCTGAAAACAGGAAACACCTCTTGCGTGCTTGCAAGCGGGGTGTTAGACAAACCTATTGACGTTGCCTCCGCTTCGTGCTGGAGTGTATGTGCCATGAAGGCTCTGGAAGAATGGATAAGTAGTCTTATCTGAACTTGTGTGCTCGTCTGAATGTGTTAGCCAGCATGCGTGCTTTCTTCACGTATTTGCAGGTTGCAGCCAGCAACCTTGAGGATCACTGTGCGAGTTTAAGACACGTATCTTTACGGCAAATGCGTAACCACTCAGTAAACACCAGTACCAAAAAGGCTGGAAGAAACAGATGAGAGGGCTGCCTCCACTCACACCCTGAAATTTGACAATGACAAGAGAATCAACAAATCATCTCACGAGCTGTGACCAGTGATGTGCCCATTCTGCAGCATTCCACGGGATGCCCGGCCCATCCCAGGCGGCAGCTTTTTGGCCTAAGCCGTCAATGCAGCCTCTCCCCCGCGGCCACCTCACCGGCATAAGGATGAAAGCTGGTGCACTGCTCGCTGCGGCCCCTCCAGCATTGGCCGTTCCTTGGCTTCACAGGGAACATTTGAGGCTTCCGAAACAAGCAGCCAGGCAGATTGCAGGACTCAGGTCAGCTTTCAGACTAACTGACTGAATCTGTTTAGCAACATCGACCCGAGATAAGCAGCAAGGATCACGTTGTCCGGCCACCCAAACTCAGTCATCAAAAATACAATGTCTGCCGAACTTGCAAACTTGGGTGCAAGCAATTGGGGATCGGAAAGGCACAGCAATACACACACACACACACCATGACTGAAGGGACCTTGCACACCCTGCTTAAAACGCAGGTCCAAGGCTTACCTTCGGACCGGGCCTTTCCCCCTCCCAGCGTCGCCCCGAATGTGAGCAGCAAGCTGTCAAGCTTGCTGCTCACAAAGTCCCATATCCCACCCTGACGTCGGCTTGGGCACGCAGACATTGCTTACACACTCAGAGGGAAACCGCTAATTGAAGCGGCGACAAAGCTCACGCGGTTTGACCGCCAAGGGTCCGCATGAACTGCCATACGCTGCAGAACTCGTCCTTACAGCAGTGCTCGTGACAGCTCTTGCTCGAGGTCGCGTTGGTGTCCTCACAAAACGCAGTCAAATCCCGGCAGTAACAAATAGTATAATAGAATCAAGCCGATGGCCGTTGCTGCTTCGATTCTTGGAGACTGCAAGTAGTCCCTTGCTTGAATGCTTGCTGGCCAAGGCATGTAGCCTTTGCGGCGTCATTTGAGACAGTGGCTTGTCTAGACACATTCACAATGGTCCCGCGCACAGAGGGTACATGTCGCAGTGACTTGCTTGCCAAGGCCTAGCCAAGGCCTAGCCAAGCAGAATTGGCAGTAGCCCTGGTCGAAAGTAGCAGGAGGGGCCGCCTTCACACCTCCATAATGGTTTCAGCTCATGCTGACGCAGCGTGCCTCCTCGCGCATTCCCTTGATTCGCTGGGTATCTCAAGCATCACTTGCCTTCCTTGAGAATTTGAGGTGTTTCACATAATGATAATGGCAAAGTATCGGAATAGAAGAAGCGCGTGTTTGTTGTTTGTTTATGCACAATTATTCATACATCAGGATGGATCCATACAAGCGGTGTTGCACACTCGCACTTGCGGCCCAGGAAAGACATGAACACAGGGAGCGTGGCAAGCTGCAACAACTTAACAGCGTAGACATTGGTACATGGGCGGGTCGCCAACAAAAGACGCCTCTGTATACAACTACAGCCTATGTGGTTGGTATATTTCTGAAAAACTAAGAGTGCAGGGGTGGCAAGCTGGGCAATCTCAGTATGACTGGATGGCGGGCTACATCTCGTTCATCTATTGGGAGCACAAATGCCCCTGTTTGCTGATTAGCCATGACTCTATATAGCTTATTCCTGCTTGAAATCAACACAATCCAACAACAGAAGTTGCATGCCCCAACCACCCTGGCCTCACTTCCGTTGAGGTACAACTGGGGTATCAAGCAACAAAGCCGTCGGGAGGTGTCAAACCGCTCTGAGGGGCGTGGCGCAGGCCGAAGCACACCACATCCGCCAGCTGCTCCAGAACAGTGCAGCTGGCCGCAGGCAGCAAACCCCCCCGAAAGCCGCAGAAGCCGTCGTGCCGGGGCAGGTCGCTGTGCCTTGCAAATAATACCGTGGATGGCCGAAATCCATTTCGCACCACTTTGAATCCAAACAAAACCATTGTTGGTTGGTATTTACAAGGGAATCATCATTCCAGGGTTTCTCAGGTGGTGCAGGACTTCGTCCATCCACAGTATCACTTTCAGGCAACGTCTTCTACTCTCCCATTCATGGCTTACGCAAGCGAAGCATCCTGAGCTACCCTCTCCAAAGAAAGCAGTGCGGAGGTCGCATGTAAACATTCCGCTGTCGACTGATCGACATTGGCGTCAACGTGTGTCAACTTTGATTTTCGGGACTTGCCAAACTCATCCCGACCAGACAAACGAAACAGTTCGACCTTGTCCATCCCTTTTTGCCATCAAGATGCACAACTCCAAACGCATAGCCGAAGAGAGCGTTGCCAAGGAAGTGAGCTAGGGCGCCACCCATCAACGAGAAGTCCTCCCAGGGGAAAGGAATCTCTGAACAGTTCTGCTGACAGTAGCTCCAACATGCTGGGAGCGCATCTGCCGGCTTTGCCAATCCTCGTTGTCGACATTGGGCAGCAAAACGATGCATACAATGGCGTTCAAAGTGGCCTTGAAATATGTTTGTGTTTTTCTCAAATAACTCTCCAAAAGGGCTGAGCCCAATCTAGCACTGCCTGCCCGGTTGCCCAGTGACTCTCGCAAGGGTGCACCGTTTTTAGTGAGCAAACCAGGAGAAACAAACAGATTTAGAGGGTGTCACCAAACGACTGGGTCAAAACCCCTCTGGCTGTGCCGGGGGGGCGGGGTGTGGTTCGAAATTTGCCCTTCTGCAATTCTCATCAAAAACACTCTCGGCTGCAACTTTCCCAATGCGCTATGAAGGACATCCTCCATGCCGACGTTTACGCCCTTCATGGCCCCAGGAACCAGCAGCTCGCTGCGGGGGCACACGTGGGCCCACCTCCGGTCGTTTTGGTGCTTTTTCTCATGGGCCAAAACCATTTCAGCACACATCTTGCGCTGACTCCAGCCTCTTGCTCGGGTGCAATGACTTGGGGCCATTGGCCAGCTGACTGAGGCAACTCATGACATTCTCCAGGCAGTAGCTGACAATGTCCTGAGCGGAGACACGAGTTCAAAGCTTGGAACCAACTTGCCCAAGCCCTGGTCCCACTATGTCCCGCATGTCAGGCTCGAATTCGTCGTCTGTGACTCTGGTGAAGGCCCACTTGTTTTCACGCAACTCTTTCGGGAAGAACCATTTATTAGCAGCAGGTGTGTTACAATAGTGGCGATTTGCTGAAGCTTGCCATCAAGCAAGCAGGAATTCAGCATGGTGCGTGCCGCACTCGCTGTTCCTCCAGAGGGACAAATTTGTTCAAATATGGCATTGTTGTCATCTTGTTACCTGGCTGCTTTGCAGAATCAAGCACGCACACACACACACACACACACACACACACACACACACACACACACACACACAGACACAGACACAGACACAGACACAGACACAGACACAGACACAGACACAGACACAGACACAGACACAGACACAGACACAGACACAGACACAGACACAGACACAGACACAGACACAGACACAGACACAGACACAGACACAGACACAGACACAGACACAGACACAGACACAGACACAGACACAGACACAGACACAGACACAGACACAGACACAGACACAGACAGACACAGACACAGACACAGACACAGACACAGACACAGACACAGACACAGACACAGACACAGACACAGACACAGACACACAGACACAGACACAGACACAGACACAGACACAGACACAGACACAGACACAGACACAGACACAGACACAGACACAGACACAGACACAGACACAGACACAGACACAGACACAGACACAGACACAGACACAGACACAGACACACACACACAAACACTGCAGGGGTGGATTCGAACAAGCCATATTGCTGTGGCTACGTTTGCTTTGCTCAAGCGCCAATGGGTCCTGTGGTCTACTGTGCTCTCGATCACGCCTCTGCACTGAACGAGTACATGATTCCAAGCAAGCAGCCTCTTCGCCAACCATCATGCACATAATGCCTAATGTGTCTCGCCCATCTGACGCCAGTTCATGCAGTCACATGCATAGATGATTGCTCTACGCTGGCTAGAGCCCCCAAACAAAAACATCGACACCTTCTGGTCACCATGTGCATGGGGGTGGCCACAGTCATCCCCGAGGCAACAGTGCAAAAGCTTTAGTCTGCGGATGGTTGGCTATGAACCCTTGCGGCCGGTCACCAATCCATCATGGCTTAAGTATGTGAATCCGATCTGTTTGGGGCTAACTTTCCTGGGTTTGGGTCAGCCAGGGCTCCATGATTTGCACGGGTTCAACAAAAGGCATCCAGGTGATGACGTCGTTGTAGACCCCCACTCGCAGCAGCTTGCCGCAAAGGTTTCGGGACTCCCACCAGTCGCCTGAAGCCAAAACGAGGAAGGGAACTCTTTGGGTGCTTTGTTTCCTCTCTCTATCTCTCTCGAAGTCTTGGCTGGTTGTGCCAAATTCTGTGGGAGGGCGCTGCAGGGAGACAATTACCATGCTCCCGCTCCCGCTAGCCTTGTTGCATTTGCAGGACGTCTTTTGGCAAGCAACTTGGACAAAACATACTTGCTGGGGCGGTGGGTGGCATCAGCGAGCAAACCTATCCCCCGAACATGAGCCGTGGGTTGACTCGGACAGCAGGCTCCGAACTGAGTTGTAAATGAGTCAAAATCCCCCGGAGGAATTTGGTCCGTGGGAAAGCTCCGACGGTGAGCGCATCTTTGCCAGGGCGCTAAGTGCCTGGTCTGCAAGACGCGGTGACCCAAAGACGACCACTGCGTCCGGGGTGCGCGGCCAGCCTTCTGCCTGTCAGAATCTGTCTGCCAACGTGGAACGGGACGTGTTGTGTCATTGTGTTTGCTAGTTGGTGTTCCCGCACTTGCCGTGTTGCTTTGTAGTGTGCTTTTTGCTAGCTGCTTTCGCATTGCCTGAAGCGTCAATGACATCATATTGTTGCGCGCGACTTTGTTGCTAAGTGCCCTTTTCTGTCCGGAGGGGGTGATGCATGGATTTCAATGCCGCCGATTCAGCGGGGCTCAAGCAGCCCCGCAACGACAAACCAACCTTTTTAGGAAGCTCATGCGCATGTCTGGGCATCCCTGCGCTCCGTGTTGACTAACAATCAGCTACATGTGGTTAGTTTATCCTTTTCGCCTGTTAACCACCAACCAAAGGAGATTCCGCAAAAAAAGTCACACCACACCCACACGATGATGGTCTGGAGCCTCAGCCAGGGTCGCGGCCAGGACGGCAAGGGCAGCGCCCAGGCTGTGGCCAGTGAAGACAAGCTTCCAGTAGCTGGGAATACCGAAAAGGCCCTGGGTAAACGGCCATCAGGCAAGGGGGTGCAAACCATCATTTGGAACCGCCTCAGTGAACATGTCATCTGCGACTTTTAGGTTCATCTTCTTTTTTGAGAGCGTTCCTCGCCAACATTCACGGCCAGATTACTTCGCCTTCTCAAACAAATCAACCAGGAAGGGCCCCTTGTTAGCTAAACGCGAGAGCAAGCCTGGCTTGTTTTATAAATCAAAGGCTCCTTGGCCAGCAAATGTGCGCAAGCTTGATCCTTACTCTGGGGCCTCTGTGACATCCGACCGCAACCAAGGCCATACCAGGTAACACTTCCCATCTTCACACTACGTCCCCCAAAGGTGCTCGTTTCGAGCTCTCCTTCTCCTCTCCAGCACCGAAAGCACCGAAAGCGTGCAACATGCAAGTCGTGTCGTGACCCTCCAGTCGCTTTGGGCCACGGGAACTAAAGATAGGCGGCTCTTACTGAAAGCACTTGACACGCAAACGTTTGGCCTGCATGCTGGCTCAACAGCTCAATGTCACGCTGCGAAAGCGCGCTATCTACAGCCGTTGTTTTGGCTGGCCCTCTCGATCTGGACGCTGTCCAAGGTGCCTGGGTGCCCTGGATGTAGCCCTCCACCCACTTGCGCACATGGGGCAGCACCCTTTGGAGCTCCAGGTAGAAGCCCTCGTGCACCATCGCCTCCGAGGAGGCCTCATGCAAACCCCGGGCGTCTGGGTAGCTTGGGGTCCGAAAGCTTTTGGAACGCGCTGCGAGTGACATCCGCGCACCAAAGAAGTGTGAAGGACCTGTGTGAGCGAATTCAGATCCTGGCATGACAGCCGCAAGATTTGTAAGTCTATCAGCACAAAGGTCAGCGCTACCTAGTCTATCTGCCTATCCATCAGTATCAAAACACTGAATAATTGCTTTTTCAACACCAAACACTTCTCCTGCCGACGCTCTTGCAACTCTTTTTGGTTCCCATCACCAAAGTCCTGGCCTTACACCGGCACACCGGGCCGTGACCCGTGAAACCTTCACACCGGCCCCGACCCGTGAAACCTTCGGGGCAGCTCCTTGTTTTGGTGGACCTGGCATGTGTTTCGCCATACGCTCTGGCAGCTATATATATATATATAAACATACATATATACATAAAACATATAATTTCATGTTAAGTATGACTGGACACGGGACAATGCCTGGGCGAGGGCCTATTTGGGGTATGCCTCCATACATTGCTAGGAGAATCGGGGACCGTCCTATGATTCATCAAGCACAACTCGGGGGGCATAAGCGCGCGCTTCCCCCCCTTCGCCCTTTCCAGAACTGCTTGTTGCTCGTTCATTTGAACATACACAACTTTCACCGGCCCTTACTGCTGGCTTGAACTGTGGAGACCTTAGAATGTGTGCCTTTAATTCCAGTCCGTACTTCCTTGGTTACACTTACTTGATGTTTGCCTTGCGCACCAAAGGACATTCTCTTTTCCACCTGCAGGTGACATGGAATCTTTCGGCCGATGATTCTTCAACTTGGAACCCGTGCATTTTTGAGAACAGCCCCTGTTGCGGCTTCCAGAAACCAATCCATAGTTGCATGATCTTGAATGGGGATCTAACGGGTGGATTCCGCTCTGATTCTAGACATGATTGTCCCTTGGCGCAAGCGGTTTGGAACCCGTTTTTCGGAACCGTCTAACCTTCTAAACAGGCCCACATAATTCCAACAAGTAAGCCCAGGGCCAGTAGGTGTGCCTGGTTTTGAGGGTCGCCTTTTTGCGCGGCTTCTGCAAACTAGGCCGCGCATCGTCCAACTTGCTCAAAAAAAACGAACGATTGCCAGTAGTCATAGATCCCCTTTTAAAACCAACGAGGGGAAGACGAAACATATTCTCAAGCAAATGGAAGAAGCAAGGCGCTGAAGTATTGGCCAGGGCGCTGCTTTGTGGGGCCCAGGGGCACCCAGCTCCACCGGAAGCATCGTGATGTCCGAGTCAATCTCCCAGTTCTGCGCTGACGTGGCCTGACGCGACACGTTTCAACCAAACTGGGCGCGAAAAAGCCCGAAATCATATTTATTCGACATGGTTATTTGTTGCACCTCTTGAGGAAACCGATTTCAAAGGGCACGTGACACAAAGACATGAATCCAAGGTCCAAAGGAATTGGATCGGAAACCAGTTGGCAGTTGGCAGTGCCCATTCCGCCGACACGGCATCCCATTGTGTCTTTCCGACGGCGCGCGAGCTGAACGAGCGAAATGTTCGGCTGGTCGTGTGACTTGCCTGGGTCCCTCGAAATGAGACCACCGCCACTTCTGCCCGAGCGGACTTGTACACGCGCGCGTGGACGTTCTCGGCATCGTCATTCAGGTAGTACTCCTGGCTTGGAAAATAGAACATGCTTTGAAAGAACGTCCACAAAGCATACGCCGCGCCATGCTCTTCAAGACACAATTGAACACCGCCTGCCAACAAATGGCCAGGCACATGCACCGTGCTTAGAACCGCTTCACAAGCCTGGAATTTGACACAACAAGGGAGTACATAGCTGCCCGTCCAGGAAAATGGGGTGTCGTAGGGCCTGGAAGCGAGGGAGACGGGGTGGAGGGAGCCCAAATACGCCCTTGCTGCGGGCTTATTTTTAAAGGCCTATTTGGGCCCCCTCCCCTTTTCCCAGCCCCCATGAGTGTGCATAGACTGGCTGTGTGTAAAGCGGGCTTCTGTCAATGCTGATTGGCCTGGTTCAAGCCACCACCTGCTGCATCAAGGTTCAAATCCAAACTCAATAAGTCAGCAAACAAACACAACAGCAACACCTCTATGGGCCAGTTCCGAGTGGCCAACTGGCTTCTTCAGTTGCATTCAATTCACAATCGCCATAGTCGCCCACATTCACATCACTAGCAAACTGCGTACAACTAAAGCGCTGTGGGCTTATCCTGATGCCCTGATCAAACTGCAACGCGCCCGCTTCAGGACCCTACCTTTGGGGCCAACAAGCTTCCACCTTTCCGTCGATGCCTCAAAGTATCTCAAGCATAGGCGTCCTTTGTGGGGAAATAGATGGCCCTGGTAGGTGATCAAGCAACCAGGTAAACCAGGGCCATCTATTTTTCGACCAAAACATGCAAAAAGGACACCTATGATCTCAAGACGGCACCCTTGAACCAAGGCGTCCCTGGCCGGACCCGTGGCTGTCCTCCCAATCCGTGATGCGGGGGCACAGGTCCACCACGCGGCTCCGGCGGCCGTGGTGGGCTCTCGCCAGCATCTTCCGGGAGGCGATGCCGGCGTGCCTCAGGTCTTGGAAAGGAGCTGTGCTGAAGGCAGCTTTGGATTCCCGGGGCGAGAAAGTGAGGAAGCAAAGCACAGAACCTGACGTTGACGTTTTGGGCTCCCTCGCCTTGGACTTGCCATCGGCTTGTTGCCTGCTCACATGGCAGTATTCGGCTGCAGGACATCTATTGGCACATGTCGTACCAAAGGTAAGGAGAAATTATTCAGCAAACAGGCCAGGCGGCGGGACGGCGGGATGGCAGGATGGCGGGAAGGCAGGCAGGCGGGCGGGATGGCGGGACGGCAGAATGGCGGGCAGGCAGGCAGGCAGGCAGGCAGGCAGGCGGGATGGCGGGACGGCAGAATGGCAGGCAGGCCGGCAGGCAGGCAGGCAGGCAGGCAGGCAGTATGCATACCTGCGCAAATTTGCATTTGTGGGAGCATCGTGATGGCTGTACACAACGAACATTGGCAACAAAGCTCGTGCTCAATTGCATCAACCCTTGCTCAAAAGCACCATCCCGCCTGGTAACATCCGAAAGCCGGCGTTCGGTGCCTTGTGGTTCAAGGACCTGTCCAAGGATGAAATCGGGATTCTCCCGAGCTACCGCGGCTTAGGTTCTTGGCCGTTCATCGGATCAAAAAAACCATTGTTGACCTGGGTGCTCCCATGCTGTCTAATTCACCCTCAAAATCCCTCACAGAAACCGCAAGGGTACCGTTTGTCTTAGCTGAAGGAACACGTTCCAGGCGTTGTGGCAGTGGAAAATTGAGGAAATCTTCCATGGAGTTGGCAAATCGGGGCTGGCCAATCAACCCTTTGGCTTAGAATGACCAAGCTAGGCCAATAGCCAAGCTACTTTGTGCTCCCGCTCCTGCCCCAGAAACAGGGAAATGCCTCTGCGTCGTCCGTTCTTAAGATGCCTATACGCCAGCAGTGCATGTGTACCTTCAATTCGTCCCCATTGAAGCTGAATGCTGCAGTGCTACGTTCTTAACAAAGGCCCTGGGCAAGGCGGGGCTTCTAACAAACAACCTCCAACATTATTTGGGCTTAGGGTTGGTCAGGACGGAGATTTGAGCTCCTTACCTAATATTGTAAAATCCAAAGCCAGCAGCAATCATGTAGACCATTCTAAACTGTGACCTGGGCCTGCGGGACAACCCCCAAGTAATTACAGCACGTTCCTCACAACCAACTCGTTTCACCTGAGCTTTGACCACCTGGGAGAAAGAACCCCCGTCCTTGGGGCTGCTTACAGCCATAGAGGCTGCATAGCCCAATGCTGCGAAAGGCGCTGCTCTAGACCTAAGCGTCTAACTACCAATTACCTGCTCAAGACACACACACACAGATGCACACTCAGCACTACAAGGATACAAGTTATGAGGCTGTTCCATGACTGTGCGAGCATGTGTTTGTGCGGCAACACGGTCGTTGCCCCTTGGTTGATGCACGGCGTCCTGCACACGCAAAAGCAACGAACAAGACACATTATGTGCCTCGGAAAATGCTGTAAAGTAAAGAAAGACCCGACATTACTCAACCTGAAGACAGCTTCAGGTTTGGCGCCTTCAAACCTGGCAAGCCACCTGTTGACACGCTGCTGTCAGCGACTCCCGAATCTGTCACAGGATCAAGTCAGGGATTGGACATCAACTCGGCTCAGCCAGACGAAGCTGTGCACCAATCATTCCAGGAGGCTCGGCGGGCACCGCGGAGGTATTCCGCCAACAGGTGGGACACCAACCAGTGCCGCACCTGAGTGTCCCACTGAACGATGCTGGCCCCGCCCAAAAAGCTCATGGTATATTGGGCCAAGTCCGAAGGCACCGATCCAGAGCATCAAACACCCAGACTTGCAGCCCACTCAACTGAAGTGCCTGTGACGCGCATCCAGGCTGCACCGGAGACCACGGAAGGACTTAACTAACGTGTTTGCTGAGCAGCACTGCTAGCTTCCTGCCATGTTGACTACGCAACCTGAGTTGCACTGAGATTTCTGCGGTGCTGAACTTCCAAAATTATGATCGGCAAATTGATAGCGCCGTGAGCAAATTGGGACAAACAGGGCACATGACATCCCTGCCACTCATCGCAAAGTAAGAGTTGCTGCGCTGGCGAAATAACAAGCTCAACAACGCCAAGGACGAACTGAGGCACTCTGGGTACTGGTAGGGCCACAGCATCGGCACGGAGCTGTAGCTCTTGCAGCAGTCCCCTAGCCAAAGAAGGCTCCAGGCTGAGAAATTCGCGACAGTGACCCTACTGTTCTAAGAAATTTACCTGTTTAGCACCACAGGGTGCAAATGGAATTGACCATCCCAATGCAGAATTGCTTCCATCTCCTTCCCTTCGGTATCAGCTGCTCTTCTTAATGAGGCACCCCGACTCTAGCCCTCAGCAAATCTGATCCGAACCAAGCGTATATTGAAGGCCATGGAGTGACAGGCAAGGATGATTTTTTTGGAAGGGATTGCAGAACAGCCTTCCAACGAGTTAAAGCATTATGGACGGGCGGGAACTGTGGGAACAGGAATGTGAGCTGCATTTTGGGCTACGTGCCTCTGGTTTGGAAGCATGTTGTTTCCGGGGACCTCCGCAAGGGTGCCTGTCGGGTGAACCTTTGTATTCCCACGAGGCATATCGATGCAATCGAGATAGATCACTGGCCCCGAAGCCTACCCTTCTGCTTCCAGTTCTATCCTTAAACTATCTGTTTTGATCCAGCCACGCAAATTGCTTGTTGCCGTAACTTTTGGGTTTGGAACTTGTCTTGCTTGGCTGAATCTGGCGAGGCAAAACGGTTTTGCGGCTCAAATCCGTTACTCCAAAAATTGAAGAAAGCGCAAATCAAGCAGGCTGCTACAGATCTGGCGTGGTCACGATCGATTCAACATGCAAGATCTATCATATCCGAGATAGGTCCTCTTCGTGTTACAGTCACGAACCTTGAGCAAGGATTCAACATTCCTCCCCTCCCTCTCGCTTGTCGTTTCTCCGTGCGTACGCAAGACAGTCCGTGCTGTCATCAAGGCACCCAGACCCCCGCTGTTGGATGGTTTGGGCCAACTGACGCGTCATCCTATGGAGCGCATCACCTCTTGGCAGCAAAGCAGGCCTTGCACGTCTCCTCAGAAACGTCGTACTTGACCAGGTTCTCCTTGAATACTCGAACAGCCTCCTCATAGACTGGCATGTCGTAAGGATCTGTGATGGTATCTGCGTCCTCGTAGGGTACTGCTGCAGTCTCTCCCGGGGTGTGGGGACGCATGTCCTCAAAGTCGCTGGGCATGCATTGCCCGCCGAACATGCGGTGAAACAAGCACACGGAGATGTCCCACTCCTGCACAAGCTAGTTTGCTCTGGTGAATCCCATCATCACCCTGCAAAAAGTGATGTATTGGAATATTGGCAGCATGACATTAATTAAGCCAAATAGGTCCCACAAGCCCTAAAAACAATGGCTTCATTCTTCCTGGTACATGTATATTCTAAAATCGCCCACGTCTCTAAAAGCCTTACATGAGCTCCAGCGTGCCAACGATGCTCAACCACCGCGCCCTGGCTCTCTTTTCAGGGCTCAATCGTAGTCACCAAACTTGGGATCATTTGATCATGCCATTTAGGTCCTCGGTGATGCCGATGAAAGCAAAGCCTTCACGGAGCCGAGAAACGGCGAGCTTTGAATCCTCCTCCGTTACCCTCGAAGGCTCCTGGAACAATGGAAAGAGAACATATCTGGTAATACCCCGGTGAATAATTTCTTCTCAAAAAATGAAGTAGGGTAGCAAGCTCTGCGTTTGGCGGCCAGGTTCGAGGATATGGATTTGAGAAGTTTCTACATGATAAGCGGTTGCTGCTGCTTATGCAGCCAAATTTTCAGTTGAACATAATCTTTCAAGCTGTCATAAGCTGCCCGGGCAAAACAGTGATTTGTTACATCCCCAGCATCACCTGCAAAACAAATGCCAACGGGGGATATTTCCTGGAGATCGCATTGGACCGCCTGCAACCCCAGCATCATCAGCAAACACGAATCCGTGCGCGTAAGGAACCATGTCGGGACTTGCCCACAAAGCGAGGCCCAGCGCAATAACTTCTGCGAAGGGCATACACACCACAAGAACACGCAGCTCAATCAGCCAGGATCACACGAGTTCCTTCTGTGTTTTTCATGCATACGATTGGCGCTCGGAACTGCAAAGCAAAATTCACAGAACACACTTCCAAATCCCAACCCTATCAGTTTGACAAAGCCGTTCCGTATGTTCTGTTCTTCTAACTATAAGCCGAGAAGCAGCTACGTTCATGCCTAGATTGAGTTCAAAACATGCTCCATCACACGCGTCTAGCGCTGTCACGTCCAATACGGTTTCACTACAACATGCTAAGTCAACTCTTAGCTGAACATGGTCCACCTGATCCACCTATGCTAAACTTGTTTTGCCTCATTCCAGCCTGGGATTGAAATCATCCCCTGTCCGTGGCCTGGGGCTGGGTCTTTATGGTGGGTGTGGGGCAGTTGACGACGTTGCTTTCGGCCGGACCCCGTCCCCAAGCGGTGCCGGTCCTGGACTTGAAACTTGGCTCTGACCAGCTGCCGGGTGGCATCCCCTGCCCTACGAAGGGCGAATTGCTGGAGACTGATCCTGCGGCAATTGCAAATCGTACTTGGGGGAATTTGTATCGAGGCCCGAAAGTGTAGAACCCTCAGCAAGCAGGCTCAGCTAAGTTCAGAAATCCGTGAGACAGGATCATTTTAAACATGGCATCAAACTGATTTGTTCGTTGACCTTGGTCGACAATCTAGGGTGACATGTGCCGGGGGGGGGGGGGAGGGGGGCGGAACAACAAACTTGGCAGCGACCAAAACAACCACAAAACAGGGGGCAAATCTAGAAAGCAAAATGCCATCCAACCAAAACATGCCTGGCAGCCACCAAAACAGCCACCAGCCCTCCTGTGTGGCAGCGGCCCGTTTTCGTCGCTAGCTCTGAGAGGATATTCTGCTTGTGGGAATGCCGCTGTGTCCCCCACAAAGTCAAACACCGGGTCATAGTATGCCGAGCAAAGCCGCTGCAGCGGATTTCGGAACATGGCCACCACGTGGCCCTTGTACCGCGTCCAATTCTCACCTCCTAGCCTGGCTTGAGCTACTGAAAGGAAAGGCGTGCTTGCACTAGGCGATGGGGCAGGTCAAAATGTTCAACCCCCTAAGGGCGTGTCCCGTGTCCTTGCTTGATTCGGACAGGGGTCGTTGATTTGTTACTTGCCGATCCGCATACTGCTGGGGGTTTAAAGTAACAACGATCGCCAACCCAAGTATTGACGAGGGCGGCAAACTAGCTGGGCCTTGTGGCTCCTCTCAAGCAGAAGCAACAAAAACGATATGAACCAACATGGAAAAAACCCTCCGTCTGTGGTCGGGCAATTGCAAAGTGCATCCGTGCGGCCCCTCATGCGGGTGCTCGTTGCAGCTCAGCGTGTTGGGAGGGCACAGCTTTTTGCACATGTGCCTCAGAGGCCAGATCCCTCTAAGGTTTATCCTTTGACAACTTGCAGAAAATTGAGGGCACCCGCTCGAGGGAGTTTTTAATATTTGTTTGGAAGCTGCTCTTGGCCACCATGCAATCAAGGCGCAGCAGTACATTTTCTGGGTGAGCTCCCAGGCTGTCGTCATCTATGTTTAAAGCTTTGGGAAACTCTGGGCACACACCGTCTGTATGTATCAAAACGTTGTAAAAGGACGTGCCGCTCTTCGGCACGTGGAGGAACTTGAGCGGTAAGTCTGCCTGCCATCATCTCAGAGACAACTTCCATCTTAGGATTTATCCCCTGTTGTAGGAAGTAAACGTATCGCAAAGTGTCCAGCCAATCACAAGTCTGGGCAAAGCGATTGTTCAAGGGCAACCTAGTGGACAATGTGTTCATGGGGCAAGTCGTCGGAAACATGTGGCTTGCTTCAGAGGGCTGAGCATTGCTAACACTTGTGTGGATTATGGTGTCGGCCCTTCAAAAGAACCACCAATGGTTAATTTCTGAAACCCTTCTCGCCCATTGAACCGATAAGCAACCGGCTCTTGCCATGAGTCAGCTGATCGCTCCGGCCTGCAGCATTGGCTGCGGTCTGCGGCTGGCCCCCCGCTGTACTAGAGCAGTAGACTCGTCGTCCAGGGGCACATGCACTGCCAGCACCAGCGGCCAAAGCACGTGAAGCCACATTGCAATTTCAGTGATGCGCCGAAACAAACGAAACACGGAGGTTAGCTACCATTTACATAGGCAGGTAGGGGTTTCCCGCCTCTTCCAGCCAAAAGCTGCGCAAGCGATGAAATGGAACTGTTGCAAGTGTTCATCCATCCTGCTACATACAAAGCTTCTCAGCGAACTTGGCGGCCAACAGTGCTGCGTACAGCGTTCGGCCCGCTTGGCCTCACGTCAGCCAAAATGGCAAAACAGGCGCCAACAAACGCAACAGGTGATGAATGGTTGAGGTGGTTGAGGTGGTTGGGGTCCATGGTGGTTCGGGTCGTTGGGGTGGTTGGGGTGCGGATGTGGGGCGAGAGCGAAAGCCAGCTGAGAGCTGCAGGCAAAACCAAACAGCATTCATTCCTGCCCCCCGTTGCAGCTACTGGTATCATTCCAGCGCCAAACATTTTCTAAAAAATGGGCAACCAAGACCAAGGCCCCAGGTGAAGTCGCAAGTCAGCCCGACTATCCTGTGACCTGCACAGCACAGAATGCCAATGCAAGCCCTCACTTCCTTGCTGGTTCCCTCGCGCCACCCGCCCACGCAAGGCGCATTCAGTACCGGTGCTTTCATATTCCACCCAGCAAGGGCAAAACTCCAATACAAACTATTGTCAGCGTATCCCATACTGCATCTCCTAAATCACAAAAAGTAAGTACATAGTTACATCACACTAACAAGTGCGTGTTGGCTCAGGAACATGGCTGGCATTCTAGGGCAGCCGGCCTCCAACGTGACATGCGAGGCCAAGCCCTAAGGTCAGCAAGCGCAAGCACTTGACAAACATGCGGGTAAATGCCATGGTGCAACACGGAGACCTTGCCGAAAAGGGAACCGCGGCAACAGCAGGAGTGACAACCAACGAAGAAACAACACACACACATACAAAAACATTCGAAAACAGCAACATCAACAGCACAGCCAGCCAGCTGCCACAGCAATATTGAACAATTACTGCACCCACGACACCTTCAAGCGAGCATGGGGACGCCGTATGACTCTGCAATGCTTACCAAAAAGGTTCAACAGTTTGAAAAACATCAATCAAATCCCTGAGGCGCCAACAGCAGCTCTCCGCGATCGTGCAATGCGAAACTAAATGCAATGGGAACTACATCAGGGACAGGTCCACTAAGTTTGTCTTCGCCAGGGCAACCTTGTGCAAGGATTCAACATTGCTCCCCTCCCTCTCGCTTCGCGTTTCTCCGTGCGTACGCAAGACAGTCCGCGCCGTCATCAAGGCATCCAGACCCCCGCTGTTGGATGGTTTGGGCCAACGGACGCGTCATCCTATGGAGCGCATCACCTCTTGGCAGCAAAGCAGGCCTTGCACGTCTCCTCAGAAACGTCGTACTTGACCAGGTTCTCCTTGAATACTCGAACAGCCTCCTCATAGACTGGCATGTCGTAAGGATCTGCGATGGTGTCTGCGTCCTCGTAGATTACTGCGGCAGTCTCTCCCGGGCTGTGGGGACGCATGTCCTCAAAGTCGCTGGGCATGCATTGCCCGCCAAACATGCGACGAAACAAGCACACGGAGAGGCTCCACTCCTGGCGCGAGGAATGCAACAAGGATATTCCCCCTGTGGCATGGATTCATCTAAAGCTGTGAAGCCCACTCGCCTCTGTGATTCCAACGAAAGCAAAGCCCTCGCGGACGCGGGCTGTGGCGAGGCGGGACTCCTCTGCTGTGGCCGGCTCGCCACCCTGAGCAGAGGGCAGGTTCTGATTGAACTGAAAGCACCAGGCTGACTTTACGGCTGGGCTTTTCAAATCAAGGGCCAGAATAGATGCCGATGTTGCGTCTTCTTGCGGCAAGAAACCACGGGTTTGAACACAGTGGGGCATACCATTCAGCGCAGCGCCCGCTAAACATGTCTGACCGGCTACAGCCGGCTCGTACTGGCTTTAAACTCGCCCCTTGCAATGATGCAAGTAGAAAACTGTCTTTGGTACAGTCTGTGAAAAAAAGAAGCTATGGGTGAACGTTACGCATGGCTTTGGAGAATATGTTAGGGCCACAATCACGGTGGCTCCAACCACAGCATCGATCAAAGCTTGGGAGCCTATCCTGTTTCCATCATGATGATGCACGGGTGGGGGGGCGCTGGCACTTACATCTTCAGTGAAGCACTTGCCTGTGAGCAGTTGCAATGGACGTAAACAGGGAGAATGTGATCAGGAATGGAAAGATTGCTTCCTTGACAAGGATATGTGGCAGTTGATCAATATTCCTGTTTCCGGAAAACGCCATCTTCGCGAGAAAAAAAGTTTCTTTCGCGAATCTTTCGCGACTCCATCGCCACGCCCTTTTGTTTGCAGCGTGCGCTCTGGAGCCATTGTGGCTGCTGCAGTTGTGCTTGCAAACACGGTAGTCGCAGTTCACTTGCGTGCAGTACGTAGTGTCAAGTGCAGGCAGTCACCGTCGTTCGCCCTTGCCACTTGCGGTTGCCGGCGATGTGCGGAACCTTGCAGCAAGCTCCCTGGTCTTTCGCCGGTCTTTCGCGGATCTTTCGCGAAACTTGCTCCAAATAGCCCAGCCAACGTTATTGATTTGCACCAATCCCAAAACAGGCAGGGAATCAATAATGCAAGTGTAGGTGCTGCGCATCTCCCTCTCTACAAGGGAGCGGGGTCTGCAAATATGCAAGTGCACAGGCAGGCCTCCAAGAATTAAACGCGGAATCTTTCGCGAAAAAATAAGTTTCTTTCGCGAACTCCTTCGCCGATCTTTCGCGGAGGGATTTAAGCCAAGACGAATGGTCACCGAATACATAACTCCTTGCAAGGACCTTTTGATCAACCCCCATGTGCTGGACAGCCAAAGAAGGAATGCCCCTTAGCTTTCCCAGGTCTGCTTAGTCATCAGGCACTTTAATCATGGCTGAACAAAGCGGCACTAAACTTGGAAGGTGCACATATCCACGCATGAAGGCTATACGAGCAAATTTTGTCCTTTCAGGCCCTGCAGACATGTTGGGGCCGGACTTTTGCGGGAAACCGCTCTGCAAAACAGGGGCATCATGTGGTTCCCTTTTGAACGCTGCTCGCTGGCCTGGATAACGAGAGAAGAGCCGAACCTGGTCAGCTGCTTGGTGGCATCCCCGAATCTCTGGGGAGCGTACTCCTGCAGGCTCATCCTGGCACGGGATCTCTCCAAGATTCAGGTTACTTCCGATCGAGCTCACCATTCTCCAGCCGCAGTGTTCAAAGCACATCTGTAGTTTGACACCGACCCCTTAAGTTCGGTCCTGTGTGGCAGCGGTACCCCGTTTGCACCTTTAGCTCTCAATCTCCAGAAAGGAGTAGCTTCGGCGGTTACATCCCCCACAAAGTCAAACTCGGGGTCGTAGTACGAGGAGCAGATGCGCTGACGTGGATCCCGGAACATTGCCACCAAGTGGCCCTTATACCGTGTCCAGTTCTCTCCTCCCATCCTGAAATTTCAAACTGCGCGGAAATTGGCCGGGGAACCACGTATGGTCGATGGGGATTGTGTTGGCTCAGGTTGGCCCCAGCGGAAATACACACAAAATGAGTGACACACAATGACACGCAATGCCACACACACAGACATTCGAGACATTGCTAAGTGAGTCCAAGTAGCTCCTCATGTGGCGACCGGTTGCAGCTCAGCATCTTCTGGTCGCACATGGCCGGGCACATCATCCTTACAACTCCCACGGCAGCAAACCACTGCACGCCGATTGTGGGGGGGATTGAATTTCGAAAGTGCGGCCAAATGCTCAAGAAGGAAGCTTCCGGGTGTCCACCCAGGCTTGCCTCATCCACGATCATGCCAGCAGGGCGGTCCGGGCAAATGCCATCCGTTTGAATTACGATATTCCAAAATGAGGTGCCGCTCTTTGGCACATGGAGGTACTTGAGGGGAGCTGCCGCCTATCAAATAGCGCTCTGTCGGCGACTCTTCTTGTAAGAAAAACAGGGCTGGATAGAAAAGTTCAAACTTCTCCAGGATTGACGGAAAGGATGAAAACATCTACCAACAAAAAGCCCAAAGTTTGCAAACTCAGCAGGTCCGGATTCCTTCAGAGTCATGGGGAACAAAGTGCGTCATGCTTTCTTGGCTTCTGGAGTCGCCCGACAATCCAAGGGTCCCTTGCTCTGAGGTGACAGCTCTTTTGCAGCGGCCTTGGGGTGATGCTGCAGATTTACAACCCAGTGACTATGTTCTCACGGGCCTCACCTGCAGCATCGGTTGCCTTCGGCTGGCCGAACGCTGCACCAGGGCGGTGGACTCGTCGTCCAGGGGCACATGCACGCCAGCGACTGAAGCCGCGAGCGACCAAAGCAGCCACCACATCGTGAGCTTCGGCGCTGGGAGAAATGGTGGACCATTGGCTGAAAGCAAGTGACAATCACGCTGTGCAGAAACATGCAACCAACTCGGTGTTGGAGAAGAACACAGAGGCCAGCAGCCCAACCCACACGCCAGACCAAACCCTACAGGCGGGCATGTGCTTGAGTTGAATGGCCTCATGGCGTTAAAAACAACAACCCAACGCTTTATTGGTACAGAGTTTCGGATTGCTCCTGCTAGCAAAGTCAACTGAGTGATGGCTCAAAGATGCTCGAACTGGGTACGGAAAGGTAGAACGTTCAGCTTCCGTTGGAGGCAAGGTTTGGGTTTTCCCGCCTCCTCGAGCCAAAAGCCAGTGGTAGAATCTGCGGCAGGCAGCACGCTGGGTTCCAACTGAAACATGATGGGCCCCAAATATCGCAGCAAACAAGCCAATGGAAGCTTGTTCGGGAGGACCGCCACTCTCTCTCTCTCTGCCGTTGCGTCCAAAGGGTCTTGACTCAGCAAGGTAACGAAAAAGGTGCCCACTGATGTTCAGGGGCACCAACAACATACTAGGACCGCCACTAGGCCAGTTGGTTTGCATGCAAGATTCTCAAACATATTTCCAACATCCAGGACTCCTAGCTCAGGCGAGCTTCAGGGCCCACGTCCATGTGCGGGTTGCGCCTTCCGCCTTGCGGCCCACCAGAGCGGCTGCAGCCATGCGCTGGAAGACAGTCATAGGGCAGCCGAAGGCGAAGGGGTCCTCATTCCTCAAAAAGAAAGCGAACGGCCGAAGAAGTCAGCCGCGTCACAAGCAGCTTTGCATGTCCAAATAAAAACTGCCATAGCACAACTCTCTCTCTCTCTCTTTCTCTCTCTTTCTGCCCTGCCATCCTATTCCAAACAGTGATCCACAAGGCATTTGGTCATTTGACCCTCCTTGGAAGCCTGCCATGGCCCAAGGCTCTGTCGATATCTGCTCGCCCAATTTATCCGAGGCACTCCGCGCCTGACATCAAGCCCCAAGCGTCCAGCAGCTGAAACTTCTGCGCCAAGAACCCCACCGCCTGGGTCAACGAGCCACGTCCCAGCCCACTTTCTTGGGCAACCAAAAGACCTTAAGGGTTTTCGTTTTTGTATTGCAGCCTGGGAATACATCGGGTATTGACCCCATTTAGGCACATTTCCGGATAAAACCGTGTTATTTTGAACCATTCTGGGTCATTTCCCAAGGGTGTAATCCCAGGGTGTCATACAAAAACCCTCAAACAATAGGTGAATTCCGGCGCTGTCAGCGCCAACTTGGCATAAAAGAAGCTTGGCTGAGACAGAGTGAGGTTGCCTGGAAGTTTCAGCCCAAGCGGAAAGTACCCGGATATTCGGGCTGAGCCATCGGAGTCATACAAACAAAAAAGATGAGACAGTGCTGCGAAGCCCTGGGACCGCCAATGCGACGATAGTATCTCCAAGAACGCCGCGAACCCAGTACTGCCTTCAGGGATAAACTCGTGTTTGGCTCGTTGAGCGATGGAAATGCTGAGGGGATCACAATTCACCATCGGCGGCTAAGCAACACCTTGAAGGAGTTGACAGGGGCTATGTCCAACTGACGAGATGTGTCATGCAGCTTGGGCACATCCACGTGCGCACCAGGGTACACATAGTATGCATGCATATATATATATATATATATGTATGTATGCATGTACGTGTATATATGTGTATATATATATAGATATGCATAGGGATATGCGTGCATGTATGTAGTGTGTATGTATGCATGCATGCATGCATGCATGCATGCATGCATGCATGCATGCATGTATGTATGTATGTATGAATGTATGTATGTACGTATGTACGTGTGTACGTACATATGTACGTATGTACGTATGGAGGTATGGAGGTATGGATGTATGGGTGCATGGATGTATGGATGTATGGATGTATGGATGTATATATGTATCTATGTATCTATGTATCTATGTATCTATGTATCTATGTACGGATGTATGTACATATGCATGTATACATACTCACGTATTTATTTACGTGCATATGTATTCGTGCATGCATGTATGTGTCTGCCTATCTATCTATGTATCTATCTATCTATCTATCCATCTATCTATCTATGTACGTATGTACGTACATACATGCGTGTGTATGCATGTAGTTGCTGACCCATGACGCGTGAACCACACATGGGATGCAAACTGGGTCAGGTGTTCTCAACACCAAGGTTGGGAACAAACGAAGAAACAAACATCGTAAATTCTGCCCATTGCCACACATGACCAAGGGGTTCTGCCAGCAAACGACATGAAAAAAAAAAAAACAGGCTGCCAGTTTTAGCAAATTACACAGGCTCCAGTCGCTCCAGTTTCAGGAAGTGTCGTTTGCAGAGTTGGAAGTCATCACTCTGGCATAGTATATTAGTATAGCACTGAACATGTTGCTCCTCACGGAACATCGCCAACGAAAGGCTTCCCAGGGTCCGTGGCCACAGTTCCAAGCGGCTGCGCGACTTGCAGTCGAGCTGCAAGGCGCGGGTGGCTGAAATGGGCCGCGCTAGAGGCCAGAACTGCCAGCGCCAGGATGAGCGCCAGCGCAGTCGCGCGGCATCCCCGGCGCGTCTCCCTGTGGCCAAAGGGCTGGCGTGGTCATTGATCGAGGCCAAGAAAATCACACAACATCTTGTATGTTGCCTCTTTGACAACTGTTTAAGGGAGCAACATATTTCAGCACATGATTTCGCAGGGTGGCTGCACGGAAGCGTCTTTTGAGACCCATGAGCCAAAATGTTGGACCCGCTTCTATAAATGAGATGTCTACTATAGAAAGTGTTCTTCGTATTTCCTGAATTATAGAAATGTTGTTTCATCATCCCCCCAAAGCCGGAACAAAATGAAAAACAAAACAGGACCGCTCAACCCCCAGACCCCTCTTTGCCACCAAAGAGGCTCCAAATGACTGTTGGCACTGTCACAATATAAAAACAGGCCCAACATAATCTAATATGGCTGTGGCTCAGAAACATGTACCCAACATGGCCCCTTGGTAACTAGCTCTTTTATTTTGAGCCACGCTCATGTTTTTCTGTGGAGGCCAGGACGTCGCCACCCCAAACTGCAAACTTGCCCGGGCTGATCCGCCGGCAAGGAGCGTGAGGCCCTTCGGCGGCCCTAGCAACAGCTCGGCTTCCTCGTCCATCGTTGGATGCGCGGGTGAAAAGTGGCGTTTTTGCGCCAGGCACTGCAAGGGACACATGCCACTGTTCGTTTCTGATCTTGCAACTCTGTTTTCAGGGATTAAAAGGCGCATGCGTGTGTAAAACAACGACCACTCGTAGCTGAAGTCGTGAGGGATTGACATGGTCCTCCATTTGGTTGACCCGTAGTCAATTGATGGGCTTCCAAAGACTCAAACACTGAGCAACCTGCTTATCACGAAAAGCGTAAAGCCCACGTCCCTTGTCGAGCTTGCTTGGGCAGGGGGACCTTGGTTCAATCCCAAAAGAACAATGCTCCAAGGCCCGCTTTGGGGCGATAATGGCTCGAGCCACTTGGCTGTGAAGGGTCTTGGAGGATCACCATGCAAGAGGCATCCATTCTTAGAATACTAAGACTTCCCAGCCGAATCCCAAACCGGGGGGGGGCCTTCTCAAGCTCGCGTGGGCGGTGCTGGAAACCCCACAATGGCTGGCCGACATGCGGAGCCAGAACACAAATCTAAATCATTGCGTCGCATGCAAAGCAACAGAACCGTACTAGCACCCACAAGGCTCCCATGCCATTCTAAGACTGCATGGGCAGGTGTTCAGGCTCAAACAATCTTGAGCGGGTGCACAGCAGGTGAAAGGCAAATACCACTTTGAGGCCCAAGTTCAGTCGACTCATACAAACATTAACGAGTGAAAACCGCAACACCATCTAATCTACATGCACAGTCAGTGCAACCTCCCTAACGTTCTCGGAAATCTGCGTGAACAGCACCTAAAGGATGCCAAACAGCTCGAGTCTACATGTGCAGGTCAAAGGTCCAGACCCATGCGGACTCAAGCTGGTACAAGGCACCGGTATCTTCAGCATTTTTCAGCTTGATTTCCCTTGGCCGCACCTGCCCAACCTCTTCTGGAACTCTGCTTCCTGTTTTCGGGTGTGCACATCCCCTGGCAGGGCTGGGGCCCTTTGCAACGGAAAGGCTGAGTTGACAACACATTCCTGCAAGAACTCCTAGCGCAGCCAATGGACCAAGCCGAGAGACGTGCAAACCAATGCTTGGCCAGTCGCTTGCGCATGCAACATCAAATTAAACTCATAGATATTGTGCTGATTGCTGTTTCGACGTGCCATGTAAGACCCAACCAAATGCAACATCCCACCGAATAAAAAGAAAGACAAGGTCATTTGCGAGCTTTTACGGTGCTTTATGTCATGTTCAAAGTTGAGACTTGTTCTGTCCAAATGTGCAACATGATTTTAAAGCGCTTCAAGAAAGCATTTATGGATTCACGATTCAAGATTCTCAGGACTCTGGTTGAATCTTAAACCCAGGAGGTCTTCAATCCAAATGGTGTAATGCGCCTTATGCAAATCTGGAGAGACTCAGCTTATTCTGTGCAAAAAATGGCGGCCAATTTGGTATGAGGACACAACCTTGCCTACAACCGAGTAACTACTATGTTTTCTGGCCACCTGCCTCCTAGTTACTTTGTGCAAGGAGAACCTACTTTCCTTGTGTGGGTCCAGTTTCCAAAATTTCCAAAGGCTTCTCGCATGTCTACGTGTTGATACAGCTGGGCATGGAATGCTTTTTTTTGGTGGAAATGTGCAATGAGATTGTTCTGTGTCCGAAACTGGATGAAATGCACATGATGGACTGCAAGGCTGCGTATCTCTGCTTAAGTCTGCTGCAAAACCAAAAAGAAACACAAACCTAACAAAACAGTGGCATGTGCAGAAAAATGTGACTACAGCCTGTGCGCTGTAAACAAATCAAGAAAACGGGGGCACCCAGCGGGGGGGGGGGGGATAGCTTAGATATGTGTATATGTGTATATAAATAGTGTGTACATATATATATATATACATATCAATAAAAGAAAGAACAACATATGCGTTTATATGCTTTTGTGTGTGCATCTTATTGCCATACTAAAGGACTGCATGATATGTGGCTGACGTATGCTTGTAAATTTGGGATTTAGTCACAGGGGACAACTTTCTGGTTAGGCAAAGGACTGCATTCCTGAAGGCTCCGCTCCCAACAGTTAAGCAAATGGACAATCTCACCAGGAAGCAAGATCTTTGAAACACCACGGAAGAATCCCTTGTGTGAATTGCTCGTTGTGGCGGTCGCTCTGTGCATTCACTTCCACGTGCTTCCAAATACTGCCGAAGTGGGCCTGGGAACAACCATGCCGGAATGACCGGAGCGTGCTTGCGCAGACCATGCTTGGAAGGAGCTGCCTGCAGTGGAGGCTTGATGCGTTCTTGTCAGTTTTCCTTGCCATACACCAAAAAAAAAAAAAACGCCAAGGGTCACTCCCCAAAATGGCAGAACTCCTTAGTGTGCTGGTGATGCCCACTTCCAGGATACTCTCCGGATCTTGGCAAACCTTGCCGCAACCTCCAAACAAACGCAGGATGCCTGCAAGCAACGACCAAGGGTGCAACTTCCCTGAGTTGCTCAGCATCAGACGCTGTAGCTCCAAAGGCATGGCCTCAAGCACCGGAGTGAAACTGACCGTCAGATCCTTCGACAAAGGCTCCTCTTGAACTGCACGGGAATGCATATCTGCATGTTTACAATATTTCCAAAACCTGAAATAAGGAATCCCCAAGAAAAGGATCTGTATCATAGTGAGCTCGTTTTACCCCCAGCGAGCTCCACAGAAGTCAGGCAAATATATGCACAAAGCAATCAACCTATCTCAACAGGGTACACTAGTACACTACCAACCATCTTGTTGGGGGGCAGGGATGTCAGTGGCAAAATATGGAGGCTGACAGCAACAGTTGGCGGCGGGGAGTGATTGATGTGTTCCTGCCCACATCCTTGTGCCGAGACCACCTGTTCATCCCATGCAGAGACACATGGCACCCCTGCAAGGACATCGTGTGATCCAAACAAGCTGTTGCACTGCCCAACAAGCCTCTCGGCCACTTGGGATTGCAGAATGGTTCCCTCTGCAGTTTTGTCAGGACTGGCCCCAAGCAAGGCGAGATGTCAAGCAACATTACAACACCTAGAAGTTTGATTGCGGAACAGTTGCAATTTTCGAGCCGGAGCAGCCAAAGAGGCACTTTACATACCGCACTTAGTACTGAACAGTCACGATGCCCGCTATGGCTCTGACGACAAATCAAAGGACGCCGTCGTGCGGGTATTTTTCTTAATCTGAATGGAAGCAACACATGGCGCTTCCCCAGCCCTTGCGCCATAATATGAATGGCACCTTGTGCGAGGCATATCGCTACAAAGAGCCCCGGAGCTAGATGTGCGAAAAGGTGAGATCTGCAAAGAATTGTGTTTGCCCACTTTACGTGTGAACGATTTTCACTTGGAAAAGACTGAAGCAAAAACATAGTCTTACCCCTTACTCAAGATTCCGCTGCTACAAGCACTTCCGCAACAGTGTTGCCCTACTTGTTCTCCGCATAATATGTCCAACTCTTCCATTTTCCGCTTGAGTGCAACGATGACAACTCCTCTTAGGTGCCATTGGTGGCTGCCTTTGTCTCAACATGTCTCAAGCAAAATCACAAAGCCCAAGTCAAAAACCCGTTAGAACTCGCCAAATGACCGGATGCCGGCTCAGGCCACGGATGCCATTTGCATTGCTATTTCGAAGCAGTCCAAAACAAACTTGTCAACGGGTGGCTCAGGTGGCTACGCTTTTCCCTGCAAAAAGAATCCCACAGGGTCCTTTGACAGGCTGACGCTGCAGCTCTGTGGCTCTGGCACTGGGCGCCCACTTCCCGAGGGCTCGCTGCAAAGTCCGCTCCGCTCTGGCAAGCGACCAGCTCAGTTTTCTAATGCCGGGCCGGGCGGTTTGAGTTGTCAACTTGTCCACGTACGTAGAATCAAAGCAGGCTATCTACGCCATGCTAGTTTACAGGCTGTATCCTTGTGCTGCTTTGCCTCAGGTAGTGAAAAGGTCGCAGGGATGGATTGGCGGATAAGGGGGCGCTTTGCATTTTCTACCGAAAGAAGCAAACAACAAACAAGGGGCCGTCTATGGCAAACGTTGCATCCTGTGCTACTAGCCCTGATGTCAACTTCGGATCAATCCGGAGAAGGGGGCTTCCACTTCCAGCGGGACATCATTCAGCTGAGCGGGATTCCGTTGATACAGAATTTCACATGGAAGGCTGCTCCACAGAGTGGCAAGAATCTTCAGCATCTTCGACCCTGCGGGCCTGGCCGCAAGGCTCTGGGCGGTGTTGCTGCCCTTCAGCAGCCCCAGGATTTTGTTGTCCTTCTCAGAGACCTGAGGCGGTATGGAAGAAGGGGGACCCATGGGAAGTCTGGAGGTTCTTCGGGGCAACAGCTCCATTGATGTGCTTCTTGCAGCCGGGGATGGCCATAGTGGGTGTTCGGCCTGCTTGCCTTTTGAAGGCTGCTGACATTCGCTCGCAAATCACACTGCTTGTGCTCCTGTCCAAATGGACTTGCCTCCAGCATTGCTGATGCTCTTTCCTGGCCATGAGGATGATTTCGAATTTAGACCTTTCTATGTCCTGCACCCTTCGCCTCAAAGGCGGGAAAGCGCCTAAAGCGTCTTCCGGCGTGGCATTGATGTAGATGATGTCCGTGTCGCCACGCAAGCCCGAATTCTCTGAACCCATCATACCATGTTGCACCCATCATACCAACAGGTTCCTTCTCTGTGGCTGAAGCATAATGGGAACCCCAAATTAGTCAACACCAGCTTATTGATAGAGGGGTGTCCCGGGGTTGAGCGGGAATTCATCACTTTGTGGAGGGGACGCCCCTTACTGACAAGCAGGGGTTTGTTACTCCGGGGTGAACATTACACAGCAGGATAATCAAATCATTTGGAGCAGCTTGGCAAAGCTAAATACATTGACAGATCGACATGTTCAGTTCATTGACGGGTCAGGTTATTGAAGCCACACATGTGGACTCTTCAGAACTGCTTGGAGGCTCCGAACAATTCCTGGCCTGCCGCTGCAAATCCTCGATCT